AATTGTGTTGATCCATCGAGACCTTATCCGCCGCTTAGAAACTATGAGTCTGTCTTCTGTTTTATGTTTCGCTACTAGCGTCGCGGCATTGACTCTTGACATCGCCTCGTCTGGAGGCAATCAGTCCAGTCCACTCTTGTATGGACTTTTGTACGAGGTAACTCGGCGGTTCTCCTTTGTCAATTTTCGCAAACATGGAATTGAAATTGACAAACCACAGGATATCTACCACTCGGGTGATGGTGGTCTCTATGGGGAGATGCTCCGGAACCGAGCATTCCAAGGATCCTCGTCCGGTGGAGCTGCCAGTCTAGCACGCAACACGGATTATTGGCATCCTGTTGGGGGAGTCTCGCTAGCCATCGACACATCTTCGCCCGCCATTTCGTCCAGCCTGCCATACCAGATGCGAATGGATGTGCCTGCGGGAACCACAGGGACTGTAGGATTCTACAACGAAGGCTTCTGGGGTTTCGACGTGGACGCGACTAAGCGTTACATTGCTAGCCTCTACATGCGCGGCAATTATTCCGGGACTATCGACTGCTATTTCCATAGCAACACAACTGGACAAGTCCTCGGATCCACGAGCATGAGCATCGATCAGACATCATCTGCGGGATGGGTGCAGAGCTACTCTGCGACATTCCAGCCCAGCCGGACTGCCTCCGATGGCAACAATACGTTTTATTTCACGTTTGATGGGTCGAAACTCGCTGGGCAAAGTGTCTATTTCAACGTTCTCAGCTTGTTCAAGCAGACGTTTGATAACCGGTACAATGGCGTGCGCGAGGATCTCGCCCAGGCGTTGCGCAACATGAATACGAAATACATCAGATTGCCTGGTGGAAATAATATGGAAGGCAACAAATCTCCTTATGAATGGAAATGGAACGAAACCCTCGGTTCCCTCACGGGTCGACCAGGCCGCCCTGGCACCTGGGGTGATATCAATACCGATGGATTCGGCCTTCTAGAGATGATGCAAATGGCACAAGATCTGGGCCTTGAGGTGATTCTAGGTGTCTGGGCTGGTCTGTACCTGGACGGCGAGGTTGTCTCCAAGGCCAACCTACAGCCGTACGTGGGTTCAGTCATGAATGAGTTGGAGTTTCTCCTGGTAATTCCCTATGTGCCGGTGTCCATGCATGCGCATCTGGCTCTAGAAATTCGAAACGATTGCTGACGGGACCAGGGAGATAAATCGACCGCGTACGGAGCGAAACGAGCTGCTTTGGGATTTCCGTCCCCTTTCACCATCAAATGGATTGAGATTGGCAATGAAGACTACCTCAATGGTGGGACGAACTCCTACTATTCGTACCGATTTATGGCCTTCTACAATGCCATTCACGCTGTGTATCCGTCCATCAACCTCATCTCCACCATCAACCCAAACCCAGTCACATCCAACGGCAGCTCGCTGGACCTTCATATCTACGGCAATGAGAACTACTTTGTCTCTCTTTTCAACACCTTCGACCAAGCTAGCCGCAAATACCCCGTCTTCGTCAACGAGTATGCAGCAACCAACACGGGATCTAACACCAATGGCCAGGTAGGAGCGCAAACCCTAGGCATGTCTTGCGCGGAGGCTATATTTCTCTTGGGCTGCGAAAGGAACTCGGATGTCATCGTCGGCTCTGCCTATGGTGCCTTGATCAAGAACTACAACGAAGCCCCTGACACAGTGGCCGTGATAAAGCATACCGCAAATGAGGTCCTTTATACTATCAGCTACTACGTCCAAAAGCTTTTCGCGGACAATATGGGCACCAGAACTCTGCCCGTGTCCGCCACAAATGGAGGATTTGGCCCCATCTACTGGTCTGCAACAGCCAACAGTTCTTCCACTATCCTCAAGCTCGTCAATTACAATGGGAAGACCGGCGCGTCCAACGCCGTGCGGGTCAACGTCAAAGGTTCGTCCAAGACGACTGCCACTCTGATTACCTTGACTGCCCCAAGTTCAGCAAGTGTCAACAATTTGCCATCCTTGGGAGGTGAAAGCAGTACCATCACTACCACAACCTTGTCTGGTTCCGCTGGTAGCTTCGCCGTCAGCTTCAGCAATCCTTATGAGATTGCTATCTTGGTTGTCTAACAAACCTGCTTGACAGATCGCAGATTGACGTACATATAGATCTGGGGAATTTGACATGACCAACTCCTCTCCCAGTCAAGTTGCGGACATAAGGGTTAGACCCTGGCTTGGTGACAACACATGGCTGCAGACCGGAATCACCAGATGAATTCTCGTTTAGTTAAATACATAACAAGTGTTATTCATTATCCACAGTCAGCTTTGTACTAAGCGCCTTCCAGAAAAAGTTAAATAAATATGGAACCTTGATCATGAGTTGGAATTAATTCAAGCCATCAAATAGTGGCATTGGCATTGATCGTACCCGGGACGACATCTCGTTTTGGTTATCAGAAAACCCTAGCTGGCCCAAACGCGGGCAGTCGACCGTTCTGAGTGAAGATATGTGCCTGTGTGGAGATAATCTCCATCTCCAAGGCCGTGTGTGGATCGATGGCCTTATCCTCGAGTGGCAACGCGTACTCAAAGAGAAACCGCACCATCCAACGGTCGAGACGATGGGTGTGATGGTGGTGGGAGAGGAGCAGACAGTTATTCTGGAATTCCATCAAACGGTTTATCTTGAGCGAATTGTTAGCTAGATGAAAACAGGAATGAAAATAAATATAAAAAGACACTTTGCGATTCAGCGGATCAAGGAAAAGTTTACCATGGTTTTGACAATGGGCCAGTACTCTCCCAACTCGAGCAAGGCCTCAAAATTCGCTTCGAGGCAGTGGCGTGACTGCGGAAGCTCGTTCTCTCCTCCAAAAAGAAGAGTGTGAAGAAGAACAGAAGAGGAGACGATGGCCATGTGGCCAACGGTTGGATACACGGCTTCGCATCCGGGCTGTTTCCTTCCACGGGCGAGCCAGGTGCTATAACTGAGAGCATGATGCTTACATCGAGCTGCAAACTGCCGAGCACGCACAGTCTGCGTAGAGCGTGTATCAAGGTACTGGTAGAAGAGTAAAGTAGCGTAATGGTGAAAGCCAAGATGGAGGCCCATGAAGGTGCCCCCTGTGCCCCGCTTACTATGTTCTATGAGGTTTGACTCGGTTAACTGGACATCGCCCGGCAGTCTACTTTGCCAGTCATCCAACTGCTGCGCAAGACGATCTGTGTCTTGTTCAATTTGGTCTGGATGCAGTCCCTCGCTGTTAGCGGCGCGCCAGTTGAGCTCCTGGATTGGGCTGAACACTTCGGTGAGCGTGGCCATGTGGGCCCATAGACCAGGGCTCCTACATGGCGCGGTGAGGTCATAGAATGGCTCATCCGGAGTCATGTCGGCAAACAGGCGCTCATCCATGGGTAACCGAGCCGGTCGAGTCCAATCCCTCATTTGTCGGGGAAAGCCCAGGCTCGAAGAGCACCAGTTGTCTGCAGCAAAAAGCGCCCACCAGATTCGGATCCGGAGCTCATGAGAGACTGGGTTATCGTTGCAGTGTGCCGTACGTGATTCCATCAATTGCATCATTGCTATTGCCGTTCCTAGCGTCTCGTTCGACATGAGTATCTACCTATCCAGGGAACGGTGACGCCCACACACGATTAGGAACGTATGGTTTGAATCGGGAAAAACTCACGGAAGAATAGAAATTCTGACGATGGGTTTGCATGCGCCACGCATAGATTTGCGACTAGAATGCAAGTTTGGATATTGGCTAGGCACACATGCTCCAGATCAATCTGGAGTAAGCGTTTGGACTCCGCCGTGAGCAGAGGCTCGAGGGCCCGCAGAGTTGGGTGATTCGAAACGTGGGCCCCCATTGCACAGATAGCGAGAATCAAAGCTCTGCTGGCTTGCCGGCCACGAATGTCCCTCCACAGCGTCGCGTCGTGAAAGATGCTATGTGGCCGACCGTGAATCTTGGACAGATACTCATGGACAAGCACAGCAACGGATCCATCGTCGGCGAGGAAGTCATCTACTCTCTTGGCCCGAGTCTGCGATTCTGTCGGTGACTGACTGCCAGGCCGACGGGCGTTGAGAGTCCGCGTCCTGAGTAGGTTGGCCTGGGAGTGTGAACACGGAAGACGATGGAGCTGACAACGGTCACAGGGAGCCGATAAAGCACTGCCCTTGCCAGGAATACACTTGCGCTTGGCATCTCGACATTGCCGACACGATCTCATGGTCGATCATGGGTAAAATGCAAGGCGAACAAGCAAAAAGGGTGGGATTTGGAAATGTTCCGTGGCCCGCATTTCCCCGCAAGTTCGCAGTGAATCTGACAAACCATAAACAGAGAGGAAGACTGCGGAGAAACCGAAACTGAGCCGTGGCCAAGAAGTGTTAAAATTACACCACAACGCTAGGTCACGGTAAATTCGACGCAGTAAACGGCTACTCTTGACGCTGTTTTAAGCGTCATTTTTACCATAATCTTGGTCATCAAGGGACGATGGATCAGGTAATACCCAGATTGATGATTGAGATCGAAGCGAGACTGATTAAACAGGTTCTGCAATTATTTAGGGGAAGATCCACTCTAGTCTCTTGTTGCAGCAGTGTATGACCTATATATATACACTAAGTAGGGTCCTCAGACTCTGGCCTCCAAACGCTGTCGTGCCATGTACCAAATTTAGACCATGGGTATGCGGCCGATATCAGTTGATGTTGTGGTGTACAATAGCGGGAAGGGGCATGCTCTAGCTGTCTTCTCATTCAATCCCCTCATAAGAGAAGTGTCGCCGGTATTTTCTCTTGTTTTCAGAACGCCGGTGACGTGTTGTCAACCTAATCATCTGAAGGACCGTAGCATTTGTAAAATTGCACGCTGGACATTACCAAGAATGACAATACGGTCTAAGCCTAGGCAGATATAGTAACGTTATCATGGAGCAGGAGCTGGGGGTGTCTAATTAACTATTATACATTAGCGCATCGAAGAATCTTACCCACTTTAAACCTTTAGCCAGACTCCTCATCCGACCTAGCACTTTTCTCATTCCGCAAAGTCTGGTTGCTCTCCATCGCCCGGTTTAAATCATAGCTCTCCGTCAGCAAACTGCTCAGCAATCCCACTCCACAGACAGCACAGCACACGGCCCAGACGATACGCAAGCTATCCGTGTATGCAGTTTGCAGCATCAGCTTCTCCGCACCGGCGGGCATCTCTTTGATCACTTGGACCAAGCCAGCCGCATCCTGACTGAACTCACTAGCTCTGGGCGCGAGAGACGGGTACTTTAGCAGATTGTGATACATACGGTTCTGGAATACGACGCCACCGATAGCCACACCAATAGCTTGGCCCATGGCACGGAAAAAGCTGAACATTCCCACGGCGATGGCGAGAGTGTCGCTCGTGGCTGAGGCTTGGATTGCGAATCCCAACGATGGGAAAAGCAGACCCAGGCCAATTCCGGGAACAATATTTAGGAATATCCAGGCGGGAATGCTCGTATCGACTCTGATGTAGCAGATGAGGCCGACGCCGAGCGTTGAGAGGAGCCATCCGAGCCAGATAGCCCACCTGTAATGGCCCCATCTTGTCGCGAGTATACCCACAACCATGGCGCTAGGGGCTACCGTGAAAGACTCCGGGAATAGCGCGACTCCGGAAACGATAGGACTGTATTCTTTCACAGCCTCATAGTATAATGGCAGATAGTAGAGGACGCACCAGAGCACGAGACCCTGTAGAAGACTTCCAATGAATGATACAGTTGCCGTACGGTTCTGGAAGATCTTCGGCGGAATAATTGGGTCCGTTGCGAATGTATACTCGTAGTACGCAAACACGGCCAGGCCACAGGCGCCGATGATTAGAGGGACAAGCGTCCGCCATGAATCCCAGGGATAGAGAACGCCGCCCCATGTCAATGGAATCAGGAACGAAGACATGCTGCCGACGAACATGACGGTGCCGACGTAGTCAATTTGGCGGAGTTTCTCGGCCAGGGAAGTAGGGATGATGTTCAGTTTGAGGAAGAGGAGGATAGCCAGAGCACCAACTCCAATGAAGGGGAAGTTGATGTAGAATATCCAGCGCTGGTATTTTGGTAAGCCCTACTTGACCGATCTTGTTTATACACTAAAAAGAGGCTCACCCAGCTGACATCCTGAGAGAATCCGCCTCCAAGGATAGGCCCCGTGACTGATCCCACGCTCCACATGGCGGACAATATACCAAAATACTGGCCTCGAAGACGCAAGGGGACGAGATCAGTGACAATCACCTCACTGAGGGCAATCAGTCCTCCGCCTCCCACGCCCTGAATCGATCTGCCCACGAGCAAGTAGGTGAAGTTCTTGGCTATGGCGGCAATAATCGTTCCAACGAAGAAGAAGACGAGAGCAACTAGCACAAGCGGTCGTCGACCGAAGATGCTCGAGAAAGAGGCGAAGTTTGGTTGGAAGACTGCGCGAGGGGTCAATGGAGTGTGTCATAGAGGGCATTAACTTGTCGCTGTACCTGTCGAACACAGAAGAAAAGCAGTTCCGCTCCAGAATGCCTCAATTGCCGTTCCTTTCAAATCTTGTGTGATGGTCTGTTGCAGTTTCATCAGTGTCCGCGTTCAGTATGCGCATCCAGGTTAGTCAACACTCACAGGCAAAGCGACAGAGATAGAGGTCCCATCTAGCGCAACCATCAAGGTCAACACTGATAGCGTAAAGAAGGCCAGGATTCCACGCCTGCCAAGCGTGAACTCGGGCAATCCTGGAGTGAGGTTTTTAGACCCATTTGGTGAAGCCTGGCCAGATCCATCCAGGCCATTGCGCTCTGGCAGAACCTTTTCATCAGACATTGGACTCGTAGGGACGTAAGATGATCTTCCCTCCTCTGTCTGTCAAACAAAGGAATCAGAAAGTACCCCGTTTGCTTTTATTCCCACCATGATGCCAGGTTGAGAGCAGGCAGGTAACTGATATAGCCATCCCCGTTCAGTAATCGAAATTACGCAAGAGGCAATTCGGTCTGTTGAGCGGAGGAAGGCAGGCCCCGTTGAGTCAGAATATGGCGATTTCCCGTCGGAGTCGGTCATATTGAGATCAAGGCAGAACAGTTATTTTCCTGGAGAGCAACGTGCAGTTAGGGAGAGCTCGGAGGAATACAATGCCGGGTTAGCGCATCGCATAAGCCTCCATCGCTCGGCTTCAACGCTGTCATGGTTCGGATGGTCTATTGAGCCGACTCGTATCCTCACGTAATATTCGGGTGCGGCTCCATTTCTGCACATCTGACCGTCGGCCGATGCACAAGCGGCCAGGTTCTCTCAAACCATTACGGTGCGGACCTGAAGAACGTAATTTCAAAAGGTTGCGTGCAGTGTGAGTAAAGCCACTGGAGAGGGGAATGGAGGACACCGGAGATCGGGTGTTCTTTAGAAAAGATGACCACTAAGAGCGTTTGAGTACTACTTAACAGAGAATGAAAGTTCCTGACGGACGCGGACCATCCTCACTAGGACTTGCAGCTTCGCAGACGCTCAGTTCCATTCCTTTACATTAATTCATCTAGTACTCTGATCGGTCTTAGTTAACGTAATTCCCGGGCGAGCCGCCACCTTCTGTATCCCGTATAGAATGGCACTGTTCAAGGCTTAGATTTGTCAGCCACGGCTACTTATGGTTTTAACTAAGATATTTAGAATATGTATAGTTTAGCGTATAAGAATACTCTTTCTTAGGAGGCTAAAATATTGTTCCTCTGCCTCAATGTGTGGAAGTTAAAAATACCAAATTACAGGCGTATTTTATGTTAGCTGAATGTATATATATGAGTTTATAAGTATATGACTATATTATACCATATGCCTAAACTTGGCCCCTGTAGACTCTTGGCTGTTGAGATATCGAAGCCTTGAAAATTGCCATTTTATATGGGATACAGAAGGCGGCTCGCCTGGGAATTACGCTACTGACTAGTGGTGACTCATAAGCATAGCCAAGAATGGCCCATGCGTGAGTTTCTCGTGCCGACAAACAGACAGGCGGGTTAGATATGCGTCTACGCAACACGCACATGCTGGGACGGGGCAATGTTGTGGTGTGCTGTGGAACTATCCACATTTTGAAGCTGAGAATGACGTGATATCACGACTTTGGATCCTAACAAAAAAGCCAGCAGGAAGCATTCACGTCAAGGTGGGATCTCCAGAGACATATAAAGCTTGTGTGTATGTGTTCTCTCATAGTTCAAGATTCCTGTGTTGGAAGAGTGCACAGTCGTAGCGCCCAGACATGACCAGTTTCCCCGACAGTCGCCCGCGGACCCTTTGGTTCGGGAACTCTACCTCCATCACTCCCGCTGTCATCTCATCCGTGGCAGCTAGAGTTTCTCCAGATTCGGCGGCCAGACCGGATATTGCGTCAAACTCCGCCCAGAACGATAGCGGCAACCCTCATCCAAGTTGCGACTTTCATGAACAGGACTCATGGTCCGTGTACGAGCCGAGAGCCCAAATTTGTCTTGCAGCATCTATCTAATACTATGCCTCACCGTGTGCAGGCAATCCTTGGTGCTGATGGATGGTATGCAAAATACTAGTTTCTATAGGGGCACAATAGATCAAAATGGAAAGCGGTGATCTTTGCGGCATTGGCTTAGGGCGGGATATCTAGCTATGACAGAATGGGCGCAGTGGCGAAGCTGGTTCCACGGTGCGTATGGCTAATGGTTGGTTTCGCCAAACTGATGTCATAGGGTTGTCCAACGGTAGGGTATATTAGCTCTATGGGCTGTGGCTCGAAAATCCTACGGCAATACGGCTTTCAACTGTAGCGTCAACATGGACGAAGTTCACGATAAGCACGGACAAATCATTTCTCCCGGCGACCACGTCTTTACCAAAATCCGTGGAGGCCGGCACGAAGGCGATGTACGAACCCCAAGCATATCCAGGGCTGCAGTATCCCAAGAATGTGCTAACGGCATAATAACATAAAAGGTTGAAAAGATCGTCAGAACGGAGGAAGAAGCTGAACAGGAGGGAGTGAAGCATCCACCTAAGGTTGGTTTTTTGCTCCTTTTGTCAAGGATTGTGCTGATAATGCGAAAAGGTCGTGTTCCATGATCAACGCGGAAAAAAGGTTGCGCATAATCCAGGCACCTTGGAAAAGGTCTCTGAGGATTAATATAGGCCGGCAACGGCTTCGTTTCCTTCAGTTTTGTTGATTTAAATAGTGAAATTTTAGTTGATAGCCTCATTATGAGAATATGATAATAAATATATCACGAGAACAGGTGACGGGACTGTAGCTAGTGATTGGTCGTGCAGTTGTTCATTGCTAGTATCAATTTTGTCTTCTGTATCTGTCGAATGATTGCAAGTTTCAGCGGGACACAAAGAAATGTCATGCAAGCCAAAGAACAAAATTAAAGTAAAAAGCAGAACTCGGCAGGCTCAACATCTCCGGTTCCAATGTCACATAAGATTCCACCATTTGGGTATCCACTCTCTGTGATTCCACGTTTAAATCTCCGCCGTTCAAGCTTCACAGTTTTAGACCACCGTTTAAGCTTCCACCGATTAAGATCTATCATTCAAGATCCCGTGGTTAGAATCAAGTGCTCATAATTCCAAAGCTATAATTCTACTGCTTCTTTCTAAGATTGACCAAGATAGCAACGTGGTTCGTACTATTCGGAACCCTAGTCCATTATTTGCAGTATGGGATGAATAACCTAACATACCCTCTACAATAGCAAGAGATACATGAGAAGTGACCTCATACGAAGCCCATTAATATATAATATATCGTCTCCGATAGCTTGTTTAGCTGAACAAACAACCAATACGTGCAAGGATATCATTAAAGGGCCTGCCCTATTAATATAGCCACGCCTATAGCCAATGGATTAGTGAGCGAGAGGCCGGTAGGCGCAGAATTCTTACTGCTAGTAGTTGAGCCTGTAGTATTGCCTGCGGTTTCAGTGCCATTAGAGCCCGTGGCAGCGCTAGTAGTTGAGCCCGGAGTAGTGACTGCAGTTCCAGTGCCAGAGCGCCCCGTAGCAGATGATGAAAGGGAGGATGATGAAGGTGATGGCTTGGGACACAAGTTGTTATACACAAACTGCTTAGGAGCGCCACTACAAGCGGTCGCAGATCCAGCGTTAAATGTGCCGCTCGCATAGATCCAGCAACTGCCTGAGGAATACGGCGAGTTGCTTGGAGGACTCTGCGGATTAAAGACGACATAGCTGCAGGAATCGGCCTTTGCACATTGACTCAAGCAGTCTGATACACCGGTACTAGCAGTACAAGTAGTAAAGCAGTCACCAGGCGCCGGGTACCCGCAGACCGAGGCAATAGCAGAGGGAGTCGCGGTGGCGGGGCAGGCGCCAGCACTGGTGGTTGCGCTCCCGCCAGCACACACGGGCTGGCTGTAGACGGACAGGCTGGGATTGGCGCAATTCGAACTACCTTTGCTCGCATCGAAGGTTTCACCCGGGTACAGCCAGCACGTGCCGGTGCCCGTGTAAGGGTTGCCGGCAGAGAAGATAACAAAGTTGCAGGGAGGGTGGGCGTTACAGTAGTCCCAGCAGGAGGCCCTGCTGTCGATGGCGACGGCAAATTCTGGGCCAGGTTCCGGGTAGCTGCAGAGACTGCTGATAAGGGAAGCAGTACAACTTGGTGCCGCGGCAGTAGATGTAGTGGACGTTGCAGATGTCGCTATGGATTCAGTAGGGACTGCTAGAGCCTGTGGAACTAATAGGGCGATAGAGGCCCACAAAGGAGCGATCTTCATGGTAGCGAGCGTAGGTAAGGAAATAAACGCGTGCAAAACTGGGGAAAGTATTAATATTTAAAAAGGAGCGGTCACTAGTGGGACCGGTCCTGCTTATTTATAACTAGGTAGAGAGGGGGAACAAGCCTTGTCGAATCTTATATCACGTGGTAAGTAGTGAGACAGATATATATTAATTAGGAAGGTCGATTCCCCTATCTTGGTGAACTTGGAGGTTTTAGCGTGTTTTCTAGTCACACCCAAGACGCGCTGAGTATTAACTACTTTACTATCTTAGGAATAGCTTGTGTATTCCAATACAAAATTATATACCAAGATACAGTAGTAATTAAGAAGTACAATGAAAGGCAAAATGATTCTTTTCCCGATAAATCAAAACAATGGCATTATCTCAGTAGGTAGGTATTTAGCAATGAATTCGGAGACCCTTGATCGCAAGGAATCCTACATGCTTTATACTATGATGTCAAAGACAGAATTGTTGACTGGCGGCTTAAAACAGAGTATGGAGCCAAGGAAAGAATATGCTGGGATAGCAATAGGCGCTCCTCAAGCATCTGCAGCTCTGGATCGCCCGATGAGGCAACTTCGTAACATGATATGGCCGCGTGGCTTGCAAGTTCGTGGGTTGTAGCGATGCATGAGTCGAAAGACGTTATACCAGAAGACGTAGGTGTCGGTTTCAAGACAGATGAACCACTCCGCCCTTGGGTTTTTTTATAGGCACGTTCTACCATCGGCAATAATTGAAGCATTGGATATTCCAGCCCTTAGTGCCATCCACAAGCTTTTCATTGCCCAATTGTAGAGTACTATAAGCTTCATAATCAGTGACGTTAGCTCAGAAGGACTGCGAGCGAGTTGTGAGCAGATCATCAACGTGATGACCCTTGAATTCAGATTCACAATCAGACATGATGATCAGGTCCGAGGTGCAGCGAGTGACTGCAACAGCGTGAGTGTTGAGACGATCCGCGGGTTCGTAGGAACCTGGTTTGAGGGCGACCTGAATACGCAACAGGAGGGAAGTGTCGGAAACTGCCTCATGCAGGGCCACGGTGGCCGCAGTCGGGTGTGAGCGGTAATGTATAAGCAGGGTCTGTGAAACGACAGCATACTAGCACCGACGTGCTGTGCAAAATCCAGACCTCGCAGGTCCGATTATAGATAAAGAGATCCATATTATCCCATCGATTACGAACAGGGTTAGAATTGATGAAAGGAATGTAACCAGACTAGGGAATAAGGAGGAAGAAGAAGAGGATGATAGGTTATTACAAGACCAAGGCAATAGGAGGCCACGACACCAACCGCGACTCGCGGTGAGGCAACCGTGAACGGCGACAGAGGAGGAAAAGAAGCAATTATTTCTTCCCGGTTGATCTATACAAAGTGATCCAGGCACATACTAAGCTTAGGCAAAACGCAGGCGGGTGATGGAATGGCCCAGTGGTGGCCAAAATTGCAGCCTAGAGGGAAAGACACTCATACAACTTTGAGGTAGATACATAGTACATTAAGTGATTTATGTTGCCCTTAACGAGACTCAGGATGAGTCACATCATAGTTCGGTTACATGCTAAAGCATTTTTTCTCGGTCCCATGCCGGGTGAGTAGCAACCTCCTTTGGACGCCACGCACTCGGAACGGAGTAGGCATACCCCATTATTGTGGCATCCGGGATTTTTTTCGGAGGGCTCACCTATGAAGAACTTGGCGCTCAAACCTGACTACATGTCTATGTCAATCCCTCATATCTGCTAGACAGATGGGCCAATTACAACATCCTGGGAGGACGATGTCCGTGTATAGCATCAGCATGACATACTAGAAAAAGATGCCGTCAATATAGGTGGATATGAATCTCATGGAATGCGCTAGGTATGCATGGAGTCTCCACCCAGCTTGGATATTTCTTCATGGTTTACCTCTTCGGGGAATGATCGGCCACAAGCTATACATGATCACGCCAACCACAGACACAGACTAGTCCATAGTATGGAGTACCAGCTCAGTGGTCCAGATGAACACATGTTCATAATCATTATGATATCAGATTACATGATGACATACTCTCGAAATACGATGCTCTGGACAAACATATAAACCACATCTCCATCCATTCCAGCACAGGGGTTTTACCAGACAATAACACACTCCCGCGACCAACCAACATACTTTCAAATCAACACGCAACCGCATATCCAAAGTTACAATGGGCCGCACCTATCGAACTCACCACCCCAAATTCTCCCCTGGCAACACCGTGAACCTCCGTAGCTACCGTCGCAGCCTGCCCTTCCAGCGAGATGATGCTGGTTACATCACCGCCCACGACCAGCTCCTCACCACGACCCGCAAGAATGTAGAGCACTACGATTCCTCGGGCACGCTGTACGCAAATGCCACAGACGCGCTGCAGGGTGACCGGTTTTACGTCGAGCAGGGCGATAATGGATTCCGGTTCAAGGAGACCGAGACAGGCAAATATCTAGCACTAAAGGGGGAGTATGTATTTCTTATTCTCATGTCTTATTGGCACAAGCTGACTGGATGGGGCTTAGTTGGATTGGGCTGGATGATGAGGGGACTGATCTATGGTTTGAGGAGTGGCCGCTCGAGGAAGGAAGGTATATCATCACACCGAGAAAGGATAATATCTACCCATCGGATGGACCGGGATATCATCTGTGGTTTGAGGGGGCACCGGACGCGGTGTTTCGGAATAATGAGGATGATCTGAATGTCAAGGGGGAGGGACAGCATGCGTTGTTTTGGATCGATACAGTCCTGGGGTTGTAGATTGTTGACCTGTATAGCGCCCCGTCTTTAGACTTGATAAATATAGTGGCGACAATTATAAGAAACAAGCAGATGCTTCGACGAAGATGTAGTCTGAAAGTTAGTCACTGCCTGAGATGGCTATGAAGCTCCGGGATTGCTGTTAACTTTCATTCACACTGCTAGCCCCAGACTTAATCTTGGCCCTGCTCACAACTTTATTTGTGCCTGCACGTGTATCACTACCATTAAACTCGTGGTTAGATGATAAGAAGAGGGTCTTAGTCTCTGAAGAGATCTTCAGGCAGTTGGATAATTTAGGTGACCAGTTCATATCCTCAAGAGCACTGACTGCACACTCCACTGAAAGTACATTAGTTAGATCCTAAACTATTACTATGATATATTACATCAATAACACCAAAAGATGCAGTATTAAGAGATAGTTAATATCATAATTCATCTGGAAAGTGCGCGCCGTGTCAGAGCTCGGCAGTGTACTTTGAAATCTCTGCACTGCATGCAGCACCGGGTATGAAAGGGCAGGGACAACAGCAGACCTAGGGACAGCCACACAGTAATTGCAGGAAGCCCTCAGCCATTATACGTCCCCCACTCTTCAGCGGTTACCCCAGCCTACACATACTCAGGCTAAGAATTAGAACCGGAAACTGGTCATTGGCGCGTTAAATAATTCATGAGTCCGAATAGACTGGCGTATGCGAATCATATAATCGGCAATGATTGGAGGAATCGCTAATTGTCCTAAAGCTTACTTAGAACCCCCGACGAGTAGGACTTCTGCGCGAGATGGTGCAATTTGCGGCGGTCAGTTTTATTAGACCTGGTCCTGGGGATCTTGCTGACGAGAATAAAGTATTCCGGTATCTTGTGGACAGGCAGCGTCGCCGTGACCTCAGCTTTCATTCTTCGCACCAATTGATGAGCCGAATGGTGACTGGTGACAGGGAGAAACTCGACCGAGTTATCGGAAGCAGCGGGGATGAAATGGTCCTCATTGTTAGTCAACCAGAGGAAAGCGACTAGAAACGGCGCTCGAGGGCCATCGATCTCGCCGAGCAGGTCCACGATGACCGCATCCCCAGGGCCTAACAACCTACGGAGGACGTACTCCACCTCGGTTGCTTCGACTCGATATCCATTAATTTTGAGGAGAGTGTCCTTGCGGCCCAAATGTTCCACAGTGCCGGCATGTGTATATCTCCCCAGGTCACCAGAGCGATAGAACCTAGACGAGGCTGCACGAGACGGGTGGAGATCTTTGAGCCAGGTTGGTGCCTTCGGTAGGAATCCAACATCGGGCTTCTGGCAGACGCCGTCCAGGTATCCTCTGGCCAGGTGGGGCCCTTCAATCAGAATCTCGCCGACAGCGCCGACGGGCATAAGGAGCTCTGGAGATTCCGGACTGGTTATCCAAATGGCTCCGCTCCCGCTGCGTCCGACAATGGCGTTCTGGCCCGGTTGGACGTGATCGTTGTACGCGCAGAAGGTGGCAGCCTCACCCATGCCATACTGGTTGACCAGTCTCACATGAGGGGACCATCTCATCAGGAGCTCGTTTGACATGGGCTCACCACCAAGGCAGACCAACTCCAACGTTGGCACATCCTGAGGGGAAATTTGAGCAGCGATAGTCGGGGTCAGAAAGGTCATGTTGACCTGAAGGGTGTTGATGTTCTCCACGAGAGTAGATATAGACTTGCTCGGGGTGTGGACGCAGCAGCATCCACCAGCGGTGAGGGTGGTCAAATAGTCATTATTGCTGATATCAAACGCGTAATCATCAAATTGCAGCACGCGGCTGTGCCGACCAATTCCAATCAATTTGTTGTAATCCCGGACTGCCGTAGCGTACGCTCGATGCTCTTGAATAATGCCTTTTGGCTCTCCAGTACTCCCAGAAGTGAACAGGATGAGACAAGGATCACTAGGTTTTACCACGGGGCAGATGACACCAGAGCTGACAGGAAGAGCACGTACCATTTCTGGTGTAACTGCAATGACCGACGGGACAAAATGGGCGTATCTGGACTGATAAGCCTCAGAGGTGAGGATTAATTTTGCATCCACACGGCGAATCACATTCTTAAGGAAAATGGGCGGGTCTGTCGCGTCAACAGAGATATATGCGGCGCCGGCTTTCATAATAGCCAGGCGGGCGACAATTGCCCATGTTGACTTTTCAAAACAGCTGATTACAAAGGTACCCGGGCCTACACCGATACTGGCCAGAAACTGTCCAAGTCGAGAGGTTGCATCATCCAGCTGCGCGTAGGTCAGGTCACCATCCCATGAATGGACAGCCGGTGCATCAGGGGTTAGCCGTGCATGCCGTAAGGCTAAGTCGTGCAGCAGCACTTCACTGGATTCGGATACACTCTCGGTATATCTTTGCAACAACTGACGGTCACGTTTTGAGCACAGGTCTAACTCTCCCAGAGATCGTAATGGAGATGATAGCACTKCCCTGATGGCCATATCGAAGGTGTGCAACATACTAAGTGCAAGATCTCTAGAGATGTCGGAGATAGAGAAGGTGAGCTTCGCTCGAACTTCGCCATTTGCTTGCGAGATGTCCAGGAAAAGCTTGGAATTGATGTGCTGTCGGATTTACGATCTGTTAGCGGACGCAGATGTACAGAGCGTGCGAGCGACGGTTGAAGGGAGGGGATATGTATACCCCTGTGTTCAAATTTCGCTCGCTTGATCCCTCTGTCATAGCAGAGAGTTCTTCTGTGTAGCAAATCGTGGTCGTCAGAAATTTCTCCGAAGCCTCGTCGGAAGAATCGTCGCCCACTGACATCTGTGGCGTCGTCTCAGACTGAAGGAGAGAGACATCTCGGACGAGATTTTTGACCGGGGCCTCACAATTCAGTTCAATGGCGACATGGCGGCCTGCCCTTTGTGCCCATCTAGTGATAAAGTACACGCCGGGCTCTGAATGCTGACCCAAGTAGATTTCCTGGGCCGGAGAGAAGCAGCGCACAGTGACCAGCCAACTGGCATTGAGGAGCGTTATGATGCTAGGTGGAAAGCCGACAGAACACTGATATTCTGAGGCAAAGACACTGAGAAGCTTATCTGGACTATAAGAGAGTGAGAGATCCACTGAATCCCGTAATGTAACTGATGTATTCTTGTCCTTGGTTTTGGGGACATCAGTAGAAGTCCATCCACAATCTTGTATACGGGTCAAAAGGGGCGCCATGATAGGAGTTACTGAGTGTATTCATGTGAGGCTGAGGCTAAATTGCGATACATGCAAGCCAATGTTGGCCTAAGGACTAAGACAAGCTTGATCTGAGAAGATGGAGGCAAAGTGGGCAAGACCGAGGCAATTGAAAGACAATGGCTAATTGCATATCCATCATACTTATTACAAACCCGGCTGGATCCAGAATTTCAGGTGATAGAGAGGTAGAGGTACCTAAAATGCAGATCAATAGCTTTGAGTATGTAGGACGCATGTAATTTTTGAGATATCTGGTGCTCCGAGTCCCCCTTGCTTATGCCACCTTTTTCCGGAGTTATTCCCCCTTTTTTTTCCTTTTTTAGAAATAAAGCTTCTCTCGCGCATGACCTGATAAAATCCGGCACTACTCTGTACAGCCCCCACGCAGGTACTCAGGGTTCTAGATCCAGAGCCGCACCTCCACCAAACTTTAACATCCATGTCTGAATTCCCATATCCATGTCAATCAGCTGGCTGTTTTCCCTGACTTGAGGGGGAAGCATGCAAGTATCCAGCATACGTCTTTCTTCTGGTTAATGGTGTCTCAAGACTTCCAGACCATAGTTAGCTTGGATCAAGGTCCATAGGATCACGGGACCTCAATCCCTTGCTTAGACATTCTATCCTCTGCATCGGCATGGACGCCTCGGGGATCTCGCAACGCGTCCGATACCAGCCACGCGGATTCTAGGGGCACTGTAGGGCCATGGCAATCTCGATTTACCCCTTGCAATTTTTCAGTTGCTTCAGGAGTTCACTCCAGCAGGATCATGACTAGAAGCTGAAACTAATAGTCCAGCTACTAGCTTCGGCTTTAGTGCACAATCCTGATGGTGATTATATATTACCACCAACACGAAAACGCATCATGTTTTGTCGTTGACCGCTTTCCTGGTCAGCCGTTTTTACATATATTTAGCATATCTGAAGTGAAGGTGAGAAGTCCATCACCCTAGTAAGTCGCATCAAAAGAACCCCTTGATTGTATGTGTCGTGGTCAACGAGGGGACGTGTAGTAAGACCCAGTCATCTCCAAAAGCGAAGGAATAACACGAGGGCTATGTGCACACTTAGGCAATAGTACTGTCTTGGATTTCTACAGGGGTCACCCCGGTCAAATAATCAGAATGGTCATGTGAGGTCCTTTGTTATTCCTTCGAGAAAACTAGTTGGTAGACGGGGTACGCAATCTGTCGTCGGAAGCGGCGGGAAGATTGCCGCCCAGATTAAAGGGGGCCGTGTAGCCGTCACATGAGATGATTGGTTTTTCCGGCCCCCTTAACTCCGTAGTTCCAGGAATAGCTTGCTACCCCATGCTCCACCATCAACCAATGTTACCGTCGGGATTGGCGTGGCCGCGTGGGGTTGACCTGAAGGCGAGCTCTGGAATTGATGGATGCGGAAAAGGTTTTTTGGACCATAGCAGGTTGAAAGTCGTATTGTTAGGAACTTTAATAATTAAAATTAGGCGAGTTGGTCAATAGTCTGGCAGTAGTTATAACCATTCCTCTCTGTGAAACTGGGACACTTGTATGGGGGCTATAGAGTGTATGGCCATTGTCTGAATGTGATTCACTATCAAATCCAGACTCACTAGACCCGGCGGGATGGTTCAAATTCTGACGGATTGTGATCCGCGGGAGAGGGAGAGTCGGTGTACGACACGGAGGTACTTTGCCATACCATGCAGAGTTTGCAGACCCGTTGGCAAATCCCGAGACAGTAGTAGTGCTGCCGATACGGGCAGCGATGACCAATAGCCGCCGCCGGAAGAAGCTTAGATAATTCATTCTGGAAGCGGCAGAAAACTCTTACGATGACGCCACTGCTTTGTTGCGCATGCAAGGTACTTAAATTGTCTTGCTTTTCCCAATTTCCTTATCAAGTATCCTTTAGCACACCGCTCACCTTGTACGGTCAGGAATGGCGAGGATGAGTAAGTTATCTCCCGCCACTGGCCCCTATTTGAGGCCCAGTCCATGATGTAAGAATGCTATTCCCTAGACATTACTCTCCTGCGATCAGCAGTCAAAAGCAGCGGTGACCCTGCAAACCCCTTCATCTCTCACAAACCTCACCCTTGTCGTTCATTCTTCACCTCGTATGATCACAATGGCACCCCTCAAGCTCAATAGCAGGAATCTGTCGCAAATTGCGGCGGCGGGTGGCGCGCTGGTGAAGATCCCAACCTACCAGCGCGGTCGCGCGGTCAAGGAGGGAATCGTCCACATTGGCGTCGGCGGCTTCCACCGTGCTCACCTGGCTGTCTATATCGACCAGTTGATGCAGAAGCACGGGGTTACTGACTACGCAATTTGCGGAGTTGGCTTGCAGCCCTTCGACGCCGCAATGCGTGACGCATTGGCATCACAGGATTACCTCTACACCCTCATTGAGCGTTCGGCCAAGGGAAGCTTTTCCCACGTCATTGGCAGCATCAACTCCTATCTCTTTGCCCCTGATGATCGCGAGGCCGTTATCGCCAAGATGGCGCACCCTGACACGAAAATTGTCTCCCTCACCATCACCGAGAGCGGTTACTACTACAACGAGAACACACATGAGCTGCAGAGCGAGCACCCGGACATTCAGTTCGATCTCGACCCGGCTAACGAGAAGGCCCCGCGCACCACTTTCGGCTTCCTCTACGCGGGCCTGACCCGGCGCTACCAGCAGGGACTCAAGCCCTTCACCGTCATGTCGTGCGACAACATGCAGAAGAACGGATCCATCACACGTCATATGCTCGAGTCGTTTGCACGCCTGCGCAACCCCGAGGTCGCGGAATGGATTGCCGAGGAAGGCGCCTTCCCGAACGCCATGGTCGACCGTATCACCCCTCAGACTTCAGAAACCGACAAAACGGCACTCGCAGACAACTTTGGCATTGTGGACTCGTGGCCCGTCGTCACGGAGCCCTTCACTCAGTGGGTCATCGAGGACCAGTTCTCCGACGGCCGTCCTCCATTTGAGAAGGTTGGTGTCCAGGTTGTTAAGGATGTTCACGCTGTGGAGCAGTTCGAGAAGCACAAGCTGCGCCTGCTCAACGGCAGCCACTCGGCTCTGGGCTACCCAGGTCAGCTGGCTGGTTTCAAGTACGTCCACGAGGTCATGGAGAACCCACTCTTCCGCAAGTTCGTGTGGCAGATGATGCAGGATGAGGTCAAGCCCCTCTTGCCTGAGATTCCGGGCGTCAACATTGACGAGTACTGCAACACCCTCATCGAGCGCTTTACCAACCCGACCATCATGGACCAGCTGCCCCGTATCTGCCTCAACGCTTCCGGCAAGATTCCCCAGTTCATCATGCCCTCGATTGCCGAGGCGATCTGGGTGACTGGCCCCTTCCGTCGCCTGTGCTTCGTCGCGGCCGCTTGGTTCCATTACGTTAACGGCGTCGACGACGGCGGCAAGCCGTTCGAGGTTGTCGACCCCATGCGTGAGGAGCTGCAGGCCAAGGCTCGCGCCGGAGGCACCGACCCGCTCGAGCTGCTCAGCATTAAGAGCCTGTTCGGTGACGACTTGCGCAGCGACCAGCGGTTCCTCAAGGAGATCACCACCGCTTTGAATGACATTAAGCGGGACGGCATCATGAAGACGCTTCCCAAGTACGTTGACTGATTGCCGCGGCTAGTTCTGTTGGATGGAACAATTTTGTTTGCAAGCGATATTTTGTTTACTTTGTATATGACATGAGGGAGGATTTTGGATAAAAGCACCACATAGAGATAGAGATAGACTAGGTCCCCTAATTCTCACTTTATTCCGCATTATACCATTCAGGCCACCGCGCCGCTCCCAGAACCTCGGCAGATACGCTTTTTGATGGATTTGGTTTGGGTTATGGGTATTTATACACGTTGCAGTATATAGGAGTTGTCATAAAACATATTTATCACATAATCAATATCCTTACAAAATGGTGATCTACAATTTAGCTATTGGTAGTTAGGACACCACTAATAAATGAATTGGGGAAGAACCTTGCAGAGACTAGAGGCCAATTATGCATTAAATGTGGTAGGATGCTATATAAAATTGGGGTTTATTGATCATCAGTGACGCTACATTTCCCTGAAGATAATCACACAGTTCTAACGCCGCGTTGCGAGAATCAAAGTAGCTGGCCAACAGCCATGGAGACGTCTCCCCTCGCCCATGAGGTCCTTTAGCTCCTGCAACAGTCCTGTAAAGGCCGCTGGATTGACCCCTGCGTGAGGAAACGAACGGAAATGCTGCAGGAAACCCTCAAAGTCGGTTTGAAAGCGCCATTCCTCATCAGTTTCATACACGACGACATCACTAGGGCCTGAGAAGTCTGGATCCGTCACTTCATGCTGTCGTTCGGGCGGTAGCAGGCCAGTAATGCCGCCCTGGGCCATGTTCAGCCGGATGCGCAGCGCTCCTGGCCGAAACCACCGCCGCTCCAGAGGAGCCACATTGTATTCTTTCGAACTACGACTCATGACGTCAATGGTGTCCTGCGGATGGTCCGCCATGTCCAAAAGGATTCGACCGCCCTGCTGGCTGATCCGCTCCCACACGTCCTGGACATCGGGGTCGTCAAAGCGCGCGGGACCAAAGCCTGCGCACGCAAAGGTGCCTCCCGGCCGGAGCTGAGTCGCAATCGCCTCCATTGCCGCTTGCTGGTCCGCAAAGTGCATGACATTGGTCGCAAAGGCCAGATCCACACTTCCGGGCGGCAGGTCGGCTGCGTCTTCGACTGGCGCGGCGCGATAGCTGAAGCCGTCTCGTCCGAGGTGCTCCTCGGCCAGCTGCACGTTTTTCGGCACAATATCGGATACAATAACGTGGTCGAACTTTGACCGCAGCTCCTTTGCGTACGGGCCAATTCCCGCACCAAGGTCATGGACTGTCCCAAAGCGCCCGCCATTTTCCAAGTGGTAGCGATAGATGCGTTGGAAGAAGCTCTGCGGAACTTGTGGGCGACCCTGGAGATAGTTATCCCAAAATGCCTTGCTGCGGGCGAAAACTTGGTCTTTAGTCTCGATGGGGGCTGCCGTTGGAGGAGGAATGCTATGGGGTACAGCCATGCTGACGTTGTGATCTGCTAGCTTGATCGTTTTTGAATAAGGTGATTAGATGGATTTTCTCAATACGCTGTGCATCCACTAATATACTACAAGCTGAAGTAATGTGGTGACCGTTGATCGGGGCTCGGGGGGTCTGAAGATAATGCTCCGAGGAATGAGTAAATCACCTCCATTGACGACTCCTTAACATTTGTCTCTTCTCCTTTTGTTCGGTACTCTTTCAACTTCATTACTCTATCCGATTATTATAACTACTTCGTCTGACATGCTATAGTATGTTATAGTATAGTGATAAAATAACTGTTTTGGCCAGGCTGACCATCCTCATCATGAGTGTAACTTTAACCTTCGCGTCTAAAGCCTTCTCTGAGGACCAGTCTGAAACCCAGGACCGCCCCCGCCAATGGAAATAATGAGCGCACTGCATGCAGTTTCGCCCATCGGACGAGGAGTTGCTGAGCCTCTCCCAGGTTGGGTGCAGCGGGAACTGAGTGCATTTGAAACAAGGCGTTGTTGGTCGGGGCCATGACCAGCCACGTAAAAGGCACCATCGAGATGGTTGTCACTGCAGCAATCATATGAGGCAGTCCGGACCGGCCCGCAGCCCGCGCACTGGTCATAGCATGCCCGTAGAGAAGACAGGTAGTGATAGCCAAGCTGGGCATCATCTTATGTCCAATGTCATAGAGGCGTAGAAAGTGTTGCACTAAGTCCGAGGATTGAGTAGCAGTGTCGAGTAAAACAGGAATGTCAACGAGAGATAGTCCCATCATGATTCCTAGACCGGCGTGAGACATGCTACATGGACGCAACATAGAGGACAACATACCAGAGAGAAAGGCGCCTGTGATGACAGCAGTGGCCTGTGTAATAATCTGAGAAGAGACGTCCTGCGGCATAGTGATAGGGAGATGCAGTGTGAAGGTGCCTAGACAATAGAGAAGGTCCCAGTGGCTATACTGAATCGATACTAGTTATAGAGGTGAGCCCCGAGTCCAAAGACAAGAATTGCCCCGATAAACAGGTGGGTTACATCAAATGGCTCCGTCTGGTCGTAACCCATGCCCCACGCCCCAAGTTTTAAGGTTGATCCGCGCCTTCATAGCCGCCGACATGCAGATTGCTACTCAGGCCTCTTTCCCTACTTTCTTCAAATAATTATCCCAAAACAATGGCAGAATCCGCGGGAAAGCCGAGCAGATATCTCTGCCTCACCATCTGCGGCTACCGCAAGCCGGGCATAAGTGAGGAAGATTACCGCCGCTATATGACAGAAATCTCCGCCCCAATGACGAAAGATTTGATGGTGAAATATGGGGTCAAGCGATGGACTATGGTGATTTCCCATTCTACGATTGTATACCCGCGGGTTAGTAACGGAGCAGGTCCATAACACCACTGCCACGCGCGCGCTCGTGGCCGAGTTGTATGACTCGCAAATGACCAACGTGACAGATTTCGACTGTTTCAGCCAGGTGGTCTTCGAGAGCCTGGACGACTACAAACGCATGAATCAAGACCCTTGGTACAAAGAGCATTTGTTCCACGATCATGAGAATTTTGCGGATACCAAGCGGAGCATGTAGGTTACTTGTCTTCCATTCATCTGTACAGGGAATCACTCACGCTTGTTGCCCTCAGGATGACGATCGGGTGGATTGAAGAATTTGTTCGGCAGGGAGTGGCTGTGGATGGAATGGAGGATTGTTCTCTTAATTAAACTGCTCTGCTCATTTTGGCTTCACAAGGCTGAGCATAATGGTGGCGTCTTCCCTGGGTAATAGCTTTGTTAGCTCTTTGTCGGAACAGTCCGAGCTATTAGTCCGAGAGCCCAGCTGGCATTTGCTTTCTACCGATGTAGTCCGTAGGTTCGGGGCTCAGTTGACCTTGATAAAGGTCCCATTTAAACATGATCTAACGATAATTCCATTGTCTAGTAACTCGGGCATAGACAGACTCGACGATCAAGTCTTCTGATCCTGCAGATCACATAATGCTTACTATCACCAAGTGGCTCGTCTATGGCTGCTGTGCTCTCTCAACCGTGGCAACCAGAGCACCTTTGCCAAAAGACTGCCGGAATACTCCGACTAGTCGAGGCTGCTGGAGAGATGGGTTTGACATTCTGACAGACTACACCAATCACACACTGGTCCCGCCTGGCAAGCTGGTCGAGGTCAGTTGCCTTACAATTATTATGCCTGTCAAAATTGTATCAATAATATACCAACGATACTATTAGTACAATCTCACCGTCAGTCAGCAAGTCATCTCTCTCGATGGATACGAAAAACTAGGAATGGTAGTTAATGGTTCGTATTCCTTATATATTTTTGTAAGGACTATGGGAATAATTGGCCACTCTAGGACAGTGTCCTGGCCCTACGATCGAAGCAGATTGGGGGGACACTATCCGTAAGTCTTTTCCCTCTGCAGCGACAGTCAAAGCCTAACAGATACAGGAATTAGCGTGTACAATAATTTCACCGACAACCACAACGGTAGCTCTATTCACTGGCATGGACTGCGTCAGTTCGAGACCAACTATCAGGACGGAGTCCCTGGAGTCACGCAGTGTCCGAGCAAGGTAAGGGTACCCAGCTAAGCATAAGGTAGGAGCAACTGACTTGTCCATTATAGCCTGGAGACGCGCAAGTATACGAGTTTCGGGCAACACAATATGGAACGTCCTGGTATCATTCGCATTTCAGTCTGCAGTGTGAGTGTCATCTGTTCAGTTCGAATATGAATACTAATCAGTATCAGATAGCAATGGACTCTTTGGTACGTTGCTCATCCTACGAAAATTTGGCTATACTGAAGAGGTCACGCAGGCCCAATTGTCATTCATGGACCATCGAGCATGGACTGGAATGAGGACTTGGGGCCCTGGCTCCTGCATGACTGGTACCACGACGATGTGTTTTCCCTGCTTTGGATAGGAGAGACGACGAATCGAGGAGCGATTCCCGAGTCTACCATCTTGAATGGCAAGGGGAAGTTCGACTGCAATCACAGCAACGATACGCGCTGCACCGGAACAGGAGGAGACTATTTTGAGGTCAGTTTCAGGAAGGGAATCAAGTACAAGTTGACTATAGTCAATACGGGTACCCTGCTAGAATATATGTTCTGGATAGATGGGCACAACCTGACCGTCATTGCGGCGGACTTCGTCCCCATTGAACCGTATGTCACCAATGTGGTGAACGTGGCCATGGGCCAGCGGTATGAAATCATTGTCGAGGCAAACGCGGACTTCACTCATGGTTCCAACTTCTGGATTTACGCCCAATATTGCGGCGAGGTCGATGTACTCCCCCACAAGGCAGTCGGGATTGTGCGCTACGACGAACAGGACCGTCGTGATCCCTGGACACGCCCTCTCAGCGAGCAGCATCGGGACTTTGGCTGTGCCGACCCTGACCCAGACCACCTCGTTCCTGTTGTCCAGCAGTCAGTTGAGAGGCCAGTGAACAGCATGAAGATGGACGACTACCTGAGAGTGGGCCAGGAGGGCTATCCCGACCCGTTGAATTTCGGCAGTGACCTCCACAAATGGGTCCTGGGTGATGTACCGATGTTTGTCGATTGGGAGAACCCCAGTCTCAAGAAATTGGCCGTGGACGGGCATTCTGACTTCCCACCGGAGACTGTTCCCATCGTGCTGGACTTCGAGACAGGTGCCTGGGTCCACTTTGTCATTATGAACAACTATACCTTTGAGAATGCCCACTTCCCGCGCAACTTGACTCCTATTATGCACCCGATGCACTTGCACGGGCACGACTTTGCCATCCTCGCTCAGGGCAGAGGCGAGTTTGACCCGGCCACAGTCCCGAAGCTGGATAATCCTGCCCGCCGCGACGTGGTGAACCTCGATACGGGCAGCTATGTCTGGATCGCCTTCCAGGTCAACAACCCGGGGGCTTGGCTGCTTCATTGCCATGTAGCTTTTCATGTCAGTAGTGGGCTGTCCTTGCAGTTCATCGAGCAGCCCAGTAAGATTAAGTCGCTCATGGCGGCGGCCGGTGTGCTGGGGGAGTTTCAAGATCAATGCGCCGCATGGTCAAAGTATTATGACAGCGTGAACATTCCTGATAATAACACTATCGAGGATTCGGGCATCTAGGAGTGCCCAGAATGGTCTGTGCCTGACTGATCTACACAGATCAATCTAGCGCGGTAAGCTCATTATAACCTTTATTTAATCACTCCGTTAGGCTCAGATAGTGCTTGCTATACCGGTTTTATCTTAAGTAGCTAGCTGTTGGCAGAGTCAGCTTTGAAACTTCATAGGAAGTAGGTTTAAAGTTAGCATTTGATCAGAGTGCAGGCAGGTTCTAGCCAGCTCGCCCGATCTAACGTAGTCTAACCATTTGCCAGCCTTCTATAGCTGCTGTATAGGTCATGCCCTCATTGTAATGTATTCCAGAAGAACTCTAGATTACCTGTTCGTGCCTATCTGTTCTATAACCTGTTATGCTATTGTGGCTACAAGTGCCTCCGTGCCATCCTCCATAGTCCGTCTCGGGACAATTCACAACGACTTCGGGCAAATCGGGGTAACCCGCAAGTATTCCCCAGAAAAGCGCTTTTAAAAGTAATCTTTGCCCTAGACCTTTATCATGGCCCACTGTGTATTGTCCCTCTAAATGGCAACGGCTTCAGAGATCCGACTTCGTCCCCATTTGGGCGTCGCCCGCGTCACCGACACCAATCCGGATGGGTCGCTGGAGGCGGCGAATCGACTTCTCCAGAAGAACCACAACGAGCATCACATTTTCTGGCGGAGTGTTGCTGGCCATAACCACGTCGTCCACTCGGTTCTGAACATTCTGGCCCTCGGCGGCGGGCCCATAGAACTCCAGCGGGCATTTGACGATGGGGCCGACATCCAGGCGCCAATTCCTCCACTGGATCCGGACGCAGTGGCCCGCATGAGCGTTCCAGACCAGTTTCGGGCGCGGATGGGCTTCCTAGATCAGTATCCAAACTTCCTGGCCTTCTTCACCAAAGAGATAGGAACCAAGGGATACCCGGCTGCCATAGTCGAGTACTGCTTCAGTGACACGTCCATCGCCGAGAGCATGTTCGCGAATCTGTTCGAAGGCTTGTACCATCCGCTAATCCACCTGGCACTTGGGATCGAGTTCGACCAGCCTAGTATCGTTGCAGAAGGCCTCGCACAGGCCGCCTGCCATGACTCCATGGGTATTGAACCATTCTTGCTCGGTGCCGAGAAGAAAGAAAAGACCCAGCAGGCCACAATCGACCTAGACGCACCGTTGATAAGCCTATTTCATGCTGTGCGAGACAACGACGTTCTTCGCACCGCAGCCCACGGGAGCTACGATGATGGTCCGGCCCGGGTGCGCGATGGCATCTTGGGCAGTGCCCGAGAGGAGATCACCTCGATTGCAGCCAGGTTCCGAGTCGATGTCGATCGATTGAATCGCCGAGCGGCCGAGATGATCAACTGCGCGGCTTACCTAGCGGGGTCGGCACAGAAGCCGGGGAAGGCTCGTAAGATTGACTTCTTCCACCTGCACACCGTCACTGCGTCGCTGGGACTGATTGTGTTGCTCCGGCAGCCTTGGATCGGCGCAGAGCACAAAGCACGCCTGATCGAGTGGAAAGCCCGCGTCGACCTGGCGTGGTATGCGGCCAGCGGTGCTGTCGAGCTGCGTCTCCAGGACATCGTGGAATACGAGCCTTATCAGAGGTTGAACTGGGAAAGTCTTTACCAGGCAGTCATGCGTGTGCATGACGATGGGCACTTGGCCAAGTTTGTCCGGGCTTTGAAGGCCGGAGAGCAGATCTCAGCACCCTTTGAGCGAGGGAAATGGGCCAACGCGTTCCCCATTAAGGGGCCCATGTGGCTGCGGATCGCACAGATGGCATATGAGTCGAGTGCCGGTCGCCCAATCGAAGAAAAATGGATTTGGGGAGTGGGATTTGAGCAGAACTGGGCTACAGTGCCGTCGTTAGCCTAGATATTGAGACTCTGCTTTGTGTTCTAGTTCACAGAGATGATGGGTTTCTAATATATAGAATAGTCGGTATGAGTATAATGGTAACTTTTGATAAGCATATTCATTCCATGCCATGTATGTAGCACGTCAGGCTTGATGGCAAACCAGAGCCTAGTCTCACATTCATTAGGTCAAAAATATTCCTACATACATTCCATAAATTGTTGTACCACATGGCTAGACAATTCCATAAAAGGAGATTGTCGAAATAGGTGTATGGGCAATTCTCCTTCACACATAACGGACTTTATTGACATGTTCTTCATCTCCTTCTAGACCAGAGGTTACCCCAACTGTTACCCCTGTGAAAGGATTCAGTCCGATGAATGCTCATCGGGCTAATTGCTCGGGCGATATCCCTTGGGCTGAATGCGGTACACGCCAATGCCCCGAGACCGAAGATCTCCAGACCCGGCTGCTCCGGAGTTGGCAAGAGGAAGAGTAGCCTGCTCTTAAATTTCTAATGTCTACTAGGTTGCCTATAGGAAGATATTGCAGAGATCTGTAGCCTTTATTTGGCGGGTGCGTAGTCTTGGCTGGATGTTCAAAGTACTCAAAAGCCCTAAGTTGTATCTATTGCGCTACATAGTCAAGCCTAACATCATAGTCTCCAAACACCAGGTGATTCACCCTAGAGGTGGTTGGCTCAAATTTAACGATTTGAAAAGTAACTCATATCAAAGACTACAGTTCAAGCTAGCGGATGGCTGTCAGCCTGAGACAGGAATATATGTCTAATCAAAGATACTGGCTTATACCAATCTCCATCTCCAATCCCAATCTTCAGACATGCCCTACGCAGTCCTTGGTGCGACAGGAAACTGCGGCACTGCCTTGATTGAGAACTTGCTCGGCTCCAGCACCAGCAAGGTCCACGCCTACTGCCGCAACAAGCGCAAGCTCCTGCGCCTGCTCCCCCAGGTCGCAGACAACAAGCAAGTCAACATCTTCGAGGGCAGCATCGACGACCTCCCGCTCATTACGGCGTGCGTCCGCACCTGCCATGTCGTCTTTCTAGTCATCTCGACCAACGACAACGTGCCCCAGTGTCACATGGCGCTGGATACCGCCACTGCAGTCATCCAGGCTCTACGCATCCTGCAAGGCGAAGGGGCTACCATGCCCAAGCTGGTCCTTCTCTCTTCAGCGACCCTTGATGACCAGCTCTCCCGGAATACCGCTCCCTGGGTCAGATGGATCCTTCTCAAGTCTGCTTCGCAAGTCTATCAAGATTTGGCCCAAGCAGAGACGTTTCTGCGAAGCCAGCAGCACTGGGTCTCGACAATCTTTATCAAGCCCGGCGGGCTCTCGGTGGACGTCCCGCGCGGGCATAGGCTGAGTTTCACCGAGGAGAAGAGCCCTCTCTCGTACCTGGACCTGGCAGCGGCCATGATCGAAGCGGCGGATGATCCGGATGGACGTTATGACATGCAAAACGTGGGTGTCACATACGCAGATGGGCCAGCTAGGTTCCCCAGGGGCGCTCCGATGTGCATCTTCATGGGACTGGTGAGACATTTCTTGCCTTTTCTTCATCCCTACCTACCAGCGACGGGACCGAACCAGCCATTCTGTGCTGCCCGCCGGTCCGTCAGTTAGCCAGAGCAATTATTTGTCAGTTTAGTCAGAGTAGACAGAAGTCGGCATGTAGTATAGTATGTCAACACATCCAGGTCGTCATAAACCACTCATGTATTGCTGTCAGCCGGTAAACTAAGTCGACTGTGTGTGCAATTGCAGAAACCATTGTGCACCCCTTGCTTACTCCCCCTTGCTTGGTCAGCGTCTGTTCACCGATGCCCGTAAGGTGGCATTATTAATGGTTGGTTAATCAGCAGGAGGGTTGCATCCGGATTGTTGAACTATATATACTGATGTCACCCCACCCGCCGTTGTTGGACCCTACCACGCATGACACATTTTCTACTTTTGTCCCTACAAGACCAAGACAGACATGACTGACATCAAACCCATCACAGTCTACGGAAAGGGCGGCCCCAATCCTCCGCGCGTAGCCATCCTCCTCGCTGAACTCGATCTCCCCCACAAAATCATCACGGTGCCTCTGTCCAAGGTCAAGGAGCCCGACTACCTCGCCATCAATCCCAATGGGCGCATCCCCGCCATCTACGACCCCAACACCGACCTCACGCTGTGGGAATCCGGGGCAATTATCGAGTATCTCGTGAGCCACTACGATCCTAACCACCGGATTAGCTTCCCCGCAGGCTCCAACCTCGCCGCCCTGGCGACGCAGTGGCTCTTCTTCCAGGCGAGCGGGCAGGGCCCGTACTACGGCCAGGCGGCCTGGTTTAAGAAGTTCCACCCGGAGAAGGTCCCCAGCGCGGTGGAGCGCTACGTCAAGGAGATCAACCGCGTGACGGGCGTGCTGGAGGGCCATCTAGCGCGCCAGCCAGTGGCAACAGGCGGGGACGGTCCTTGGCTCGTTGGCGGCAAGTGTTCCTTTGCGGATCTGGCGTGGATCTCCTGGCAGTTCATTATCACGGCGATCATTCAGCCGGACGATGGATACACCGTGGAGGACTATCCGCATGTGAAAGACTGGTTGGATCGCATGATGGCGCGGCCGGGAGTCAAGAAGGGCATGGCGGACATCTACCCTGATACCTGATATATAATGTTACGTCCTGAGTTTTAGTAACTAGCAACAGAATCAAACATGTATCTATCAAGGACAGGAAGAATTGATCATGTTCTATTCAGCTTCACGTAAGAGACTGATAATCTCAGACGATAGTTTACTCATCCGCTTGTGCAGCTCCGGCTCCAAATGATCCCCCAGACCGACCGACAAGGGGCCGTCTGTTCCGCGAAACAGACGCCCCAGTCCAGCAGCCTGTGTTCGATATGTTTTCAGTTTCGGTCCCAGCTGGTTCATCACCCGCTGGATACCGTGCAGCTCACCGAGCACACGCTGCCCCGCGACCGGGCTGTCCTCACTCAGTTGGCCTTTCCCTGGTATCGCGGCAGCGGCGTACCGGTCCAAGATCTTGCACACGATTAAGGCCAGGAGGACTAAGAGGTAGCCGTCTCTTTGCGAGCACGGACATTGCAAGATCCCGGTAATGGCATCAGTGGCGTGGCTGTTTACTTTCACTACGGCGTCGATCGATGGCGGACAAGATTCGATATCCCGCTCTCTGGGAATGACCTCCTCGGAGACGAATTGCTTGAGTAGATCAATGGCGCGCAGTAAGCACTGGCAGGATAAGCGACGACAATCTGCCTGTGTATCCGTCCTGGACATAGGAGAGGCCCTCCTGCCGATTGTAGTTGTCGGAGGCAGTGATTGGTCTGAAGGGGAGGGATCCACTGGCTTGCCAAACAGATAGATCGTGTCATCTGGGACAGTGGGAGAGCGCCCGCCGTGGCGACAGAGATTCGTCGGACGGCTGGTCGCCCCGTCATGGACGCTCTGGGCAGCAGCACAGTCTCCAGAAAACGGGTCCTGATCGGTGGACAGCGGAAAGGAGAAAAAGTCGTCAAAGTCGGGGCACCAGGTGGTCAGTGCAGAGGATAAGCTCGAGTTAACCGTGGACAAGGGACCTGAATGCAGTTCGGGCGTGCTGTCGAACGGTTCCGACAAGGCGAAGAGTGGATCGAAGGCGTCCGGATCCGGAAAATGTCCATGAGAGATCGCGGTCGAGGACGCTGGTGAAGGTAGGCTGCGGGACAAGTGCGCGGGGTTTGGCTCTCCCCCAGATCGACTATCCGGTTTGCGGCCGGGACGTTTAGTCTCAAAATACTCACAGGCAGTCCCGCGTCTGCGGCATCGGGAACAGGTCGGTTTCTCCTTGGAGCATTTGACCTTGGACAATCCACAGGCATGACAGCTGTCACACAGTTTGTTGAGAGCACTTGCCCGACGGGAAGACGCTGGTGACCGCATCCAGTTCGGTTCAAGAGGAGCTGGCTGACCGCATCAGATGAACGAGCTGGTCGTTGCAAGTAAGCCCATCTGGCCGGGTCGCATGTTCGACTGTGATCCCTGCGATTGCGCGTGTCGGATATACTCTCGAGGATTGACGGTTGGAGAACTTCGGGTGACGCAATCTATCGAGCCTAGAGCGATTTTGCCTAGGGTGAGGCCAGACTGACGCGAGTCAGTGCCAGAAAGTGTTGCGTTCGTCCATGTACGAATCATGAAACTCAATGGTGTAGTGGTGAATCACCACAATGGCTCTATTTCCGTAACCTATGGGAATGCCGTCCGGCATACATGACGGCCCGGGCCTAACGTGTCTAGAATATCGGCTTCTAATCCAAACCCAAAGCCAAGGATATTGGACTCGACTCAATATCTGAGAGTAGGTGCTGGAAGGAATGACAAATTCCAAGGGGTCCAACACCCATTCTCAGGATTCCCAATGGCTGCCAATGGTAGGCCAACATTCCTAGAGAGCAGCTTGTGTACCCATTCATCTCCCACAAATTTTTCTCGTCCAGAGAGATACGTATCTTTGAGCCGTGGCAGAGATGAAGCCAGACTTTAAGAAATCATAATCTCTTAACCAATATTCCATGTACTGCACCTATCGGTCATGATAATGGGAAAACCCCTATAGTCTCTCCACCAGCTTGTCGCTTGCGCGTTGATTCTTTCCATTGGACTTGATTGGTCCACGAGGCACAGTCAGCAGAACTGAATGAAGAGATAACCTTAGATCCAACTATAAACAGGTAGAACTAACTTTGAGCTTATCGGTAGAGTTGCATTAGGCGGATGGCCTGGATCTAACCGCAGCCACCATAGCCATGACCAGTTAGGAAGGAGTCACGTAGGTTTCGACAGTTAAGAATTGAGTTTTAAACTAGGTCAACCTATTCAAACTTTACCTCACTATCTTAGGTTTGAAGAAGAGGTGGTTAAATGGCGCCGAAGGTTTGTTGGTTATAACAGTTACCCATACTTCTTCCTCATCAACTCAATGGTAAGAGCTCAGCAGGCATGTGACATTTGCTAAGCTAGAGTCTAAGCTTGTTCTCATGCAAGGGTCTCGAAAGGAGCCTATGAATTAAAATACCCATTAGACAGACGCCGACATCTCTCTCATTGTCGGACTCCACCGCTGCTTAAGATCAGACAACGTAAGGGAGACATCAGCATCGGCCAATCCTGTTGGCTGAAGGAGGTCACACAATGCTTCCGGGAAAGGGCATGTGGCATGTCTGTGAAACGCCAGAAATGGACACGGACCGCTACAAAGGGGGAGGAATACTCTACACAAGACGGTAGTGACAGGTCTACAATATTCGAATCAAGATCCTCCTAAAGGATTTTACTTCCCTCTGCTAGATAGCTACAGATCTCTAAACCCGCTGGTCCAAAAGAAAAATATCACCATGACCGACTGCTTGATACTTCACCCCCAAAGCCACAGTGGTTGTGTGAGGGAGGTGGAGCCGATTCACCACAATCAGTCGCCCTGCACTGTCTCCCACGCTGTGGATGAACTCGACCAGCTCGTCTTCCGCCATCAGCCGATCGTTAGCCAATTGCAGCAGTGAAAGATCATGTAGCCGAACGCTGGACTCCACATTTGCATCGACAGTTCCCGGTTTGGGCAGCAGGAGCCCCGCAGTGAGGATTAGTGTCGCACGATTGTTCGCCGCTAGAACACTGAAATGCGCTCGCACCTCTGCCATGACGGACGTGGAGAGGACAGACTGGGGTAGAGGGCTCAAGTTTAGAATGTAGATGGCGGCGTTGCGGACGCGTTGCGGGCTGCCCAGTTCTCGTATCTGCACACTGCGGGTGTCCGGTCGTGGCACATCATTATGACCCCAGTTGGGGATTCTCACTTCCTGGACAATGAAGTGAAGCGCCGGGTGAAGCTGGGCAAGCATTGTTGCGGTACTCGGGGATTGAGGCCCAACTACCTATGGTTGAGTCAGCTTGAACCCCACTGCGTACATATCCTTGGTAAACTCACCTCGACGACCCAAACATTGTCCAGATTAAACCAGTCCACCCGAGCGAGCACCTGCCGGGCGAGGTCGCTGGCATCACCTCCTGTGTGTTGCAGGTACGCCGACCAGCGACGTTGCAACTTCGGCCGCTGCTCACATGGAAAGAAAAAGGGGTGTCGATGATCGGAGGTGAGATTGTACGCAGTGTCGGTGTCGCTGGCCACCGTATTGCCGAATCGACTAGTCGCCGAGGCCATCTTCAGCGCCGCAGGTGCGGCCGAATCAGCCAGAAACATCATCGCGACGCGCAGGGACGGCCGACTGACGAACAGGCTGGACAGCGGGCTGTGACCAACTTGTCCTGGCTGAGTCTCCTGAAGGAATCCTAACGTGGCTGTGAAGCGTATGATCCGGCCTAGCTGCGGCGCCGGAACGCCGGAAAGGCGGGCAAGGTCAGGGATGGTGACGCTACCAGTGAGAGGGAGGCAGGCCAGCACCTGAAACTCCCCTAGCCATTGAAGACACGCGAGAAGTTGGGTTTGCACGGCTAGTCGCTGCACCAGGTCTGCGGGCTCTGCGAGAAGCGTCTGCAAGTGATCAAGGTTGCTTAACAGCAACCGTCGTATCTCACGGATGGCCCGAGGGGCCTCTGACGGGACGACCACTTGTGGACTCCCCCCATCCAGCCCGGCGTTGCGGCAGTAATCGGCTAATCTTTTGGCGGCAGCGGCGACTTCGTCGGCCAAGGATTCCAGCCGAGTAATGCTATCCATCTGGCCATTCTTGACATGACCCTCTTTACATTCTGAGTGTATTTCGCACAACGGAGCTTCTTATAGCATTGGCCATAACGTCTCAGTTGACGTTACAGATTTTACTCGATCCCTAATTGTCTATTCCGTATGCTGAGAAGACAACCATGGATCGCTCTTTGGTAACCGCTGGCATCGTAGCTATATCCGGCGAAGGGGAATGCATACCGTACCCTGCCAATCAGTGAATGACCCGCTGTCTATGGATAAAAATAAAGATTAAAATAAAACTAAACGAATATGCATAATAGGAAAAAGCAGCCGGGTTTGAATCAGCTGTAGTACTCCAGTAGCCAGCTCTTCAAATCACCTACTGTCGGATACTCCAAGAACAGGCTGCCTGTCACTGTCACCCCCAGCGCCTCCCGGAATTTCTCGGAGATGACCAGACTCATTAGACTGTCGATCCCTAGGCTAGAGAAGCTGGCGCCGTCCTTGAGGTCGCTCAGCCCGAGTCCGGCCTCTGTGGCCACTAGAGCCATCGCTTTGGCGGCGGTACTGTTGGAGTCTGATTCAGCGGCTTCATCGACTCTGTTGACAGTCGGAGCATCGTCTGGAGTTGAAGCATCTATATTACCGGTGGGAGCCCGCTTAGGCTCGGGCTCCAGTGTAGCAGGAGGCGCAGGCACAGCAGGCGTCGACTTTCGGGCATCCGCATCCGGGGGTGAGAAAAACCGATTGAGGAGGATTCGAGGATACCGCCGAAACTTGATTCCCCCGACCATGCCAACAATGGTTTCGTTCTGGAGGATGTAGACGTCACCCAGATAGATATTGTTGTCTTCAACAGTCGGGATCATCTTGACATAAGAGCGGTACTTCTGCCCCGCGACAAGGGGGGCCGCAAACCGCATTGAATTCCACCCGGGAGTGACACAGAAATTGGCTTTCGTGTCATTTGCATCGGAGACGTTCATAATAAAGCCTGCTAGGTGTGCCACACTGTCAATAAAGTACGGGGGAATCGTCCAGGTGCCCCCTTTCTCAGTGGTGAGGACAACATCAGCAAAGGCCTCCAGATTGTGCAGCACCACTGACTGCATGCCGCGGTACTTGTCAGCGTAGTCGACAAGGCTGCTGGCAAATAGCCCATAGGCCATGCGCCGGTTGAAGCGGTTGGCCACTCCCTCTTCAGCGAGCCTTTCCAGAGCATGGATCCGGCCCTGCACGAGATGTGTCGCAGGACGCCAGGAGGTCAGCCACTCGCTCACCTCCTCATAGTAGATGGTTGCACTGGCAAACGGCTCCTCGACAGCCCCGTTGATGACGTTATGCCATTTCAGGTGTGCCTGTCCGGACCGGATATTCGCGGTGGTCACAGACACTTGGATGAGCTGTGGTGACTTTGCATTCTCCTGCGCCACCAGAGCCTTGACGACTTCCAGGTTGGCGATATTCATGTTCGCTTCCCGATTGGGACTTAGTTTTTTGTAGAGATATTCACCCAACGTGAACGCGATATCGGCGTGGATCGACTAGTGATGGTTAGTGGGGGAGTACGGAAGGGAGACAGGAACTTACCGAGGTGACAACCCCCCGTCCATTCATTTTGTGGCCATGTGCTGCTGCCAGGAAGTCCGGCTGCATGAGGTCCGATTGCATGACAACCGATCCAGCCTCTCCGTCGAACTGGTCCTGGATGATTTGCTGCACGGTGGACGTCCTCAGTTCCGATGCCAGCCCGGCAAGACCATTGGTCTTTGGGACCTCTTCATTGTAGAATGTGTTCCCCTTGGTGAGAGCCCAATTCCCGTTGTACTGGATCCAATAGGTCTTGTCATTCCAGCTGTAGGTGGGTAGATCCAAGAGACGCAGGGCGCGTTCGAAGGGCTGGTGGAATTCATTCCAATCCACAGCCACCCCAGCACAGTGCAGAATCCCCAGGCTGTTTGTGAGTGTCACCCAGTTATCCTCTCCGCGGCGGAGCGACGGCACCGTCACGCTGGTCGAGGGGAGGGACGATCGGACGAAGTTGACGCAGACAGGATGCGGGCCGATTTCGATCCACACCATAGCATCGTCAATGATGGATATCTTATGGGCCATTTCCATCGCAGAGAGGAAATTAACGGTCTCACGCGTCGCCCGCCGCATATACCGCGCATCTATTGTATTCTCATCAAAGACAACCTTACTGAGCAACGGCGAGATCACAGGCAAGTTAGGTGCCTGGAAGACCACCCCTGATGCAGCCAGCACCTCGTATTCATCAAGAATGGGGTCCATCTGCGCAGAGTGGAAGGCAAACGCCACCTCTAGAATGATACACTTGAGTCCCTCCGCTTCTAGGGGCTTGGCCACAGCTGCCATCTCTTCAAGTGTCCCACTAAGGACTATTTCTGTGGGTCCGTTGACGCAAGCAACCTCATACGGCAGGCTCCCCGCGATGTGCTCAATCTGGGCAAGGGACCCCCGAACCGCCATCATCTGATGGCTACCGGGCTGGCACCTGTCCTTAAGCAGGCGAGCACGCCATCCAACAAGGAAGATAGCGTCACTAGCAGACAGAACTCMAGCGATATGGAGGGCCGCGTACTCACCCAGGCTATGGCCTACCACCACGTCCGGCTTCACACCTAATGAGGCCCAGTATTTAGCGAGTGCGATCTCAGTGCAGACCAACGCCAGCTGTGTGACGATGGGGGAGTGTGTATGATCCCGGGGATAGGAACCATCAATAGCAGGGATGATCGAGGGAAACCCTTGCCCTTGGGCCAACGCATCCAGGTGGAAGATCTGCGAGCGGAAGTACAGTGAGTCGTGGAAGAGTTGGAGGTTCCATGATTTGTATGAGGCTCCCTGGCCTGTAAAGGCAAAGGCAAGGGGGGGCGGGCCTGTAGGAGAAATCGGTTGAATGGTGTTGACAGATTCAGATTCGAGGCTTGCAGAAAGCTGCTTCTTCAGATGCGCGACATCCAAAGTGGTCACGGCGACTCGATGGTTATGGTGATGACGGCGTGCGGTGGTCGTGTACGCCAGGTCAGACATGACCACGTCCGGATGCGCATCCAAAAATCCCAGGAGTCGCTCGAGATTCCCTTTGAGGGAGACCTTGCTCTTTGCCGAGACGGTGACCAGGTGTGAAGAACGGGGGTCAATCGCCCCGACAGGCTTGGGGCGAAGAGGCCCTTCTTCTACCGCTAAAGTCGAATTCCCCCCAGCAGCGCTGAAATTGTTCACCATCGCGATGCGCTTCCTGCCGGGGACGCGGGGCCAGGGCTGCTTTTCATAGGGAATGTGCAAATTGCGTTGTTTCAGGTCCTTAGGGAATCCGGGATTGATGCTGTTCTTGATGCCGACATGTGGAGGGATGGCCTCTTTCTGGAACATGAGAAGCACCTTTAATAATGCGGTAACTCCTGCTACAGCCTCCCCGTGGCCGACGTTGGCCTTGACTGCACCGATAAACACCGGCTGCTTGGAACTGCGCCGCTTAACAGCCGGGGCAAAAATGTCACTGACTGACTTCATTTCCTCCGCGTCCCCAGCCTGGGTCCCAGTTCCATGCATCTCCACGTAGCTGACATCTGTTGGATCAATGCCAGCACTGCGGAGGACCTGACAGCTCAGAAAGGACTGGGCGCCGGCATGTGGATGGGTAATAGAGATAGCCTCAGCAGAGTGGTTTGTCGCAGCCCCAAGAATAACTCCTAGGATGTTATCATTATCAGCTTCCGCATCATCCAGCCGCTTCATCACAAGAGAGGCGACTCCGTCCGCACGACAATACCCATCTGCCTCGCAGTCCCACGTTTTACATGCGTTGGGAGTCTTGGTCAGAAAATGCCCGTGGCTGAGGCCGGCAAAGGCATCCGAATTCGTCAGAACGTTCATTCCTCCGGCAACCACTGTGTCCGTGTCGCCATTCCAGAGAGCGGTAGAGGCCGCCTAGGAGAGGTTAGTCAGAGGACGTGACCAGGACGTCCGACGTACCTGGATAGTGGCCAGGCTGGAGGAGCAGGCCGTGTCGATGCTAAAGCTCGGCCCCCAGAGTTTGAAAAAGTAATTGATCCGTCCCGGCCCAAATGCGCGACAGCCACCGGGGATGAAATAGGTGCTGATATTCTGTGCTGAATTAACCTCGCGGTAATCATCACTGGCTTGGCCGTAGAATGTGCCAGTGCATTGTTTGTTGGACGATGGGGTGCGGTTAGCCACATATCCGGCCCGCTCGAGGGCTTCGTAGGCCGTGACAATAGCGAGACGCTGCATTGGATCAGTCTGTTGAGCCTCTCGGGGGGACATATTAAAGAAGGGGGCATCAAAGAGGCCTGGTTCGTCAATGAAGCAGCCATATGGTGTGTGGCTGGCGTTGACGCGCTTGCCTGCGGGATCATAATGGCTATCCACGTCGAATCGGTCTGGTGGGATCTTGCGATGGACATCGAGCCCTTTTTCAAGAATGTCCCAAAATTTCTCCGTGTCGGTCGCTCCGCTGGGCATGCAACACGACATGCCGACGATCGCGATCTTGGATTGCGCTGTGCCCCGCGGCGCGAATCCCTGATCGTCTCTTGCCTTTGTGACCCATGGATCGAGGTCCTTGATAGTCACCTCGACATGTTCGCTTAGGGACGTCTGCAAGGCTGACAGGAGGTCGTGAACAGGGAGTGAGATGCGGAAGACCAAGACTTGGACCTCGGATACTGAGAGCAGCTTGGCCCTCTCGACAACTCCCTGAATGACATTCTCCCACTCAATTGCCTGGGTGAGGATTTCGGTAACAATATGTTCGAACAGCTCCCTCGCCGTCGTGGCTGTGGGGAAGGGCTCGCCGCAACTGGTCGAGAGAACCGGGTACCTAGCGATGAAGCGTGTGTCCAAGGCTGCTGTTGATGGGCTCTCAACCACGGAAAGGGCGTGCTGCGAGCTGTAGATGTGTTTTGCGTGACACAGGCCTCCATACACGGGAAGAGCTATGAAAGTGCGGTCACGGAAGAAATCAGACATTCGAAAGAGGCGCTTGAGTCGATGCGGCGGCCCACTGATGGTCACCGACGTTCGACTGATCGCGCTGATGAAGATCCGGCTGGCTTCGGGCGTATTCTGGGGCTATTAGCTGCCCATCAGGATAATACTCATGTAGAACTCACTTCTCGCGTGTGGATAGCAGTAAGCTCCTCTTCCGCTTCTTTAGGAGCGACATTGGGAATCACATAGGCCCATGAGCCTTGATCTCCCGTCGCATCAGCCGGTTGGAGGTTCTGAGAGACATCGGCAACCAGCACTCCAAGACGGAAAGCCACTCGGACGACCTCTGCCCCAGCCAGGGGGAGGTCCGCCAGCGTCGGGGAGACAGAGACTGCCGTCGACGCCAACAGGCCCAGTCCCAGGCCTGTGAGATATGTATGGGCGGAGTCAAAGACATATTCGTTGGGCGAAGCCTCGTAGTAACTGACTTTGTTAAGTATTGATTCTTTTTAAGGACTTGTCGCACTCACCCGATAAAGGTTCCCAACTGGATGGCACAGAGAAGAACGCCCTCGATCGACCCGCAAAGGGGTCCCTTGCACAGCTCCGGCTGTTCAGCAAGGTGTAGGACGCTTTCGAACGGCGGAACCAAGGCTTTTTGCGCAGCGTGAAGCTGTCGAACCTCGTCACGAACTGCCCAGGTACTCTCCTCGATGAATTGAGCCAGGAGCGGATGACGCCGGTCTTTGGTGTAGGCGTGTAGTCGTCGACAGACGCCTTGGAGACCATCATGAGGAAGCTCGTTACCAAAGTAGACGACCTTCATTCCTTTCTCTGCCGTGGGAGATTCGGACGAAGGAGTAAAGTCTGCTGGCCTCATCGTCGCTGCTATCACCGGCTCAATTTCACGCTATTGTGGGAAGTCGATGTAGCTATGTTAGTAACCCTAGAGACCGATTCAGTCAGCTATAGAGAGGCTCCAGTCTAGCCAGTGTAGATTTTTGCATACGGACATGTCTATATGCTGTCCATGCCTCGAACCCCAGCAGGGCATGCCGTGTTCGGAAGTCAGAGTCTGTCTTGCTTTCGGCCTAAAGAGGGCTCGGTCGATATACTTGGGACGTCCGCCTGGCCGGTCGATTTTCTCACGTCCGATTAGGCCGAGGCCGATGGCCGCTGTGACGGTACCCATTGACTTTGGTGCTTTTTGCTTCATTTTTTTTTTTTAATTCTTCTCTGTACTCCCATTGCATATGCTCCCCACTCGTTCATCAGAACCATAATCATGGCCAATGCGAAGCGGGGAGGATATCGACAAATCAACCAAGCCCTCAACATATGTGCCTGGGAGGGGTATTTGGATGAGCAGCAAGCACGGTTGCCCACGCTTGAGGATGTCGAGCAAATCAGCCCCCGCGTGTTGCGTGTTCTGGGCCAGAATGAAGGCAAGGTACGCAGAAGCGCATAGATTTAGCGCATGTAGTTCCTGGCTAATCGAAAGGCTTCAGTTCACGCTTCAAGGAACCAACACCTATATCGTGGGCACCGGCCGCCAACGTCTGATTATCGACACGGGACAGGGGATCCCTGAATGGGCTAGCCTGATCTCGTCTACCTTGGCTGACTCCTCGATTGAACTGTCTCATGTCCTGCTGACCCACTGGCATGGCGATCACACAGGGGGCGTTCCGGATCTTCTCCGATTGTACCCTTACCTGTCCGATTCTATTTACAAGCACAGCCCTGGGAAAGGCCAGAAGTTGATTTCAGATGGGCAGGTCTTCCGGGTGGAAGGGGCTGCTGTCCGTGCCGTACACTCCCCAGGCCACTCGCACGATCATATGTGTTTCATCCTCGAGGAGGAAAACGCCATGTTCACGGGGGACAACGTCCTGGGCCATGGGAGCAGCGCAGTCGAGGTGCTTAGCACCTGGATGTCCTCACTACGGATGATGCAATCGCTTCGCTGTGCGGTGGGCTATCCAGCTCACGGCGCAGTGATCCACGACCTGCCGGCCAAGCTGGACATGGAKCTAACGCAGAAGGCCCGTCGGGAAGACAGGGTCGTAGAGACGTTGAAGCGGATGAAACGCGAGGATCAACACAATGGAGCCCCGGGAAAAGGCAGTGTCACGGTCCAGCAGCTGGTGACAGCGATGCATGGAAATGACCTGGATGAGCAGGTGCGAGCAATGGCATTAGAACCGTTTGTCGACGAGGTTCTACGGAAGCTGGCACATGATGAGCGGGTGGCTTTTGAGGTCAGAGGAGGCCAGAAAAAGTGGTTTGCAATAGAATACACATAAGTACATAGCTCTTATGACACTACATTATCCTCCCCATGTATGATTCGGCGTTTTGCCCAATCTAAGACATCAAGGCATTCCGCTGTCTGTAGTCATCTTTACCTTTATGCACGGATCGGGACGGACAAGTAATCTAATAAGGATCAGCGTATCGACTAACGTCGGCCCCGGTTTTAACTCCGTTTTAGGGTGCTTTAGGCTCGGTGGTTTCCCTCGGGTTATTTTCCCTCAGTTCGGACAGGAGTCGGGTCTTCTTCCTGTGCACAAGTGTCACCCCGAGTCCGCCCGAGGAGGAATGCTTGTGTTACAAAGTATGCCGTCCCGTCTGAAGAAGTACCTCGACACGCTGTATTGGAACAAATGTCCCTTGATCAACCGTGTAAACGAATAAGGGGCAACAAGATGGAACGGCAACCAAAGTCTGTCTGTGACGCGGCGCAACTTCTTCAGACAGCCAGCATTATCTCCAGTACCGTCCAGACCATAATTGCGGAATGGTCTGCAGAGGCACAGGCATCAAAAGGCTCTCGCAAGCAGAACGTCCCAACCCTGCCTAGTCGGGAACTATTCGATGCTCAGCGGACCATCTTGGCAGCGGTTGGCAAGCTGACCGAGTTGGTGTCCGACCCAAGCGCCAGGATCCTCGAGGTAGCAACGCAGTTTGAGGAATCTCGGTCTTTGTATATCGCTGCTGAGCGGCGCATTCCTGATCTCCTCGCAGCGGGCGGTGAGGGCGGCGTGCATGTCGATGTGATCAGCCAGAAAGCCAAAATTGAACCTCGCAAGCTGGGTGAGTCTGCCCTGAGCTTCAGATCATGAGCAAGGTCCCCTTGTGATGACCGGCGCGACTGACGTGCGATCCTTCAGCTCGCATTTTGCGATACCTGTGTTCGATTGGTATTTTCCAGCAAACTGGTCCGAATACGTTCGCGAACAATGGTATTTCCGCAGCATTGGTCTCTAATGAGCCCTTACGGGCCTATGTTCAGCTCGTGAATAGTGAGGGCTTCACGGCCTCCGACCGTCTGCCACACACTCTCCTGGATCCAGACACTGGTCCCTCTTACGATGTTGCAAAGACGGCTTGGCAGAATGCCGTCTGCACCAAAAAGACTCGATGGGAGTGGGTCGAGGAACGCGTGGCCCCAGAGAAATTGCTCGAATCCGGGGGCCATTATCCTGGCATTCCGAGTCTGGTTCTGGGGCTCCCACCAAGGGAGGATGACGGACTGGTCGCGAGACCAGAACTAGAGATTATGGGCCTGGCTATGGTTGGCGGCGGGCGAGTATTTGGGACAGCCCATGTTTACGGTAGGTCTCACCTTAGACATCATCCGATCGGATTCTCACTTACATCACGCAGATTTCCCATGGGCCTCCTTGGGCGATGCGCTGGTTGTTGATGTCGGGGGAGGCGTCGGCGGCTTCCCCCTGCAACTGAGCAAGGTCTACCCCAAGCTGCGGTTCATTGTGCAAGACCGTGGCCCGGTCGTCAAGCAAGGGCTGGAGAAAGTCTGGCCCCGAGAGAACCTTGAGGCATTGCAGAACCGACGAGTGCAGTTTGTCGAGCATAGCTTCTTCGATACAAACCCGACTGAGAGCGCTGATATTTATTTTTTGCGCTTTGTCCTGTAAGGGTGTCCTTTCCCTGCATAGCTGTTGCTAACATTGCACACTACAATAGTCATGATTGGTCGGACGACTATTGCGTGCGCATCCTGTCAGCCATTCGTTCGAGTATGGCGGCGCAGTCTCGCCTATTGATCTGTGATCAGGTCATGAACACGACCGTCGGCGACCCTGACTTGGAGTCAGCCCCGAGCCCTCTGCCGGCCAACTACGGCTACCACACGCGGTTCAGCCACAGCCGAGATATCACTATGATGTCGTGCATCAACGGGATTGAGCGGACACCAGCCGAATTCAAGGCCCTCCTCCAGGCGGCGGGGTTGAAGTTGAAAAAGATTTGGGACTGCAGGAGCCAGGTGTCTTTGATTGAAGCGGTCTTACCCGAAGTAAATGGCTTTAAATAGTCTCGATCGTTTTGGAATTTGTGGGCCTGGGCTAGCCTATTTCAATTGAAGAAAAGCGCATTGTTTTCACGATGATGATCCATGATGGCCAAAAATTGTCCATTTGTCACCTCGAGCGGCAAACTAGACCAGTCCCCGCAAGATTGCGACCGTTAGAGGCATACTATTTGATATAACAAGAAATAACAGTAAGCAACGTTCTGCTTATTCAGGACCTGCCCCAACTGAGGCAACTGATGAATGTCTCTGCCTTCTGGTTCGATCCTTTCAGAACTAATAGTTTGATGTAAGCAGGGCCAAGTAACAGCACTGCCAATAGTGGTGAATTGGTCAGGGAGGTTACAGGATGAGTGCAACGCTGCTGGGGGAGCTTCGGATCATTCGCTGCGGGAAAAAAGATGTGAGCTAGACTCGTAGTCACCTTTGTGAAGTAGCCAAGTGTTGGGTTGGTCTCCAAGAATGCGTGAAGACCTACATCTCGGATTGTGATCAGAGGCTTCTGCTTCTGAGTGGTGCACAGGACAATTGGAGAGAGAGTTACGCATTCTTGAAAAGCGAGGGCCTCGCCTGTCGCCATCTCACTTAGTGAACGGCATTGGAAACACTCCCTCGGACAGACTCGTATCAAACGGCCACGGCCAGTCATCCAGTAGTTCTGGCGGCAGCTGAAACTGAGTGAGAGGGTCCTCGAACTCGGCTAGAGGTGCAGGTATGGATGCGATGCTGTCTTGATGATCTTCCGACGGCATATGGTCGGGGTTAAAGGACGGCCTTCGTGTGGACGTAGTCGACAATGCTTGCGTGCGCATGTACTCGTCAATGCGACTTACCTGCGCTTTGAGTCGCTCGCTGGCACCAGTGGACCGTCGCAGGCCTGACTCCAACCGATGCAGAAGCTGGGCCATTTCCAATCTATCACCATGAGACTTGGCGTATGTCTGCGGGGAATTGCAGGGGATGGCCTACAGGAGCGTGCGGACTCGTCGATAAGATCTCTCCGAGAGACTTCCTTCCATGACCGACCCAAGGATGTAGCCAATTCCGCCCAGATGATGCAGCTTCGAGAATCAGCATCACATCGTCGGACCAAGAGTAGAAAGGGGACATACCAAAGGAGAACTGATAGCTTTCAGGTATTCGACTGGCACTTTGGAAAACACGCTTAGGACTTGCCCTGCGACGTCACATTTGCCGTCTGCCCCCGGGTCTTCGTTTGCGAACAGAACCATGCGCAGCAGTTGCAGAGTTGCTTGAATGTTAGCGGACTGGAAGCCCACGATATCTCGAGCCGGATCGCCGGTGACTGGCGGAGTCTCTCGAAACTGCGCAGGCAGAGAAGAGTACATCGAAAGGACGTGGTCCATGACTAAAGACGCGGTCATTGGGACTGGACTGAATAACGACCAGACTCCAGCCTTGCCGTCCGTGTTTGAAGGCGAACGCCATCGTTGGCAATCAACAGCATGCTCCAGTATTCGATAAAGGTCGGTAGTAAAGTTCCATCCACGCATCCACTGAATCGGTTGTCCTTTTCCGCCATAAGCACCATTAGGATCTCCTTGGATGGACAACGTGTCCGGGATAAAATCGTCATCCTCCTCACTCGGATACTGTACATTAGACTGCGCCTCTCGGTAGCGAATGACTCCGCCCCATACGATGGATGAATAGACATCTAACGTGTATATGGACCAGAACTAGCGCGGTTGTTAGACCTTGGAGGGCGTATTATGCACGCAAAGGATAGGACAGTGGAAACGTCTACATACCATCCTTCGCCGGACCTCAACCTCCACCGGGCTCAAATCTTTGGGCCATAGCTTCTCATCGTGCAGCCCTTCCATTGCACTCAGCGTATGGTAGATCCCCGCGTACTGTTGCATATCCTGGATTTGTCCATTCTGGATGCCGGCAATACTGAGAATGGCACATGTTCTCAGGTATTCTGTACCCTTCGCGGCGGCCAGGTCTCGCGGAATAGATTCCTTTGCAGCAGCGCAAAAGACTTCAGACGGAGGGTTTGCTAGTTGCGAGGGAGACCAGCGCTTTGAATACAGGGCCCCGTCACGAGCCCGTGCGGAGGCCAAGGCACACATGGCCATTGTCGACGCGAATAACCCTCGATGTTTGAGATACTCTCTGTTTTCCAACTGCGTCAAGAATGATGACCGATGAAACAGGGGAAATCTATCCGAAATAAGGCCATTAGCCCAGCTGTCCCGGCGTACTTGGATAAGGAGATAAATACATGGGATATACAATCTCGAAATAGACGTGAGCGAGATCATGGATAGTGCTCTGATAGCCAATAGCAAATGCCTTCCACGAATTCACCAGCGCCCCGTCATTGGAAGTTGGGGCAGTCGTCCAGGTGCCATTCAGAATGTCCCACAGGGAATCAGCAGCACCAGCCTGTCTGACAGCATCAGGACGAGCTGAATGCGAGGAGGATGATCCTGTGCCAGCATCCAAGCCGACTTGCCGAGTAGACTGGCTTTCTACTAAACTGGCATTTCTCGGAGCACCTCGCCTCCTGGCAGGACGATCATATGTACACTGTATATCAAAGTCCGCGCAGTTCTGGCAGGGCGCCAGAGGGCCGTTGATCTTATTGCATTTTATGCTACGTCGGTGGCAGAAGTCACCTATGGACTGTTAGAAAACAACCACTGAATATATCGTTGATAGGAGCACGAACAAGCTTTAGAAGCACGCTGGAATTTCCGCGGACGTTGCGACATTCCCACGATGGTCTGACACTAGGTAGTACGCTAGGTAGAGCGTGGAAATGAAGCTGTTAAACTGTTAAACGCGTAGAAGCGATGATGCGTGGCGTCCGTTGCAGTGGCGGGTGCTGACCAATTACATAGAAAGCTACCGAGGTAATTCCGTACTTCCCTGCTATTAAGTGGTAGGGATAAATAGCCGGCAGGACTCGGTCAAAACTCGGAATACTCGTGCAGGTAAGTCGGCACAAGACTTGGCATGCTCATGGATGCATAATCCTTTCTCCAGAGTAACTACCCCACACTGACACTTCTACGGTCCATGCTGAGCTGTCGGCCCTAACTATGGTACAAGGTTAAGGACTGATATTCTGACAATCCGTAGTTTGGCTGTGAACCTGGATGGATATAGTCTCTTCTTTGCATAATAATAAAAAGTTATATTTTTTCTTGATCGAGTTGAGCTATTTAACTAACTTTATATTTCTGCATTGCATTGACCGGCAAATATATATACCGTGTTTGGAACAGTGTCAAAAAGTCATAGATCTTAACTACTACTATGTAATCTTCCTCTATCACAGCAAAGGAGAGTAGCGTAGTTTTAATCTTATTTTCTCATTGTATCATGGTCATGTAGGTCAAATGATCAAGCCAAACTCCTCATTAGTTACTAACAGCAAACTTTTCATAAGTCATTGTGTTAATCCTATAATACATTATATTCATACCCATGAGCCCGTATCACCATTTATTATCAAACGCCTCGCCCTTGACATAATTGACCATCTCACTCACCGGTGAGAGATGGTCGCGCCCTTCCCCAAACAACATACCCTGTCGCATCACCTTCCGATAGTTCTTGCCTGGCGATACCTTGCCCAGCACATATTCCTGCCGGGTCTCGACACGGGTAGGGACGGGKATAGAACGGCCAACGATCGCCTCCATGCCCTGCCAGGCGAAGGTGATGGCCTCCTTGGCGCCGCCGGGGATGCCAGCCGCGTCCAGCATCATGATGCGTGTGTTCGGGTAGTGCTTCTGGATGTACTTAGTGATGTTGGGATTGTAGGCTCCGCCACCGCACATGAAGATCTCGTCGATCTGGAGGTCCTTGGGCGCATAGCGACGGTAGTGGTCCACGATGGCCTGGGCTGTGATGCGGGTGACGGTGGCGACCACGTCGTCTGGGCTGAGCCCCTTGCTTTCCGCTTTGCGGATAAGCTCGAATGCAATGGTGTCACGGAAGACTTCGCGGCCGGTGGTCTTGGGCGGGTCGAGGCGGAAGTAGGGGTGGTTCTGGAGGAATTCGTCGACGAGCTCTTGGTCGACAGTGCCGCGGGCGCCCATCTCGCCGTCMTTGTCATACTCTTGTTCGCCGTTGGTGTAGTGGCGGACCACGGCATCGATGAAAACATTGCCCGGGCCGGTGTCGAAGTCGTAGCAGGCATCGATGCCTCCGTGCGAGTCAGGCGGGATGAAACATACGTTGGCGATTCCGCCAATGTTCTGGCAGGCGCGCAGCTTGGTCGGGTGGTGTAGTAGCAGGGCATCGAAAAAGGCGATCAGCGGCGCGCCCTGGCGGCCAGCAGCCTGGTCGCTGACTCGAAAGTCGGTGACGGTGGTGATTCCGGTGCGAGAAGCCAAGAAAGTGCCCTCGGCCATGGTGAGCGCGCTGCGTACTTCGCCTGGCTCTGGCATGGAGAGGAGCCAGATGGTCTGACCGTGAGATCCGATAACATCGATGGTCGAGATGTCAACCTCGTAGTCCTGGCAAAATTGCTTGACGGCAGCTGCAAATGTTTCTCCCAGAATAACGTTTACTTCCGATAGCTCCGATGGGGAGGTCTTATTGTGGAGGATCATGTTCATAACCCGCTTCTTGATGGTCTGCTCGAGGGGGATTTCGCCATACTACCAAGGCCGTGTGCGTCAGTGGTCACACTGACTATTGTGGCTGAGGATACTGTCCGACGTACCTTGAGAAGCTCGAAATGCATGGGAGACTCTGGAGTCTCCTGACGGAAATGGCATAGAGCGCAGTCAATTCCATCCTGCAAGTTTGTGAGTCTTCTATTTTTGCGATGATTCCGTCCTACTCACCATTGATGTGCCGCTGTTCAAGCCCAGGACGGTCAAGTCCAGGGCCTGGCGGTTGGAAGTACCGTTGGTAGTGCCGTTGACAGTCATCGTTCGTAGCTGAGAAGATGCACCGATAGCGATTAAACCTGACGTTCCCCTGGCAGAGGACGGAGCGAGGGATTAAATAGATTAGGCAGGTCAGCTTGTGACTACAGGTCAGCTCGCGCTTGCAATCTGGGCCAGCCTCCATCTTATTTGCCTTCATTTGAGTACTATAACCAAGCCACGGACATTATTGGTCTGAATTTCAAGCCTGCCTGCAATTTCATTGGCTGGACGCGTAAACTGTTAAACGGGTGAGCTCTTAAATGCTTAAAGGGTAAACGGCTAAACGCTTAAACGGCCGAAATCCGGGGAACGCTCTCCGCATTGTGGCTTCTCCCCGAGTTTTCGCCATCGGCGGACAGACGGAGTACATTTTGATACGATGTCTCTCGAAACTGCTGCAAAACGCCTCAATCTTGTTTTATGGATCGGTTTGGTTGGAGCTGGGGATGGAGTGCAGGACTAGGGCTCAGACTATTATTTAAATCGATCTCCTCCCCCCGGATTTTCCCTCCGCATCTCGTTTCTACTGCAAGCTCCAACGGCTGGTGAATACACTCAGGGGTTTGATATCTTTTGCAAGGTCATTCCATCATGGGGTATACTACCTTTTGGAAACGGCTCTCGCCGTCGCAGCTCAATATAGCTATTCAAGTTTTCTCCCTCATTTGCATCTTCTTCGAGGGCTATGACCAAGGGGTCATGGGAGGCGTCAACAGCGCTCCCACTTATGTTACCGAGGTCGGCATTGGCGAGCCAAATGGCAAGGTGACTGATACTACCCATCAGGGAGGTATTGTCAGTATCTACTACCTCGGATGTATCTTTGGCTGCTTTGCCGGGGGGTGGCTGGCCGACCGTATTGGCCGTATCAACGGTCTACTCATCGGGTCTATATTCGCGTTGGTTGGAGGTGCTCTGCAAGCTGCAACCCAGAGCTCCGATTTCATGCTGGTTGCTAGAGTCGTAACTGGTGTCGGTACTGGAGGTATGTACCGCATAGTGCATCTAGACACTTGCAATGGCCTTTGCTAACTTCATCTCTACTAGCTCTGACCGGTATCACGCCCGTTCTGGTGGCGGAGACTTCTTCAGMACAGCACCGTGGAGGCTTCTTGGGATATGTGTTCATTGCAAACTGTTAGTCTCATATGCGGGATACCCTTACGTAGGAGTATTGACTGACCTCTTCTAGATCTAGGAATTTCCATCGCATACTGGATGTCTTTCGGTCTCGCCTTCATCAATAACGGTTACTCCGATATCCGGTGGCGGTTTTTGCTCGCCTTTCAATGTATTCCCGCTCTGATACTGGTCATGTTCATCAAAATGCTACCAGACAGCCCCCGTTATCTCGCCTCAGTCGGTCGTAACGAGGAGGCTCGGGACCTGCTGACCAGGGTCCGCGCCCATAAAGCCACCCCTGCGGACATTGACCATGAGTACATGGAAATTGTTGCGTCCGCTCAAGACAGCAAGCCCAGTTCTCCTATTGAGTTCGTCAAAATCCTGATTGGCAAGGGTGGCAGGCCCGGCTCCAATCTTGGTCGACGGGCCTGGCTTTGTGTCTGGCTTCAGATCATGGCATCGTGGACTGGTATTACAGTAAGTCTATGGCGTTCGCAAGGTGTTAGGTTAGGGTAAAAACTTACAATGATCACAGGCTGTTACGGCGTATTCCCCCGTTCTTCTCAGCCAAGCCGGTTACAGTGAGGTTACTCAAAACGGCCTCGCTGGTGGACTGAACACAATCGGAATCATCGGTACAATCATAAGTGCGCAGATTGTGGATCGATTAGGTCGGAGAAAGTGTCTGATGCTAGGGTCCATGGTTCTGTTTATTGTCGAGCTTGTGGTAAGTCTCAGTCGTTGTCTGAGCATTTGAGAGCAGGAACTAATGTAATTATTGTTGCAGGCCGGTGGCGTGTATGAAGGCTCGCTTCAAAATCCAAGCAAAGCTGCGCAGTATGCACCAGCTGCGGTGGCAATGCTCTTCCTCTTCAACCTGGGCTATGCTGCGACCTGGGGAACGGTGGCCTTCCTTGTGCCCACGGAGGTTTTCCCATCGGATCTCAGAGCGCAAGGAAACGGATTCGGTATCACCGGTTGGGCTATTGGAGTCGGCATGACTACATTAGTCAATCCCATCATGTTTGGAAGTCTGAAGAGTCGAAGCTATTTCCTCCTTGCTGGGCTCAATCTTCTCTGGATTCCAATTGTCTACTTCTTCTATCCGGAAACGTGCAATCGGTCCCTAGAATCGATTGACGCCTTGTTCTCCACATCCAGTCCGTTCTACTGGGAGATGGAGCGCGCCTACCAGCTCCATAGTGACGTACTCGCGGAGAGAGCAGCGCGGAAACTTGCTGACGAGGATGCCACAAAGGCCGGAGGTCAAGAATCAGTCCACGAGGAATTCCACGGGACGACCACCGTTGGTGTATGAGCTATTAGTCGCAATTAGAATGGCTTTCTGTATTCTATCGGATATATATGAAGTAGGCGTTCTACGTTTTGCTCCCTTGATCATGATAATGTGTAGGCAGCTACCGACCAATTCCCAATCTTTACCTGGGAGTACTCTGATCATAGCTGCATTAAGTTGTCTTATTTGGCAAACATTAGGCAGCGTATACTAAGCTGCCTGGATGGTAATTGCCAGAGCAAGGGGCCGCGTGTAGTTCGTGGTCAAGTAGCTGTGGGCAACTATAAGTTGTAGAGCCGAGACATAGGCTCCTGCTGCGCACTGTTGCTATGCATTATAAGCACACCGATGACCTATTATGAGTCCTGTATCTCCACAGAGCTCATGTTTTGTTTCTTATTTCTGCGGTGCCTCAGTGTCTATATGCAATGCAACTCCTATTGTCTTAAACAGACTTCCCTGTGCCTGAAGCTGACTAAGGATACTATTGGTAACTACTGGAAAACTAGCAGATAGAGTTGCACTATAGAGAACCTCCTGCCTACTTCGACCCGAGAGTGTCATACAGATGCTGCCGCCGCACTCGCATCTTGGAAGATGATTCGGGTTTACCCTCCCAATCTACCCAAAATCCTGCTTACCGAAACAAAGTCTGACGATGTCACTGTTTACCTGGTTGATTTTATTCTCATTTCCTCCTGATCGTCTCAGATATCGGCCATCTTGACTCACAAGACTCAGATCATATTCTTGACTTACTTTTAGATAAGCCTACTGAAAATGAATGGTCTGTACTGGACTATATCAGCTCATTTAGAGATTGCCTTTTTAGATAATATTTGTGAAAAATAATCTAAAATTCATAAAACTGAAACACCAAAAATCTATTTACAGTCTGGTTGATACAATGTATGTAGGTACAGGATCGTACTCGCGCCGCGTCTTAATTACAGCATAACTGAACAAATCAAGACCAAACCCAGGGTGGCGAGAAACCTCATATGACATTCCAACTTAAAAGTGGTAAACTTGCCTGGGCTGTAAATGACTGTTCCTATGATCTTTTGCCACCCGCCTGTCTCTGCATGCGGTGGCATGATATTAAACTTTGGAGCTGATAAGGACAGTGCCTCACGCTATAGAGCCATATGTAGAGTATTTGAAAGGTGTCAAACTTAATGACAAAATTATTGCAGACATGACGATAGATGATTTGATCAAGTACGTAGCTATAGCTATCTCCCATGGATATCATGGGAGTAACCAACGTTAAAGCTTTCTTACGGAAACCCGGTAGTTGGTTCCCCAATCACATGAAGCTAGCCCCAGCACGGTATAAATCATGCCACTCACCTGACTGATTGCCTGGACATGTCGAGAGCTGCTCATAATACATCAAAAGGAGATATGGGATCAAGACAGGCCAGATCACTATGGCCATGTACGGCAGGCTGCAGAAGCAAGCGCCTACTACACCTTACTTGACTTCTGATAGTGGCCTTGGGAATGACACAAATGATCGAACAACTTTGTACTTGGCTATTTTTGCATGTGGCAGTTTTTATTTGATCCTTGCACTATGGTAAAAAGTCCCTTGACTACCATGACTGTCCTTACCTCCAAAAAGGCACACTGACCCATAATGATAGGATGCTTTACACATCGTACTGCACCACCCAGCATGATAGCCAAGACCCAGACCTGCCTCACATTTATGGACAATCAATCCGCCAAGTCATAGCAGACAAACTAAATGACCTTGAGGAGGCAGCTCCTAAAGAGCCCCTTTCTTCCTGGCTGTCTTCAACGCAACCTGCCGAAGCTCCGTATATCCAGTACAACAGCATCACATGGTAGGAAGCTTGGCCCTTAAAAGTCAAGGATCCAAAAGTGCCGGATTGACTTGCTAATTTGAGTAACAGCCCCATCTGTTTAGATCCCGTCCTTGAACATCATTCGGTTCATGCTCTGCAGTGTCGTCACGTTTTCCATGATCTCTGTCTTGAAAGATGGTTTTTGAGGGCTCATAATAGCTGCCCGGTGTGCCAGAGGGCATTAGTAGAGGAGTGTGACATGTGCCTGGACTTTCTCGTGTGAACATCGAGGAAATTATCCATTTCGTTGGCATGTTTGCAATAGTAACTCTAATTTGGATCTAAAAGATGCCCAAAAGGTGTCTGCAGACCTTCTCTGAGCTATAGAGATTGGACGTAGCTCAGTCCCGTCAGTGCCACGGTCTTGTAAGCGTGGCTAATCATATTCAAGGAGTAAGATCTTACGTTTCTTTATCCAAGGTACGCGAGGTTGAGCTCCGCTCATTCTGTGGTCCGACCGAGTGACACTTTTCGGTAGAAACGATCATGACGAAGTCGATCAATCATGTCCAATAGCAAGGCTAGAAATCCTTCCCTGCTCCTGGTTTAAAACAGGGCATCTCCATGGGGCAAGTCATTCTTTTATTCTCTATTCTACAGTTTCACTTAGTATCTACATCCCGCCTTGTACCTTTGAACAAGATACATCATGCCGTTCATGTCATATTCTCATGTACTTGAACTACGACGGTGGTTGGAAGGGACCAGAGCAAATGTGATTTGTTACGGATCTGAGGACTATGCGGAAAAGATCAAGAGATGGAGTGATACTTGTGAACGAGATGCGGTGTGTTTTCCCACGTTCTCATTATACGTACGACGGAGGCTGATTGCCAACCAGGGCGCTATAGTCGAAGTTACCTCTACATCAGAAGTATCTGAAGCAGTCAAATTTGCCCGAAAGCATCATATCAACTTTGTCACGGAGGCTGGCGGACATTCCACCACTGGTTCGTCTGCTACCCACGGTGGACTGGTCATAAGCCTGACAAAAATGCGCCGTGTCTTGACTGATCCTGCCTCCAGAACTGTGTGTGTCCAGGGCGGAGCTATCTGGGATGATGTTAACGAGTCCACTGATGCGTATGGCCTGGCAGTTGTTGGATCGACTGCCAGCCACACAGGAGTTGCAGGGACGACGCTGGGAGGTGGCTTTGGGTGGCTAACTGGGCGATACGGGCTGATCAGCGACAATCTACTCAGTGTCAAAATGGTTCTAGCAGACGGCACAATTGCGGAGGCATCCGAGGAGAGCCACCAGGACTTGTTCTGGGCAGTGCGTGGGGCAGGACAAGCGTTTGGGATTGTGACGGAGCTGGTTTTCCGGGCTTATGACCTACCCGGGCCTGTGTATGGTGGAACGCTCATTTTCACTGTGGATCGATTACCAGGAATCCTTGAATTCGCCAGTCGCTTCGATGAGAAGCAGGATCAAGACAGCGGCTTTTTCTTTGGGCTTGCGGCACCATCGGCGGCTGATCGTACAGCTATCTTGGTTCTGCCATTCTATAACGGCAGTCAAGAGAAGGCCGAGGAGTTCTTCGCGCCGTTGATCTCTCTGGGCCCTTCAAAAGACAAGACGTCCATGATGTCCTACAAAGAACTCAATCGAATTGCAGATGTCGATCCGGTCCCAGAGGGTCGGAAATGTTTCAGTGGGACCAAAGTATCCATGCCACTTGACCGGCATCTGATCTGTGATTTATGGGAACATTTCGACTCGATTATGGAACAGTATCCGCGATCAAAGAACAGCGTGCTAATGTTCCAGCTCATACCCTATGAGAAGACGATCAGTGTCCCTATCGACGCTACAGCCTGCGCTGATCGAGGACAATACTACAATGTCGCGTTGCTTCTATGCTGGTATGACCCTGAGCATGACACGACAATGCATACATACATGCGGGCCCTACTCTCAAGGATCAAGAAATCGCCCTGTTATGCTTGCAAAAACGAGCCTGCCGTGCAAGCCAATGCCAATTTTGCAGGTCAGCCCTCTTGTGATATTGTTCCATCTTGATTACATGCTGATAACCCATTTAGGGCATGAGATTGGAGCAGCTTACCTCTTCAGAGACAATCTTCCTCGATTGCAGGCTCTGAAGAAGAAGTATGATCCACATAATGTTTTCTCCAAGTGGCATAATCTCGTCTCTCATACAGAAACTCAGTCATGACTATAGTGTTAAGTCGGGCAGTTTAATTGTGAACTTTCTTCCCCCTCCCATTTTAMGGATTTAGTGTCATTCTTTGGGCTTGCTGAACGGATACTCATAGTTAACAGGTATCTATGGCACAAAAGCAAGGGTAATAGCTACGCCAACTTCTCTGTTACAGCTTACTCCCAACTTGTAGAAAGGTGATATGAGACTCGCAGGGCAGTATTTTATCTGCAAACTATAGTCCACTTTTCTCTGATACATGTACTACGGTCGAACGGGAGATTTTCCAATAATATTTGCAGCAGTAACTAAGTCAGCAACACTAAAACACAAGGCGAGATTAAGAAAAAACACGAACTTTTGCACCTAGCTTTGATCGCCACACCACAGACAACTCGACAACACTGGAAACTAAAACAATAAAGGGATACAGGACAAGGAGTAAGAGCAAAATAAACGACCGTTCCCGTCCACAATCCTTGAACGACGAATGCATGGTCTCAGGGAGCGAAACCACAATCAATCGTCCTTCTGCGAGTCACTCATCTCGTCTCGAAGCGTCTGTACACCATTGACAAAAGCCAAAAGACTCAGACGCCTCTCATAGATATTCCGCAGCTCCACTCGCTTGCTGTCGTCAGCCGAGTTGTGACCCGTGATCAAGATGATCATGAAGAATGACTCGATCAAACTCGGAGGGACATTGCACAGCAACTGGCCCGTCATCGTCCATTTCATCGCACTGGCTCCTGCAATGAGACCCACAATGACGAGGAAGCCGACCACAACAGTGATCTCATGTGCACAAACCCGATTCATCGTCTCGGAGACGCGGTGCGTCAGACTCTTCGGTCCAGTGACCTCCTTGACCGGCATCGGTTGACCGACACTCGCAAAGAGTTTGTTCTCTTCCGCCTCGACCTTGTCAAACTCCAGATCGGCAAAGCCTCGAAGGCGAGCTTGCATGTTTCGGAGGACAAAGCCATCGTTCATACCAATGAGACCAGCATAAGTGCCAATGATCAGCCACCAGTTGGCGTTGAAGTGTAGCAGAGGGCCTATCGCCACCCAGACGATCATCATGACTAGGAGGATGGTAATGCCGACCAGAGTGCCGACGAAATCCGCATAGTAGAAGATGACACGTTGAACTCCGCTAACCTTGGGCGCTGGGAGGATAACCACGTTGTTTTCAAGGTTATCATCAGTGAGGAGCCGGAGGCGATATTCAAGCGTTGCGTCAACCTTGAAGATCGCATTCAGACAACTAAGGGTGTAGGCCGAGTGTCGCTCGCGGATGTTAGCCAGGAATGCGAAGACAAACACCATCAACGCCGAAGACGCCGAGTTCATGTACAGCTGCCAGTTGTTGCTGTATCCGTCCAGGTGTCCGAGGCCAATCCAGACGAAGACGCCAACCCAGTATAGTGTGACTGTGCCGAGATGACCCAGTACATGAGAGAACCAAGTGATGGTCCGTCCAAAACGCCCTTCGGTTGGGAGCTCTGCGCTGAATTCGGGAGCGTTCTGGTACTGAGCCACGATTGTTGTCAGACGGGCTTGCTTCTCTGGATCCTTCTTCTCTGTTTGCAAGTCCAGTTTCTCCAGCATCCTGCGGTGGCTGAGAATGCGCGACTGCAGCTCGGCGGCCACAGTCATTTCCTCATCGTATGCGTTGAGCTGCTGTCTGACAAGGAAGGAGTCAAACACATAGCTGACGATTGCCTGAATGTCGGAGATCAGAACTTGCCAGATATCGGTGGTCCCGTACTTTATGCCAAGCAAGGCCCAGGCGAGGAGACCCGCGAGGATGAAGAAGAAGACTGGCTCGGAGCCAGACATCCGAACGACGAAATCCAGCCACCGATCTAGCATTCGGGGTTTGCTTTTCGGTACGTAGCCGGTGGTGATAGGCGCGTCAATCGCAAAGCCGTTTTTCTCAATGAACTGAGTGGGAGCCACGCCTTGGACCTCGCCCTTGGCTCCGGGCTTGGTCAGGAGATTCATGAAGCGATTCATTTTGTGTATTTGGTATTTTTCCTTTTTCCTTTATTTTTCTTTCCTTTTTCCTTTATTTTTCTTTCCTTTTCCTTTCCTTTTCTCTTTCTTCTTGCTTTTGAGTTTTATTCTCCCCTGGTTTTTGATTGTATAATCAGACGCCGAATATGGAATAATGAGTGTATAAAATCTAAAGATGCTATGCTAAGCTGTTACCTGTCAGCATGTGCGTGCCCAAGAGCGTTCTCGGCAATTGAGATATACGAACGGAAGGCAATCTTGTTCATCTTTTGAGTCTATACTGGTACTCTTCGAAGCATTGGCCGTCGATACTGGCTTGTCCTATGGCGGGCGACGTTCTTCTAGGAGCTCTGGGCAGACAACGTTGGGTCTGTGCTTATGGCATTCCACAGCAGTGACACATAGACAAAAGATAGTTGGACCAAGGTTCTTCATCGATGTATGATTTAGCGGAAGAATCCGAATTGGCTGTACAATGAAGTAGAAGTAGAAGTAGCAGTAATTAATAATTGATATAAAAAGATTCGAGTTGAGTTGATCAACAAGTTGGGGAGCTGAGGGCAGTGGAAGGGAAAACGAGAAATTCTTTATATCCTGTAAACATTTCTTAGCTTCGGGAACTGGAGACTCCTAGACGACCTTATTCGGTCCAGCCGCCTCGATTCAGCCATTCAGCTCCGTCGGATCTCGTGTTAGTCTGTCATGGTCGTATCCAAGAAAAAAGCTTGGATTGATGCGTTTAATTCCCTCATAGGACTGCTAGGCTGCTTTGATTTGTTCCTGCTATCTATAACAACAAAATATGACACATCCTGCTCTCTTATGATTCGCGGMATTCGCGGTAAGTGAAGGAAGTCGTCCATTTGAGGGACCATTAGGAGCAGTATCAGGCCCATTTAGCATGGCTCTTCTACGTACTACTGTTTTCTTCACGTTTGGACTTCTGAACTTCTGACATGCAACAACACTCTCATCTCAGATTCCATGGCTTTCTTCTTCCATCATTCAGGGCCGGTAGGTGCTTGACAGAATGAGCGGCCCTTCCCTTGGATTAAAGTTTGAATCTCCCATTGGCTCCCAAAAATGCCTCACGGTAGTACCGAGCAAAACATCGATGCCTAAAACGGGACTGCAGAAAATTTTTTCTCCCGGCTTCGGTAGCGCCTCTCAATATCGTGATTTAATCTTCCAATCACTTGAAGGGCTATCTATATATTTTATTGTCTATGCTGGTAACATGGTATATAGAGGGGTAAGATGCATATGGAGGGGCAAAGAAAAAAGAAATTTCTCCAGGAGTCATAGTCACGATGCACCAACAAAGTAAGAAGAAGTGTCAGGGAGGATGATGCTGTATCTCATTCAGCTCACAAGGCCAAGGCGGAGGTGTCTCTTTTCACCTCTAAATCATCATGTGCTCAAGTGGTTGAAGGCTGGCGGTGAAGGCAGTCGATCGATGGTACCCAGCGGGTGTTGAACTCTGACTTAACTTTTCTAATTCTATTCACGCTTTGATCTTTATCAAAACCAATATACTTTACACATGGAAAGGCCCAAATTCTGGAGGAGAGTTTATGTATCATCTTACAATGTTATTTGCTTTTGAGGAGTCTCCCACATGGGCAGGGCAAAGCAGGGCGTCAGACCCTCTAGGATCCTCATGATTTTGTAGCACTTCCAAATCCTTGAAATAACCGACCTTTCCACCTAATTTCAGGGTCGCTTTACTAATTTCAGGGTCTGGGCGACCCTGATATTAGTTGGAAGGGTTGGTTAGGCTAGATAGACTCTCTCACGTGTCTAAATTTTCCATGGGATGCACGACTATTAAGGTGATAACTTAAAACCATACTCTGCTACCTTAATTCTTCGCCAGTATGTCATTCTCCTTGAAGGTCCATAATGGTTCCAAGGTAATCAAGCATATATACTCCGTAGTTTTTTTTGGTTTGCAGCAGCCCTTGCTTACTGCTTCACGCATATCACAAAGGAGACTTTATTCATGAACATAGTACTAGCCCTTCCAGTGTTATTGATGCTTGACAGCTAGTTCTTCCTGGTTAACTGATTTATTGGATTCCTATTATTTAAGTAGTATCATATATGGCTTCTGCTCTCTGTTTAATCAGCGATATATGATAGTTATACAGAGGAGAGGGTTATGATAACTTTGAGGACATTTGATTTTGTAGCCAGTAGCCTAGCTTCCCCCAGATATGTACAGTTGTTTGCAAAAATGACGCCCGGTCTTATATTCTTCAACTGTTTTCTGTGATGCCAAGACCTGCTAAACTACCATGTAATTTTTCCGAAGACCCTTGTTCCGCGACTCGGTATTATATTCTATGGATGCTTTCATGATGCTGATGCCCACCGACCAAGATTACTTGGTGTATGGAACGGACCCCATCGTATACCCCCAACATACTTGGATCTTAACTGCACGCCATCTGTAGTCCGCCTTTAGCAGAACCCCCAGAGAATGTCTGATGAAATTCGACCCACTTGTATCAAAGCCAGTCCGATAAACTGGATTTTTTGCCAGTTGAACGGGAAGATCGGAGAACATGGGATGGAAAATCTAACCTGTATTCACAATCAGATCAGGTAGAGAGTCGCTCTGAACAACCGGGCTGTGCGGCAAAGAGCACAAAACAGGATCTGGCTCTGCCATCTACCTTTTACTAGCAGCAGATAGGAGAGACCACTGTTTTGCGTCCGACAACGTTGACCGAGAGCAGGTCCAAGGATTGGATCGAACTACCATTCCGCCTACCATTGTTGAGATATACAACTCAACCTCCACATGTGACAGCTCTATGAGACTTGGTAGTGAGTATGACGATAGATCATCTTACTGAATTGAGTACCAGAAATGGGGCAGTCCAGGTTGCTTTTCCAGACAAGCTTGGTGAAATCAGTTCATTGTTTCCCTCCGACCCGCTCGTGGCAGTAGAGCAAAACGATATCCAATTGGACTGAGCATGGCCTATGTAGGAAGTGGAATACCCATGGTTTCGGCTTTTACTAATTTCTAGGTCGCCTCCTCTGCAATTCACTTGGGTTCCGATCAGAGATGACCCAATTTTGCATATAAACGGGAGTTTGCAACTTCCCCTCCGCAGCAAGGAATGCTGCAGCTGGAGCGATCTGCTCCCAAAAAATATTAGGAAATATAACATTCAGCCAGATCGGCTCATCTGGCGGTAATCCCTGCTTTCTGATTCCTTCCATGAAGTCATCGTGATAGTATCCTTTTCTCGTAAATGTCGCCATTCTTTCAGGAATGCGGACATGTGTCACGAGGTTTGGATCTGTGGCCGGCCAGACATACCATATCTCATGGTCATAGTCAATTAACCCTGGAAGCGCAAAATTGCGCAACTCCAGCACACTTTTGATCAATTGCTGCCGAGTCCACTTTGAAGTGAAACGTACGCTATCGCAAAGTAAGAAATGGATTGCACGTTCATAAGTTCGAATGCCTTTCTGTAGTGCCATATATGCGTCGGGGTTTGTGTATTTATATGTGGGCTCGATATCAGGGGTTCGGATGCTGACAAGACGCTGGTCAAAAGGCCTTTCTAAAAGGGCTATGACAGCATCAGTAGTTGCTTCATGATCCCCACCGATAAAATGCCCATCTTCGGCAATGGAGAGACAAACCGTTGTAGAATCTCCAGGAGAAGGCGTTGGAGACGGGTTGATGGAGACAGTGGAGGCCAAGCAAATCTGATGCTTAAGAACCCTATAAGAGCGATGCTCTAGGGAGTCGGGGCGAATTATAGAGAAGTGATCGCCTGGAAGAGATCCGGCATTGGGGAAGACGGCTTGAGCGGAGACGGGCTCCACTATGTTGTCACTTTCTCCTGCATATACCGCAAATGTTATTCGACATTTATGCGGAGCCACTCCTTCAGTGTATACAATTTGTTGCATGATAGTCCTCTGGACCTCGTTGACTCCCTCGCAGAGAGGGCGAAGCTGATATTCTTGCGGGTGGCCCCGCAGTATTCTACGGCGTAAAGTCAAGCCCAATTCGGAGCCATTATTTGGACAGGCGAAAAGGATTACTCGACGAATTCGGGCAAGTTCGTTCCCACGTCCGCTCCGAACCATTTGAGCCAGGAAACGTTGCACAACCAATCCACCTTGGCTGTGGCATATCAGTACCAGACGATCAAATTTGGCAGCCTCAGTTTCCAAGAAAACGCGGAGGCTTCCTGCAACTGTCCCCAACGTTGGTAGCCTGGTGAATGGAGACCAAGGCGTGAACATAGCAGTGGCATATTGAAACTGTAAGCACCTAATTGGGATCCGGAATTCGGGGTCTGCATTCAGCAGCGAGACAAATTCATCCCAAGCGGACGGCGATGAGTTGAATCCGTGCACAAAGACAAGCCCTAAGGGCTGGCTGGCATCCCTGGCGCCCGCACGTTCCTCCAACTCGGGTTGCCCATTCATAGTGGAGGCAAAGGGAACGGAATAGGAATGTCAAGTGTGAGATGGAATGAAGATGATTATGGATTATGTCTGAAATTTCGCGGAAACACCTCAACCTTAGATGTCGTCACTCGGCTCGACGAAATGATTTCTGGATCAGTCACTCTTGCTCGGTTAAGAGTCAAATCAGTGGCTACGCCATACTGAACCTTATCGCATGTATCGCACCGCTTTCGTTCCGAGGTAAGTAACTCCGGAACTTGAAATAACGAGCTACCACATAATTATAAATATTGAAGCGAACATACTAACACTCTTTCGCCTTGTCACTATTACAGGAAGTTATCAAGTCCTTAGTCCGGCTTGTGCTTGATCTCGCTGTTGGGATGTGGACGTGGCACTCGTCGCACAAGAACATCACCATCGCATTTAACAACGCAATGAGGCTTCTCGAGCAGATGACCGCGAACTTTCTTGCATAAAGTGGCGTGATGCTTCGCGGCCGCCCAGCCTTTTTAGGGGGGGCTTTAACGCTACCAACCAACCGTACATTGGAGGATATCCTGAGGATGGTACGCTCTCTGCAACCGGCATCCGCCATCTCTGACGTGGAAAATTCCCTGCTGATGATCATGTCATGAATAAGCTCGTGCTTCGAAGCGGCTAGATTGAACGTTATCTTGGGTGGGCCACTTATGTTTGATTGTCCATTACCGTATTCCAAGGTGGGGCACCGAGGTGTCGAGTGTATTAATGACACAGGTAGTTGCAACTGGCCAAATTTGCCAGGTAGCTGGGTGTTGGTTTGGCTGGTTTGCATAGAAGCTTCCAATTACTACCCATACAGGCGTTTGTCCGGCGCTTTGCGTAATACAGCTTAGTTTGATTTACACTGGGGTACAGAAAGCAGTTAAAGAGCATAAGACCCAGGCAAACAACTGGTACTGCGCGAGGGCGGACATTTTATGCGCTTTGGTGTACTGAGACCAATCAAATCAGTGCAACGGATTAAAATTTCCATAAGCAAGAGATGATTCGGAAAAATATTTACTTACAAGCAGTGGGCCGATTCTAGGGGCATAGCCTACGGTTCCCACATTTGGACGGCTCCACCTTGGCATTGGCGGGCTAAGTGAAGACAAGACATAAATATCCAAGTTGCAAGTCATCCACATTCTGCCTCAGTATTGATTTCTTAGTATTCTAAACACCACAATTCAAATTGCAGCATGTCTTCCAACACAACCCACATCTGCGTCGTCGGTTCGCTGAATATCGACTTCGCAGTATCAACATCCCGGTGTCCCGGGCCTGGGGAGACCTTAACAGCAAATTCACTCTCCGTGACTGCCGGCGGAAAGGGTGCAAACCAGGCCGTCGCATGTGGTCGAGCATGTCTCACCTCCAGTGACGCCGCAAAAGTCACTGTGAGCATGATTGGCGCTGTGGGCGCCGACGACGTCTACTACGCAACACTGATCCGACCGACGCTAGAGGATTCCGGTGTAGATACAAAGTATATTGAAGAGAGAACAGACAGCCGCACCGGCTCAGCAACCATTATCGTTGAAGACTCAGCGCACGGCGAAAACAGGATCCTGGTGGTGCCGGGGGCCAATCATGCGGGGATGGATGATGCTCAGAAGATCCTCGCCACGATCCAATCCTATTCTCAATCTCCGGCTTTGGTTGTTTTACAAGGCGAGATTCCCAGACACACGACTCTGGACTTGATGAAGCATTTCAACCAGCCAGGGAATCCAACACACGTCCTGTTCAATCCCGCCCCGGTCTTCGCAGATGGCGTCGCGGTTGACGCGCTCGCCAACACGTCCGTTCTCGTCATGAACGAGACCGAAGCGGCGCAAATGCAGGCATCCATCTCAGCAGATCCAGCGATCGATACCCAGGCGACAGGCGAGTTGAAGCCGGAGGACCTGGCGAGGCGGTTCCATGAGCTTGCGAACGTCAAGATCGTCCTGATTACCCTTGGGGCAAAGGGTGTTTTCTTCTCGACCTGCACCGGCAGAAAGGGCATAGTCGATGGGATTCGGGTACAGAAGGTTGTGGACACGACGGCCGCCGGCGACACCTTTGTTGGCTATTTCGCTGCAGCATTTGCCGAATTCACCGCGACATCGGCCCCGCTGGAAGATTTCGATAACGTCATTGAGCAGGCAGTACGACGCGCAAATTGTGCTGCGGCGTTATGCGTGCAGAAGCCTGGTTCGATGCAGAGCATTCCAACGGCCGTGGAAGTCGATAGATTGGACTGTCAATAGGTGAATCATAAAGTTCTGATGTGCTCTGGCATCAAGCAATTGGTTCTTCGTATCGTGACATGCGCCATTGAGATTGAAGAGATTCGATCTCGTAGCCCAAGTTGATCCCTGTCAACTCCGTAATTCGTTGTAGCCGGTTCAACACCGCGGACTGCTGTAAATGGTGGGTCATATCTTTGGCTATGAGGAGCAGCGCCGCGATGAGAATCGGGTCCCACTGCTCGACCGTATCGTTGCTAGTTGCAATCCCGGCAATGGATTGAGCATGCCAGATAGAGGAGGACAGGCATTTCGGGCCGGACAGCGTCTTCACAAAGCGCGGCTTGCGAGTCAGAAGAAGGAAAGACGCGACATGGTAGACAGCATTGGCGACTAGAGCGAGGGGTGTTGTATAGACCAAGATTGGGAACGAAGATGCGTTCTGTGGGTCAATCTCATCTGCACGCGCAGCTCGAACATCCAAGACGGGCTGCACTTGCAGTGGACGATTCTGATACCATCTCCGACACTCCGTCCACAGATAATTCCATTGCGACACAGGATTCAAAGCGGGGACTGCATCTACTTGGCCCAAGCCCTCAAGATATGTAGTTGGGCCTCCAAAAATGAAGGTCAAGGTATGCGCGAGAAGCAGGAGAATATGCCGATACACCTGTTTGATTGGAGCTGACTCTGAAGTGGACACTGGCGGGGGCATCAGCATATGTGGAGGCTCAGAGCTTATAATAGATGCAGCAAGATCTGGCCACTGTTAGCTTCTGACAATAAGCTCAGGAAGTTTATCCAACTCACCGATTCTGAGTGTCACCCAGAAAGACGGTTCATTGAGCCCTCCATCAGAGGCTGCCAGGCATCCGAGGCCTCCTGGCGCATTGATATGACCAGTCACCAAAGTCTTCCACTGGGATGGGCGAGAGGAAAAGAAGTCATGCAGCATGAAAAATACATTTCCTACTCTCTGGATAGTAGTGGTTTGCAAAGGAAGGCCGTTCTCAGCTTCTGCGCGAAACCTGAGGCTCATGGCGAGGTGGTCGGCTGCGTGTCTCGGCGCTACAAGCGATCTTTGGCCCGCAGCAAGCGCAAGGATAGCAGCAAGAAGAGGTCGGACTCGCCTGCCAAGGATCAGGAACTCGAGGCCGAAAGTACGGCTTGGATCGCCGACATCAATCCAAGGGGCTAGCGCATAGCAGTAATGCCGGAGTAGCCCTGTCTCAGGATCATTGCCGGAGTCCGCGGGAGCGGTAAAAGAAAGCTCGGGCCGAGCTTGGTGGACTGGAATAGCACTGCTCGAAGAAAGACGCGCAGTAGCGCGATTGGGGGTTGGAAGTAGTTCTAGAGGCTCTGCATGACATTCGGCTTGACTTTGCTCGTGCTCCACGCTACCACTCTCTTGCAGCGGAGGAGTTGTGGCGGGGGTCTCATCCACAAACTATCGACTGTCAGTCAACGGACACGATGCACACTTCTTTGGCGATTCCCATCTTACTCTGATAGTGCTATACGTTGATCCTGTCCCATCGGATTGTAGATCGGATACATTTGCAACCGAGACAAAGGTGACTTTGCTGGGATATTTACAGATAAAGCCTTTTGCAGTGCAGTTTTCACAATGAGGCTTGGCCTCATCGCCTGAGTAGGAGCTATAATCAGTTTCAGCCCCTCTTAATAACGTGTCAGCAATTCTTACATTTTCTTCTGCGTCGGCGACACGTCCAGCAGCCAGTGCGGACACGTTGTTTGCCTGCTGGGGTAGTTCTCTTCGTCGGCATCGTGGTACTCGGTTCTTCCCCAGATCATCCCGAGAATGTGCTGTCACCGGTCAAAAAGGGGTCTTTGAGCCTCTGCACCCCAGAATTGGCCCGACTTGGACTTCCTCGGCTGACCGATGAAAAGCGGCATACCATTTGTCCCGTTCTTTGTCGGTTTCCTCCATATCGGACAAATGTGGGCCTGGGGGGTAACCCCGGCGGAAATTTTACTAAGGCATAAAGGGAAGCAGGGTATTGGCCAATCATGTTGCTAGAACAATCCGACTTATGTATCTCTTTTACGTAATACTTTTTGTTCACTATTTTTGCTTTTCAGTGTCTGCGTGATTCTACAGATTTTTTACGCTGTACAGATTGACACCTCGTTCTGTTTTGACTTATAAGGAAAGAAAGTGAAGTCGCTGGCATTAATGTCCAGAGATGAATGACTCTGACAACAATTCGGACCGAATCAATTGTTCATCCTGCCGTCATCCCTCCAAGTTCAGAACTTTCTGCTAATGCTGATGGGTTATGGTCTTAGTATGGTGATAGGCTAGGTATTCTAGAATATGAAATAGAGTAGGGTGACTCTCTTAATGTAGGCTACAATGAAATGATAGGGTGTTTACAAGAGCTCTATCTTCAGAAAAGTTTGGTAATCTGGTGATTAAACTGAGTTGATGGAACACCATCCCCGGATATATATTTCCGAATGCATATTCAACGTGGCAAAGAAAAAAATTACAAACACATGCGTTGATCTCATCCGTCATACAATGAAGAACATTATCTAAACATTCTCCACAAACTTCTCTTCCGAAATTGGCCCTTTCGACATACCGTTGCCTCCCTCTGCCCTGGCCAGCAGTGCCGTCAACCCGACATCGCGTTGGGCTTCACGAAGGAGCTGGGCGTCGCGCTCCCCAGTATGACTGTTGAACACCCGGTCCATTTCCTCCAATGACGCGTTCTTGGTCTCAGGGAGGTAGAATTGGACCCAAAAGATGCCAGCCAGAAGGAAGACAGCGAAGAAGATATATGTGCCCCATTGCCACGATTTGAGCATGGGCGGTACGAAAAATGCAATGGCAAAGTTGTTCAACCAGTTGCTCGAGGCTCCGATAGAAGCTCCCTTTGCTCGGATCGAAAGAGGGAAGATTTCAGAGACGAGCGTCCATGAGACTGGTCCCCAGGTAGCGCCAAAACCAGCGATGTAGAGCCAGATCAGTGCTGCAAGCTTGTTAGCCAGTGTTTACGATGCAGATGCGACTATCGAGGAACTCTTACCAACTGCGGTCCATCCGGCTGCCACATGAGACGGCCAATCGTGTTGGAACTTGGCAACAATCACGCCAACAATCACCATACTCAAGAACATAACCACCGAACCGACCAGCAACATGGGTTTCCGACCAACCCGGTCAATGATCAGCTATGGAGTATTAGCTAGGGGTCGAGCAGGGGCAAGAAGAATAGATGACTTACCATAGCTGGTACGGTGCTCACGATGAATACAACTCCAGTGACACCAGTCGCCAGGAGAGCAATTGTCCCACCAGTCAGTCCCAGACTCTGAAAGATATTGGAAGCATAATAGATAACTGTGCAAAATGTCAGCCCAGGACAGGAAACAAGAGTTGAAAAGACATACTGGCATCGATTCCGCTCCACTGCTGGAAGAACATGACCAGCCAGGCGGTGCAAACACGCTTGAAGTTGTCCATGGTGGAGAAGCAGTTGGCATACTGCGCCCACTGGTTCTTAAGAATTCCCTTTTCTGCCGTGTTGGGGAAGGCTCTCTTCTCAAACAATGCCTCTGCCTTGATTTCGAGATATTCCATCTGGACGAGGTCATGCTCGACCGGCAATTTCCTCATCCAAGCGAGCGTGGACTGAGCCTCCTGGTCTCGTCCGACTTTGACCAGCCACCGAGGGGAGAAAGGCATAAACCAGATGCCGCAGGCAAGTGCAAAAGCTGGGATTCCTTGAATGATGGAGGGCAGACGCCATGCTAGATCGGATTGTGTTTCACCAGTGCCGCCAATGTAATTGCTGCCGTAGCCCACCCAGAAGGAAATCATGATACCCAGGATTGTAGCAAACTGATAGAAGGAGACCAGGAGACCGCGCATTTCCGGAGCGGCCAGTTCGGCATTGTACAAGGGGCCGACACCGCTGAAAAGACCGACTCCAAGACCGGTAAAGAATCGCCCAGCATACAGAAGAGAGGCCATTCCTGCCGAAGCACCAACGTAGAGATAACTTCCTAGGATGACCCAGCAGCAGGCCGCGAACATGGTGTACTTTCTCGAGAAGATCTCGCCAAAGATGCCGGCAGAGAGAGATCCCACGATACCACCCAGCTGAAGAACGGAGGTGAGCCATCCGGTAGCCGCAGAGGAATGGACGACCGACGGGAAGTTTTCGGTAAACCGAGTCATCACCAAGGATTGCCCGAGTACTCCTTGTTGGTAACCATACTCGAAACCACCAAACCTACCCATCATAAGTTAAAGAAGATTTCATGATATTGCAGCTCGAGACACTTACGAGGCAAAGAAGGCGATGAAAAGAACCTTGGGGTTCTCACGTAGCGACTGCCACATCGATTTCTGGGCCCGATGTTCCGCGTAGCCCATTTGCTGGGAGACAGGTGCCTCCAGGTCAGAAGATGAACGACCACTCATATTGATGTCTGGTCAATTAACCCAAAGATGTAAGGGTGATTGTTGCGTGCAAATGAGTCGCCTCCGACACAAGGGACGAAAGGATTGACCAGAGGGGGAACAAGATTTTATAACCATTTTCCATTCTCCGAGCGATAATAGACTCTGGGAATTTTCCAGTTTTCTTCGGAATATACACTAGGAACAGGTAATAGTCTGGCCACATGAAGATCAGCTCACTCCAGGAATTCCCCAGAGAAATCTCTTGCTTTGGCCCAGTCGGGATGAGGGAAATGTGGGGATCCCGCATAATGTGGTGCTCTCGGATGAGACACGTAGGCTATGATTTCCTATTTCGGCACATCGGAGACCACCGACAATAAGCCCTATCCTTAAACGGATACCAGAGCCTATCCTCGATGGAAAAGCTTAGCTCATGGCTCCACGCATTCTTGCTCTAAGTGTCATCTTGTGACTTCGAAAATTTATTGACCCCACACCATCCATCACTAACTTGCGGGATTAGAGGCACAATGCCGTTTTTCTACGTCAGTTTCAACATCAGGTTAATGACTCGGTTCTTCCGTCCAATGAATCAGGTACTTTTTTATCTTAGAGCCATCTAGAATCTGGGGAAGTTGAGTCATGCATAAGCAGTACTCGTAGCGAAGCACCTCTTTTGAATGGAATGACGTGGTGCTCAGAAGAGGCAATAATCAGGCTAAAATAATGCACTAGATAGGTGAAATTATATGCATGTTCTTGACATTTTAAACCTTGGCCGAGGATACAGCAATTGATATTCTCATCATTGACTCCGACTGAGTCATTACTAAACGCTCATCCGGGCATCATATTACATTGAAGGACAGACTCATATAGCAGAGAGAATTTCACCTGACTCGTATCCCCATGCTCGCTCAAGGTCCCTCAGTCTCCATAAGGCACCCCAGCCAGTGCTAGTTTCGATCTTCTTGAATAGTCTGGCCACCTCGAGATGCTCGCTTCGATGGCTCAACAACTTTCCAGCGATATAAAGTGGCTGGATGGCGTTGATGAGGTTGCCACTGTGAGGGTTCGTCAACGAGATTCCACAAACCCTCCGAGCATGCCAAACGGGGGAAGAGTGTGGGCTTGGAGAAATGAGCGGGGTGTTTGCCGGTTTCATCTGCAGCATCATGATGCAGGCCGTGTGATAGAGCTGGTTGCCTGAGATTGCGGCCCAGTGCGCAAAGAGGATCTCAGGGAATATCTGATCGCCGCCAGACGTCGTAGTCCGAATCGGGAGCATGGCAGGACATCGATGGTCGTTCCAGAATTGCAGCTCCTCCCAGAGCTGTCGCCATTGTTCGGAAAACGGCCTCGTGTCACTCTGATCCAACTCGCCCAGTTCCAGGAACCGCGATCGCCGGCATGCCAGATTGCACGTCTTCGCACAGAGATACACTGCCCAGTTCGCATGCCTGTCAGGATTCGAACAGCCGTCCTGGCAAAACAGATCCTTGATCATGATGTCTCGCTCTTCTTCCGAGTCGGCAGCCTGCGGTGGGACCCATTTGTGAAGTGGAAGTATAGTGCCTTCTGTTCCCTCCGAGATGATTGCTCCACACAGTTCCATTCGCGCATAGCACCAAAAGACGGCCTGAAGATGACCACCGGAGAAACCATTGACGCTATACGCGTCGAAGAGAGCCGCGCAGCCCTCGACATGGCGTCGCCAGTCTCTAGGGCTGACGGACATCAACTCCAGACACCCCAGGATACAGACAGTTACTAGCACATTTGGATCTTTTGCTTGGAGATACGGGCTCAGCAGCCGAATCGACTGTTGATAGAGCTCCAGACTGTCATACGACTTGTCCAGGCAAGCCTTGCGCTCGGTCTGCCGGGCCGAAAAGGCCAAGATGGCATAGAACAAAGCAGGGGAACTTTGAGCAAGGACGGGAATATGCACGCCAAAATGACTTTGTTCATCGAACTTGTCCAGGTGAGGAGCGCACTCGATGATCCAATTTTTCAGGTAGTGGATCAGTCTGACCTTCGGGATCGAGACCTGCGCGAAATCCAGACTATTCCTCAACAGCCCCGACGCGGAGTCCTCGATCGGATCCAACGGTCTCGGTGATTGATGCCTCGTGGGAGCATGACTGGCCACCGCTGTGAAGAGTACATCGCGCAGCTCTTCCTGGAGCTGCAGGAATCGCGGGTTTGCTGCGTACTCATCTGAGCTGGAGATTGTCCCCGGCGAAAGGGTCGTTTCTTCGTCGAGATGTGAAGTTGCAGGTTCTGCAGGCCTTGCGCCTGGACCAACAAAGTTACTCATCCTGTCTTTTAGAATGTGGCTGATGAATATCCATTCGTTGCGTAGGTCGACTTCTCCTTAGCAATTGACTGTGCACTATTTGCATATATTACCCGCCCAATAGGTCTGGCTGCATGTAAATTTCATTTACATAGCAGAGAACCTTGCAGCTCCTAGGCATGTCCAATGCTGTCGTTTCCTTCTCTGAATTCTTTGATGAGAGTTTGACTCTGTTGAACCTGAAATGTCTATGAATACCAGTTCCAGGATATTTGACGCGTTACCAATATCCCACTTCCTCGTGGGAACAGGAGGGGAATGTCGGGGAAAATTAAGATAGGCGGAGACCAGAACATTCCCTTTTTGTGGCTCGGCTTGCTGTTTTTGGTATAGCGTTATTAACTAAGGCACAAGCCACGTTCTGACTAATACTCATAATACGCGCCTTTTTCGCGAAGCACGATTTCCGTATTCCCAATAAATCGCCATGACTTCTTGACCTTGCCCGTAAGATTCGCAGCCAATGCGTGGCCTACCACGTGGCTGAGGTTCTGTAACTCGTGCATACCGGACAGGGGACTTGGAGTTCTTTGAATTCATGAACGCTGTTAAAAGCACAATCAATTACCCGCCCCCTGCAATCGGCCCTTCTTAAATTCAACAAGACGACCCTGCCTGTGAGGATGATGGTAGAGAGGTACTCTAAAGATTCCACGTGTGTGCTTATAGCTTAATTTAACGTCGGGTAGGGGTCTCATATGCGGGAATATCGTTGAACTTGACTCGAATCGCCGAGGGATGAGGCAAGAAAGCGTTGTCTTATGCATGATAAAGATTATGAACCCTACTACGAGGCGTGCGACGAAATTGGGCCTCGGGATCCGAAATGTGATAGAAATTTATATCAACTGGGTGCAGGGACATTCAACTATAGTAGGCGTCCCAGAATGGAAAAGATCAAATCAATATCAGAGGGAAGCTCAGAACGTTCCAGTGACAAGTCTAACTTCTCCAGTATTTTGCCCATTTACTTTTGCCCTTGACCAGGTTGACAAACTCACGGGCAATGATGCGGTCAGTCTGCTCCGATGGATGAAGATCATCATACCACAGGTAGCTGTCTCGAACAGCATTAGATGCACAGGGGCTTCCACAGCGGTAGACAGAGCTTGTGACGTTGTACGGTGCAGTGCCATTCAAATAGTGCGAGGGATTTGCCCACATATCAGTCATCTGAGAATGAGTCAGCCGCGAAGGCGTCACAGCCTAGAGGTACAGGCAAATGTAGAGCTCACCAAGGCATGCACATTATAAACAGCAAATCTGCTATGCGGATATCGATTCGCGACGACGACATCATACGGTGTTTGATAGTCGTACACAGCATTGACCATGGTCACATACTGGCGCATCTTCTCGCTAGATTGAGTGATATTGGAGTCATAAGCCGCTTTGGCGGACCAATACTGCGCGTTAACCAAGCCGCCATTCTGCGGAAGAGCATACAACGGCGTCAAATCTAATGGCGCCATGTTCATAAGCACAAAGACTCGGGCGCCTGTCGCGTATAGCCGATCAAGCTGGGCGTAGACACAGTCGGTCAAATACGTCAGAGGCATTCCCGCTGGCTGTACTTCGGTGAGAAAGCCTCCGTAGCCGATGTCGTTGGTGCCTATCCAGATGGCGTAGACGGTTTCATCTGGCGGGTTGACTAGGGCAGGCTGTCCGGTTGTGTTGCTCACATAGCCATTATCCTCCAGAAAGGTAGGGATTTGGTTCTGCTTCACGCCGTTGCGAACCGCGTTTGCGATGACAGTATCGCAAACCGCACCTGACCAGGCATAGTCGTAGACATTTGCACCAGTGTATTGGCGTATGTAACTGGGCCATACACGACCTCCGGTGCTTCTCTTGGCTGACTGTTCGAGATTGTAAGCACCTCCGCTTCAATAAAGGTTTCGGGGCTACCTCAGTTGCAACTGGCGGCTTGTATGATCGGACACCGTTATCGGTGTAGCTGTCGCCGAAGACCACGAGAGAAGAGAACTTCTTCAATAATTCTCGGGAGCGCTGCTGGAGTGGCGCACTGACTGTGGAACTGGGTGCCAGTGCGAGCACAAGCAGGGTAAAAGCCAACTTCATTGTCGTTGTGCAATGAGTCAATTGAAAAATGAAGCCAGAAGCGCTTCGTGAACAGGGTAGAATGACCATATATATGCCCGCGTCCAGGATCATCCAGCCTGGTTGGAGGAATCTCGGAAGCCGTCTTTGTCCCAACCATACTGCAAGTCCAACGATGAGGGCTTCATGGTTGGTGGAGTATTAAAATCGTACATAATGGCTGAAGTTCATGTCCATTTGGCCGTTTATCATGCTTCTAGCCAAGTCACCCAGTTGCGGGGTCATTGTGTGTTTGTTGCATGTACCCCTCTTCGTCAATCTAGCCCCGCGCCGGTGATCCTATAGTGCTGGCTTTGGTTTACTAGCGAAGAGACATTAATACCATCTATAGTAACAAATGACATAGTCCCGGATATAGTGAATACTATCAATATACCTAGAGAGGCTAGACAACGTCTACAGAGCCAGGATTGCATTGCCCTGTGGTGGGGTAATCGAGCTGTCTTCAGCATGATTTCAGCCGAGCAAGCTTTTTTTCCGAATTGTTCTTGTCCAAGCTTTCAGTCTCTCTGTCAGTTGGTGGTACCTCGCGGAGTAGGAAGGGCATGCTGGAACTATTCCGGATAAGATCAAAGTCCGCAGCGACCATGACACGATCCGCTGCAATGACACTCCACAAGTAGCAGAGATTTTTTGGTCAATGCGTCCCTGAATATTCAGAACCCAAGTCCAGCCTATGCTCAATGACAGGGAGATTTGAGAACGTCCTAACTGAGATGGTGCTCGGCATTTCATCAAACACGTAGATCTACATATCCTCAGTGCTAAAGACTTGAAGGCTTCCTTCAAGTAAAATGTAGAGGTGCATATCCGCTGGAACTGTTGTATTGGAAGCTTCATGGTCTGCATATCAGAGGCAGAAAATCCGCTGCGTTGAGTATCTGCTAATCATTAAGGTAACGTCAAAATGTACAATGGAGCTTGGGTAACAGGTCATTGAGATGAAACGAAGTTGGGGCACGTAATACATGATGTGGTAGGGCAAAATGGACGGACTGAGAAGGAGACCCTTGCAGTGTTATGTCAGGAGAATGACGCATCATCCCTGATATAGTTTTAGAGATGACACCCTTTTTTTTTTTTTTTTTTTTTTTTTTTTTTTTTTTTGTTTTGCAACGTTCAAGGAGAATGCTCAGAAAGCTATGGTGCCAGCTCCTGAGGCTCACTGTATCGATTCTTTGCTACTGCTAGTGGTGCGTATGGATCTGAGTTCATCGGCATCATCGAGGGCATCGAATTTAAAAGCTGTTGTCGCTTTCTCCGCTCATAGACACCCCATATCAGCGAAATGAGAGATACAACCCCCAGCGAAACACCGACGCCTACACCAACGGGAAGCGTTTTCGAGTCACCACTTCCGTGATCGGATATGTTTGTATTGGCGTCGCTGGCACTGTTTGTTGGACAGCTGGAAGGGGAAGGGGAAGACGGAGAAGTGCCCGTGTTGGAAACGGCCTCTTTGGTCGTCGCCATAGTGGGTCCAGCAGTGCAGGAAGTATTCGCCAGGGCAGCTTTGTTGGGAATGATATTGCCAAGGGGAACCTGAAACGGGTTCTGATTGTTCGCGCAGCCTATGCTGTTGGATGAATTGGCGACAATGGAGTTCGGGCAATATAGGGCGTTGCCCTCGACATTACTGTAAAGAACGACAGAGCATCCAGTGTTTCGAGTAGTTGGTACTATACAGTTGGATGTTAGGTACATTATGATGCTGGTTGAACGTGACTCTGCCGGCTCTTGTACGCACCTCCAGAACACTTATCGTCACATGCCGACGAGAGAGGCCATTTAGGGTCGGTGCAGGCAGGGCGATAAAGTGTGTATGGGGGATAAGACACCCCGATACAGTAGCCATTTGTCAAACAAACAGAGTCAGGTTTACAACATGGTGACCCGCTGCCTCCAGAATAGCATGGAGTATACCCATCAGCAAAGCTTCCGTCCGGAAAATAACAGCTCTGGGCTCGACAGAGACCCACGAGGAAAAAGATGTACAAGAAACGTTGCCGAGGCATAGGAAAGAAACTGCCGTAGGTTCAAATATACATGGAGGAGAGAAAACCTTTTAGGCATAAGTAGAGTAGGACGGTACCGGAAGTTATTTAGAGAAGGCAAGGGCTCAGCCTAAGCGCCGATATCAAGGAAGCGCCAGGGCTCTCTGACAGCCAAGCAATAGCATTATTACTAGTTTGATCATGGTTCGATCACTGGGATGTTCTAACATCTCTGATTTAGCTGGCTGAAACCCATCGTTGTCTTTAGTCCTTGTAGATGGGCCCCTAGCCATGCACATGGACGGAGAGGACGGCATGCGTACACTAAGATGTATGTTGACTGCGCCGCAAAATCATAGATCGCAACTTCATAGACCATAGTTTTATAGCCCAAACAACGTAATAGATCAGGTGACTCACATGAAGGATTACAGGGGTCTTCACGCCATACAAGCCATCATGGATAAAGAGTACCAAGAGCTCGTGTTGGCCAATTCTTTGCTGGAATGAGATGGTCAAATACTAAGAATGTAACCTCCAATTTGAGAAGAGGTCTATGTGCGGAGAATTTACGGAGTAATGATTAGTTGCTGTTAGCGATATTGAGTGGCTTCTATCGATATCTTTGGCCAGATACGATGTACTTTGTCCCTTACAACAGTGGCGTGGTTCTTGAATTCTGATCTGGTTCAAGCCGTTTGCTGTTGCCCGCATCAATCGGGAGATCACAGAGTCGGGGCGCTTACGCCCCTTTTTTTAGCGGGAAATCAGTCATAAGCTAAGGGTGTAGCCGGTGAAGCTGGCAAATAGAGTCTAATTCGATCATTTGACTCATAGGTAACCTTACCATAAGCAGACTAGCTACTTGTTCGGGTGGTAGCTGGACCCTGTCAAGATAATGATGACCACGGAGAATTGCCTGGGTAAGGGTATTACTAGTATTTCTCACGTGCTTTATCACCACGAGGAGGATACCTCGTTTTGCAGTCCCTGTCGTCGAGTAATACCACTTTTATTCGCGCCCTCCCAGTGCCAAACTAGGCAGCAGCTTGAGGCGTTTGCAGCACTTCTTGTTTTGAAAATAAAGCGATCCCACCTTGGTACATGACACGCCGAGGATTGGACCCTCCACAAAACCCTGGCCGTCGTCCAAATGATTCAAATAACCCAGGATATTCGAGGCATTGAAACCCGTCCTAATGATTTTCGAATCGGATCCGATGTCCATATCTAACCCCTGGCTAGTTCTGCCCCGTAATTTGGCCGCATGTAATACGAGCTGGGCTCCTATTTAGCCTCGTCGACGCCGGGTCCAAATTTCCGGACTCTTTCTTGCGACCCAAGTCACCCAAATTCTCCTCAGACCTTCCCGTCTGCCGCCTCTTCATCATGGAAGTTTGTTGATTCTTCTTCATTGCCGCCCAGATCTTGTCCGATCCCTTGTACGTAATTAGATATCCAAGCTAGCAAAAAGAGTTTGTCCATAGTCTATAAGCTTACCGGTGACGTCCAGCGAATGAGCTTTTTTTCGTCCCTTTTGGCTCGGTCTCACCCGAGAGCTTAGCAGTCGTGGGTTCACTGGTCGATCCCTCCGCCGAAGGTCCCGAGGCGCTTTTTCTGCTCTCGAGATATCGGCCTGCATCGACAAAAGTTATTGTTTACTATTCTACATTTTGGACATAGTGACTCATCGTTCACTTCGCCTTTGCCCCGTCGTCCCGATCGAACGCTTTTATCGTGAAATCAATTCATCAGGATGGCCGTTGGACGGGCTCGGGAAAGGACATTTCTCCTCACGCTTTTCTTCGCTTTGTTCATGACAGTCTTTTCTTTAAAACATCAGTATAGTCTGGGGAATGTGAGTCTCCTGACCTTATACCGCAATATATCAGGGAATAAGTTGCGCTAAACTGAGCTGCTCAGATTGAGGACATCATCGCGCGAACGGAACAGCAACCAAGGTAAGCACTCTACAGGTCAATCCGAAAGGCTGATGCAGGTCTGATTATGATGATGTCGCCGGGTCCAGCGTATTTGCAAACTTCGTTTCTACTGTACAGCGGATCCGATCACCGAAAAATTACAAGAATCCAAAAGTCGTTGATGATCCTCGATTTAAAGGATCGACCGGCAAGGATACTCCGAAGATATATCGCCCTTACCCAGATTATGATAGCTTGGAATGGCAAGGCAAACACCGTGCGCCCTTTGGTGCTTGCGTCGGACCGAGAAACAAACTATTGAACGAGAGTTTGGATGACCAGGTCGGTGTTTATGTTGGCATCCCTCAAGGTATAGCCGTCTTCCCCGCCAGTCATCTTGATGTGGTTTAACTCCTTCGCTAGGATTCCCACACCCTATGTTTGGCTCCTACGATGCTGTTGGACTTGATGGACAGATTTCCTTCGACCGATACACGCGGTATGGTGCCTATGGGTTCGGAGAGGATGAAGAGTCTGTTCCACATTGGATAAAACCAGACAAGGTGAACTGGAAACAGGTCAAATGGGGCCAATTGCAGAAGCAATGTGTCGGACGAAACGCAAACAGATTTGTGAAAGAGACTGCTATCGATGCAGGCTCCGAGATCCCGTACCCGGATTTTCCGGCTGAGGAGCGCAGCGCCGTCCTCATTCGCACATATATCGGGAAAGAATATTCTGAAAACGACGTGCAAGTTATCCGCTCCATGGTCACGGAACTTGCTCTTCAGACTGGTGGTGAATATGAAGTTGTTCTGCTAATTCATGTGAAAGATGAGAGTCTGGACATCAAACAAGAAGAGGTGTATCGAAAGGTTCTCGAAGAGAATGTTCCCCAGGAGTTCTGGGATATGACAGTCCTGTGGAACACTCCTTTGGTGGCCGAACGTTACAAAGATCTTAATAGCTCTGTCATCGAGTACGTCATGGCCTTGCTCAGCCTCTAATTGGCTCATACTAACATTGTCTAGTGTTCACCATGCGCAGTGGCTTCCCGTTCAGTGGTTCATGCGGGAGCATCCTGAATTCAAGCATTTCTGGAATTGGGAAGTCGACACACGTTTTACAGGTCACCATTATGAGTATGTAGACAAGATTACAGCCTTTGCTCGCAGGCAGCCACGCCGCGGATTATGGGATCGCAATGCTAGGTTCTACATTCCCGAAGTCCACGKTGATTACGAGACTGAGTACCGAAACTACGTGAATCGAAGTGAACCCGATGGAGTATGGGGCCCGGCGGCAGTGGCTGGTCCAGGTCTCAAGATCCAAGTATATGGACCCTCGACACCGACGCTATTTCCGAGAGACGATAACTTCAAATGGGGAGTTGGCGAAGAGGCTGATTTTATTTGCTTCCTTCCCATATTCCATCCCATTGGGACGCAATGGATGAGTCAGAATGAAGTGTACGGCTACGAGCAGGGAGGAGAGTTCCCACGTCGGGCTTGTTTGATCACACATTCGAGGATTTCCCGTCGCTTGCTCACAGCCCTAGATGAAGAGAACCTTGCAGGTCGACACATGGGCTCGGAAATGTTCCCAGTATCAACAGCCCTCTACCATGGCCTGAAGGCCGTAAGCGCTCCCCATCCAATCTTTTCCGAGCGGCCCTTTCCTCCAGAGGATGTCGATTACATATTCAATCCGGGCGTCAATGGCAGAGCGGGAAGCACGAGTCTTAGCCCATTCTCCTGGGGCCGAGAAATTCCATTTCGTGATACGTCATGGTATGACCGCGCGAATCTTGCTGGCCGGCTCTACTGGAATTTCCTCGGATGGGAAAAAGGGGGGACAGGAGGAAAGGAGGTAAGCAAGTCCATCCTTAGCACCCAAATACCGTCACGAGACCCACCAGGCTAATCAGTATTTTGTTCTAGTATGAGCACCGTCACGGGCGCATCTGTCTTCCGTCCATCCTTTTCCACCCAGTCAAAGATGTTCGCCCAGACGCCGACAGTATGAATTATAAATTCGACTCTGAGTTGGGATTTGTCCCTATTGACTAGCTTCCAACTCATTTTCCAGCCCTTGATTTTCCTAAATCTACCCTTCCACTTCCATATTCTTTTGGCTGGACCTTGGTCATCTGTCGATTTGCGTATATAGGGCATTATTCCCGTATATAGAGTGTATGTGTATTTATTATGCCTTTTAATGATTCCTGGAATTTGAGTACCCACTGTTGTAGTAGTTTATTGCCAAAAAGCTTTGTCATGTTGCTGTTTCATCCAGTTGGTAACTGAATCGGGAGACAAACCAAGTCCCACAAGTATATTCAACTCTACGATTAAACCGCGACAACAACCGCCGCAGGTGTTTGTCCAGAGTCTGTTCTTTGAGTACTGTGGAGACTAGCAGCAAGACACTTATAATCATAGTTATGTATGGGCCTAAATCAAGATGGTATATGGATAAAAATACTTTTGATGCGTGTCCCACGACGGCTTGAAATGCGTCTTGTCAGTATGCGTTGACTCTGTATTGATATAAATTACGTCGTGTTTGTTGGAAAAGCCATTAAACTGCGTTGAAGTCACCGTGGTATAGGCTGCTGACCGTCAGTAGTCTTCAGACCATAGATGTTACGATGGAGGCTCACCACCCATATTGCTATACTTAAGCCAGTCTCCCACGCGGACTTCTGATTCCAATGTAGTTTCTCGTACAACACAATCGAAACTATCACATGTAGGACCCCAGATTGAGTACAGATGCAGTCCACGCGCTCGCTTTGAGTCCCCAAGCCGGCACGGCGAGCCACAGGGGATCAATGACGGGTGCACCACTTCTTTCTCAAGAAGAACATTCATAAAGCTCCCGAACACGCCATCATTCTGGTAAAGCATTTCTGGGCGTTCCTGAACGGCCGCGGCGATGTGGCATCGGCGGGATAGAACCTTACACGCAAGGGTATAGGCACTCCGGGCATAGTAGCGCCCTGGCTCTGCGATAATCCGTGTTCTAGACGGAAAGACTTCCATGAGGGCGCCCCGTATCGACTGTGCAATTTTTTCAAAGTTGCTATCCTGGTAGCCCCCACCAATATCTAGGAGGTCCATATCGTATCCCAGGCGCTTGCTGAAGTCAAAGACCATCCTGGCATCTCGAATGGCATTCACGTATGCCGAGGCATTCGAAGCCCCCGTACCTTTACGCCGTATCAATACTTGGAGTCAGTAAGGCTCAATGAAAACACCTACCGACGTGAAAGCTCACCCCGCACACTTCCAAGCCCAGTTCTCGCGCGCGTTGTAACAGAACGAATGACGACTCGACAGGGGCGCCGAATTTCTCGCCCAGCTTGATGAGAGCGTCGGGGTCACAGGCATAGATCCGCAGCACAAGCCGTGCATTGGGAAGAAACGCCCGAATAGTCTCCAATTCGTCCAGATTGTCAAAGGTAGTCAGGGTAATTCCCGTCCGGGCGGCAAAGAGGAGCGACGAGGCCGACTTGCACGGATTGGCAAATATGATGCGTGATGGATGGACTCCAAGATCGAGGACGGCTCTTAGTTCCTCGGTCGACGCGCAGTCAAATCCAGTGCCGAGTTCAGCGAGCAGACGGAGCAGCGTAGGGTCCGGGTTGCATTTCACCGCTACGGCGTCTATCGTCAGTATTGGCTCTAGTACCACAACATGTAGTAGATTTGATTTTTATGTACCGTACGCACCATAGAACGGATGGACATTGGGTAAATTCACTCTCCAGCGGCGGTGCTGACGTATAACCTGTCCTAGATCTGCGATGAAGAAGGGTTCGTCTGTGATGCCCCATTCGCGATTGCTCATGTTCGATAGGTGAGTCTGGATCATCAAATCAATTAGACAATCCATTGTGTCCGTCATTCTTTCCCTAGACCGATCTGAAGTGAGAAGACCGTGTATAGAAGCGGCAGACATTGTTTTTAAATTGTCATTGTCACATCGACTTGAGCGCCGCTATGGTGTCGTACATTGGCAACACAACTGAGTACTCGGCATCATTGACACGGGGCTGATGTTATGCGGTTCAATTGGAAACGGAAATTGTCTCTTATTCATACTGGGGATGGGGGATGCGGCCGGACACGTCAAAGTGTCAATGGCAAAGTCACATTCCGCGGTGGATCGATGTCGCATTTGGAAAGGACAGTCACGTATTTGCGCGCGGAACAGCCAAATATTATTTTCTAGACAAATAAGTCCATAATATGAGGAAGTGGCCATGACAGATCTCTCTTACGATCCACCAGCATAAACCCATAAAAGGCATTTAGATGATCCATCAAGCGCTCTGTGGATTACGAGCAGTTGACTTAAATACGATAGGGAGGAACTATTGTCCAAGGATCTGCATATTTATTGCCATGTCCCTTGATACTCATAGTGTGATTGGCTGGAACCTTGCATGAAGAATTCAATAATGTGGTTGTTAGCCGGAAAAGCAATATAAGAGGGGCGAGGATGGAGCAGGATCGCAAATACATATTATATTAACTTCAGCGAAAGTCTGGCTCGTTTAACATTCAACAATCAGACACCGATTCCTGTTCCAAATAATTCACTCCAGTCCAAGTCCAAAAGCTGATCAATGTCTTGCATAACTGGCAGATCAACCATACCAGAGCACCCTTGATCATCCTGTTGCTTTTTCATCAGTTCCCTGGCTCGAACCGCCGTGCTGAAAGCAACATTCGCCCCCATCCTGGACTTCACTGGCAAGAATTCATTTGGCATGTCTCGTGATTCGCACTTGTTGGTAAGTTGGCTGAGCTGATCGAGTAATGAGAATGCACGGGACATAAAGTCTCCTGGAGTTACTGACAACCCCTGTAACAATTCAAGCCCCTGGTTAATCGCGTTGCTAAGTGGAATCGGATCAAAAGACTCCCTGTATCGGAAACTCTTTAATAGTAAGAGGAAGCAGACCGCGTTCAAAACGATCTTATGAAGGCGAACGGGCGCAAACAGCCATTTGCTTCCCATTGAAGAAGCCTTTTGAACCAGGCAAATCGCCGTGCTATAACTACAAATCACCCAGGAGGACTGTGAGCTGGCTTGTTTGCCTTCATCCGTACTGAGGGCGATAATGTAAAGCATGAGCTGAGTGCCGAGGTATATAATGTGATCTGCCGACGACCAGGAAGCAGCAAATTGATTCTCTAGCACACGCAGGTCTGTCTCGAAATGACGAACGAGTACATAATAGTCATGTGTCGGACACCCGGTGGACCATTTGCAGCCCCCAAGTGTTGAGCTAATCCGCGAGGCGACTGAGGCCGTCTGCATTTGACAGAGTAGGGTTTCCGGAAGCCAGGGGGCCTTCGAGGCCAGTATCTCCAGGAGCCCGTCATCGAGCTGAACTGTGGCCGGAAGTCCCAGCTGAGCACTAACACTGAGGATAATGAGAATTGCCATCACTCGCTTTGGCATTGCGTCCTGTACTCACCTGATATTCGAAATAAAGCAGGCTACCCATGTCATTTGCCGTATATGTTCCATGTTTTCCACAGGGGATGGATCAGCCAGGAATTCTCTTCCATGACCTGGCATATGAAGGCCTAGGCGAAGTCCGAGGTGAGTAGCCTGTGCAATGAGGGCATGCGATGGATCTTCATTTCTGTCGAATGGAAGTGGCCAGTGACAGAGTAATAATAGTGCTTGCATTGTCTGAATGGTACCACTTGCGAGCAGCAAATGATTCGCCAACAGCGATCTCACCGCATCAACAAGCGACAAATAGAGGTCATGGTGCTCTGACATTCGTCTAAGTGCAGTCAACATCACCACTGAGAAAAGGAGATCAGACGAATGAGTATAGGGATGGAAGCCTGCTTGACCGGGAAGAATGGGGAGGAACATGTGGTAATTGGCGTAATATCTAGTATGCTGTTAGTCAGAGCCTTGTTAGTGACATGGCCATAGATAGTCCTACTCGTTCAAAAAGGCCTGGACCAATGGTTGTGGTATGCAGACACTCCCAATGGTTCTGTCCATCGAGTATAGATCAGTACTCTCGGTTTCCCCGTTTATACGAGGACATGAGCGAGCGCTCATGACATTGTTAACCCTATTCTGGTATCGCTGGTCTTGACTTTGCAACTGGTTCTTGACTTGCTGCAGCTCTTGTTCGATTTCGGCTAGCCTCCTGTTTCATATCAGATCTGTTATAACCATCACGGACCGTGGCTCCAATGGCTCACTGTCGCTTTTTTTGCCGCCGGAAAGACCGGTCGATTGAGCACACTTTGTTTGCCTTGGAGCATCTTGTACAAGGGGCAGGAAGTTGATCGTAACGATCGCACGCTCTCTGCTGAACTTAGACTGCTTTCTGTAGAGGAGGGGGTGTTGTTTCCGAATACCTTCATTTGGCGACAATATACGCACGCCACATGGTTTACCTTTCTCCCTCTCATTCTGGTTGTGTAGAGTCGAGACTGTAGCTACTGTCAGGAACAATAATGAAATCCTCAAGGTCTATGAAGTGGAAGTGCTTTGGAATGTCCAGCATCCAATGAGCGCCTCTTCTCGTGCCGAGTTGCCGATGATGGCTGAATGATGGTGACTAATAATGATGGGACGGATGGAGGCAGCAAATCAACTGCCTGAAAGAAACTAGGTACTAGAAATGGTCTATTCCCACCACATTTCAGTCACTACGTAACATAGCTCATACAAAAGCTCCTGTGCAATTCCTACCATCCTTCAATAACCTCAAACCTGGCACGCAATCCATCTGCAGGTGCAGCGCCGATTCCCCGCTTAGTTAATTCTTCTTCTCTGTTGGGGTCCTCGAGTTCCATCCGGAATCGACCCACAAGCACAGCCAGCAAACACGCCAATTCAGCCCTCGCAAATGTGGCCCCGATGCAGCTGCGTGGACCTTGAAGAAAGGTGAGGAATCCCACAGCATCGCTAACTCCTCCTGAATTCGCACATCCCTCTTGCATCCAGCGCTCAGGCTTGAACTCTTCAGCATCGGGGCCCCAGAGTTCCACATCCACGTTAGTGACCGCTGGGGAGATGATAAAGACGGTGCCCTTGGGAATATGATAGCCAGCCACAGTTGTGTCACGTAGTGCTTCTCGGATGGTGGACGGCACAGGAGGATAGAGGCGTAGGGTTTCATTACAAACTGCTCGCAGATACAGTAGGCTATCCAGATGAGTAGCCGAGGGACCAGATCCGCCGTCAGCGATGGATGGAAAATGCGAACGAACCTCTTTTCGAAGGCGATCCTGTATCTCCTGATGTTTGCAGAGCGCGTATATGGCCCACTGAAGGGCGTGGGACGTGGTCCCATGTCCAGCGGCCAAAAAAGTCATCATTTGATCCACCAGCTCGCTATCAGTGAACATTTTGCTATCCAAGGCAACAGTTGCTATATCCATGTCTCCCTGGCCCGATGAGCCTGATGTCCTTTCCCTCTTCTTGGCTTCAAGTGCTCCGTGGCAAACCGTTCGGATAGCCTGCGATGCAGCCTTTATCTGTGTCATTCGTTTGGTCGGCAGCAGGGATACAACTTGGTCGGCATAGTCGGTCAGGAACATGAGGCAGGTAGTCAGCGCAGTCTCCAATGGAGATGGATCCTGTCGCAACTGCCGATACTGCCGCATAAGTGAACGTTTTGGGTTTTGTAGGGAGTCAAAGTCGTGTCCCAGCCCGGCCAAGCCGATGATATCGAGCGTCGCCCGTGTTGCCCATCCTTTCACCTCAACGAGGCCTCTGTTATTGGCATTGATATCAAGGATCTCGCTCTCGAGGCGCCTGGCCATCTCAACTGATTTGGACCAAAAAACCGGATAGAGATCCTTTACGTGTCGGAAAGAAAACGCCGGCATGAGACTTTTTCGTTGCATCTATACCTGTTAATCCTTGTGATTGAAAACCTGCCAGTGCGCTGACCTTGTGGACCTCTCCTTCAGCCAGAAGCAACCCATTCCCTGTAATGCGGGACAGACGCTGTTTGACCGCTGCGGGCTTCACGAAATCAGAGGATTTGAACACGAGAATATCCTTCAGAGCTTCCACACTTGTGACGAGTACTCTCTCCTGATTCCCTGGGAGATAATATCTGATGAGGCCGCGGTTCGCGACCGTTTCCTTCCAATGCCGCAAACGAGCGATATGTGACGATGAATCAGACTTGGTGTAATTTCCCCTGGTCAGTGACCGGTGCCGTGGAGTAGGCAGTTTGTGCAGGGGAGTAAGAAACTCTGGATACAGGAATGCCCGATATAAAATGCGAAGAATGAGCACTGTGATGAGGAGGAGGGCAAAATCAATGTAGGTGAGGTTCTTCAGCAGGGAGTCCATGGTGGTCGAGCAACAACCAGTAAATTATATGAGCAGTATGCAGTCGATTATCCAACAAGTAAGATTGTCCTGTTGAATCGAATTCGATCCCTTTGATATATCCAGTGAGAAAGCGAGGTCGCTTTTGCGGAAAGCCGAGGTCGGTATAAAAAGCGACATCGGTTTCTTTCACGCCACTGCGCCGGCTTGACTTGGGAGGGTCTTCTGACTGAAACATAGATGGGAAAATATTATACATCTTTTTATGTTCAAATCATGATCACCTGGATGGACTTCGTATAGACTTACCGTCGCTAGCATCGCTCTCACGCTTGAATTGGTGGTTGCCTTGGTCGCCGGGGATAACTCAGAAGCAGACTCCATGGCACTGGCTTAACACCCAAAAGAGAATTTACGATGGTGAGTAGGTAGCATAGTTCAACAATAGTCTTTTTTAGTAGCATCATACCTACATTGTTTCCATGGTCATTCCTTTCAGCCCCGACCGAGTCTCGGTATGCTCCTCGACGGGTCCTTGATGATAAAGGCATTTGCAACAAGAGCCAGCCCGGTCACATAAGTATATATGATCCGAACATTTCGCAGACCGGAAGGATACGCGTTGGCAACTACTCTCGCTTTCTCCGGGCTGGAAATGCTTTGATAGTTCTAGCCCTTGGATAATACGGGTATGACAATTACCAACCATGAAGACAGACTCATCTGGACTGATCCAGACTCGATATGAAAGGAACATCACATATCCCTTGAGAGCTATCTATGTCATATTCTGGTTCTCTGAGCTTCTCGAGGGATAGGTCTAGGTATGATTGACAGAATCTGTTAGTACACCTTTCACTTAATGTGTAATAGAAGCAATACTTTTCGCTGATAGGATGAATCGCCTCAAGCTGATACTCAAATAACCAGCCTCTCTGTCGAAGTCTTATCCGACGACACCCGGACGACAATCTCCGTTCGAACAGTCACTCCGTTGGAGGCATCCTGCACGTCACTGCTACGATGTCTCTGGTGTGCTCTACTGCTGGCCCTTTTCCACTGATCATCCCCATGCTGGACCGCCTCCTCCCCGGCAGAGACGGACATGACCACCGCTCCCTTCCTTTGCGCATGCGGTTGCGAATCTAGTTCCAGGCCGGGGTGGCTACTCTTGGACCGACTGTTGGACCAGTAACTGCCACTTTGTCCTTTGTCTGAGGACACCATCGACACGAAGAGACGGATCATCGGCGCGAACGTTGCGAGGAGGATGCTGTAATTCTCTATCCTTTGGGACGTCAGACCATGTTGGCCTGGAAGAATACGGAAGTACACTTACTTGACCCATAGAATAAAGGGGACAGTGTTATCTGTGAGCTGTTAGCGTTGCCTCAAATAATATGCTGGTGATAACTCACGGGTAATATCATTCCGCTCACCCAGGGTCTTAAGTAACTGTACTCCATTCAGTCAGCTATAGCAAAAGTTTTAGATGACTTGTTGCGTACATATGTCTTCACAATAGAGGCGATCCCTGATAGCAGCAACGGCCCGCTGAGGCTAACAGTCTGCCACAGACGACGAAAGAGCGCTTGTCGTGACATTCGCCGAATGCGACTGAATAGTGGCTTGTGCTGCGATGGAGCCGAGTCCGTTGCCCGTATCGTATAACGCCACAATTGCACCGCTGAGAGTGCCGTCAAAAAGAAATCGATGGTCGTGTTGAAGCCTGGCGATCTATCAGTACAGTGTGCAGGAGTACTGGGAGAATGTAGCTGGAGGACATACCACCCTGAACGAATCCTATCGTCGTTTGAACTTCTGGTGATTGACAGACCACGGAGCCATCGGCTGGTAGATTATCCCACATATAGTGGAAATAGCTGACTCGATTGGACTATAGAGTTGCACCGGTCAGCTATCTTCAGGAACCGATCTCCAGAGGGAGGGAGGCCGCATACCGCATGGTAGGGATTGGGGCCGCATTGCACAATAATCTGAATCGCAGTAACCGTGTTCACCACGACCTGTATTGCCATGCATACGAGGATGGATACGCGGATATGCTTATCGACGCTGCTAAAGCACGTGTAGAGGAAACACATCATGCCGGAGCGACTTAGCATGGAGGCAGTGACAGCTGGAAGACGGTCCATGAGTGTCTACATCAATCGACAAGGAAAGACACTCACCCAGCGGTTGGGAAATGAACTCGTTCTTCAACGCGCAGTTTCTTTCCGCATCCGACAGGAACCACATGTGCCTCCCGAGACCATTTTCAAAGCTTCTCAATGTGTCAGAAAGAATCTGAGTGACAGTTTCAGGCTCGGAACACCGACCTGCGCTGAATAAAGACCATGTGCGCGATATCAAACGCATATGCAGTGCCGTACAGAATATCCTCCAAACCCCATACTCTTTCGGGGGAACTAACACGAGGCAGCATCCATCGAATCCATGTCTTGGTGATATACCGAAAGGCCAACGCTAGCCCTGCGATTCCCGTCAAAGCCTGCAGCACGATTCTGTCAATTTTCTCCACCGTTGCGCAGGGAACGAGAGTAGCAACTAACCCATGCTACATAGATGTACGGACCAGCTGTTTGAAGAATTGGCTTAAGTGTCAGTGGCGCGTTACAACTCCCTCTGTGCTTTTGCAACCAAGAGCCAAAGGGTAGAGACTCACCATAGTTGGTATCGTTCCCTAATGCAGTGGACATTTTATGACCAAGGCCGAGTAGTACTGAGCAGAGCTATTCGCAAGGCAACTGAGGGAACTCATGTTTTCAGAAAATGGATAAATATTTCCGTAGGATGTTGAATCCCAGCGAACTCGGACTAGGAGATTTGACAGAGCAAATTTGAACAGTCAAGAATGCTAACGGAAATCAAGCATATGGTGAACCCCTGTCCTTGGCTTCAGCCATTATCGCACAACAGGCTTTGACACATCTGTTGAAACTCCAGGTCAACACTCGTACTCGTCACCAAGTTACTCCTGACTACCATTGGTTATTACCCCTGATTCGCGCCAATTCATATGCACAGCTATCAAGGCAAAGCGATAGGTAAATTACATCGGATATACAGCAGGGATGATTGAAGCAGCAACAACCAAAATCGGACAATAGAGACGGAACATGGAGCAGGAAATCGTTCCGATGATTGCCCCGTCGAAGCTATTCGGGCTCATGCGATAAAACCGACTGATACGCAGAGGTAGCCAATGAATGACAGGACCGTAAATATCAAGGGAGCAAGCCTCGAGTCGGATACTTGGAAGCCTCCTTGGCAGTAAGTACTCGTGTGCTCAATAGGCACACAGCATCCTCATTGGTACATGGCATCCGCTCGTGTGCATGGTCAACGAATCTGTGCTGGTAGTGGAATTAAACTACAGGGATGATGTGCCACTAAGTGTCACGGGCTTTTTAGTGGTCTTTACAGTGATTCGGAATACTCCGTCCGCGGAGAAGACAAGCAGACTATCACGTAAACAACTAGCCCAGTATGTATGAAACTCGAAAATTGAATTGACGGATACAGGACATCTCTTATCCTGAGCCAGTTTTCGGATCACGGCCGTATATATCATGAAATGTATTCACTTTCCAGTCGCTATTCGGCCTATGGATATGGAGCACAAAAGGACAGTATCAGGCCACAAGCAAATCCCGGTAGTGGACCGGGTCTAGTTGCATACGAATTTTAGAAGCCGTCGAATCATGTTGGCACCATTAGATTGAATTAATTTCAGATCATATCCCCGGTCCTTCCCTGCTATTTACGAAAATGTCCTCCAGTTAGAGTATTTCCCGGTGAGGGCTATATCTCAGAACCGCACTCTGGCAATCATTGGACAAAAGATTGGACTCAGGAAGGTGTCCATCAAAATAGCCTATAAAGACAAGGATCATAGAGACAGTAGTTCAATTAATATTCTATTTGCCGCGATTGGCAAGTAATATTCAATCTAAACAGATCTCTCCACCATCCTCATTTCAATCAAGCCTTCTCCAAACGGCGGATAAGTTTCGAATGTCACTCGAAGCCCAGCCAAGTCAGCCATTTGATGCCATTCGGTCGAGCTTCTCTCTCGACCTCCACACAAGGCGATCATAGCGGCGTGCATCTTCGCATAATTGACATTCTTCGCAAATTCATGAATCAGTAATCGCGAGTGAGGAGCCATAGCCTCCGATATCTTCTTCAACAGACGCACGGCTTCCAGGTCTGACAGATTGTGAAGAATATGAGCCAAATGGTAAATCAGCGCCCCCTTGATCGGTTGCGGACTTTCGTCCTTGTAGTTCCACGTAGCCAGGGTAACCCCAGGGATATCGGTAATATCGTGATTGAACTCTTGGACGATCAGGTCCGAAGTCTGAAGCTGGGGAAATGCTGCCTTGAAATCGAGCAGCATCTCCCCGCGGCCTCCGCCAATGTCCACCATAGTCAGCGGAGTGGAGGCTTGCGCGTCGTTAAGAACCGATTCTAGATCGTACCCCAGGGCTCGGACACGGTCTGGGGCGGTATTTGTCTTCATAAACTTGCCCACCATGAAATGATTAAAACTGTCCATGCGGCCTTCTGCAGCCATAATAGAATAGGTATGCTCCTTTGCGAGCTCTTCTTGGCCCATTGTTTTGTATGCGAACTGGAACGGCGTCTCCCGCTCTTTAAATGGATACTGAAAGTTTTCTGCCTCCAGTTTTCGCATCAAAAATGCACCGCCAAGAAGGGCTTCCGTGGTACTGCGAACAGTTAGCCACAGTACATCCAGTGAATAGAAACTTGAAGCAGGATCAAGGATAAGATCTTACAAGTGCACAACTCCATGTTGGGCGGAAGGAGTGGCAGCCAGATGCTTGGTTATGGCATTGGCACGGTACAGATTCTCTCCGGTAAAGTCAACAAAGCCCAAGCCGGACATGGCATACAGTGTGTCCTCTAAGACGCAAAGTAAACGTCCATTCGACGAGTCTAGTCTACCTGAAGGGGGTCTCACGAATTAAAAGTGAACCTAGTGCAGGTGTAACAAGTCAGAGAGATGCCGTTGATCTGGAGGAGACAAGGTGCATACATGGTACATCCTGTCTTGTTTTCCCGTTGGACCGATCTTGGAGGGCCGTCAAGACATCTTGTCCGCTCACAGGCTTGTCAAGATCTGCCAAGATATCGAACAGCTGAAAGCGAACCGCAACAGGAACGAAACCGAGGGCCGCAGCCTAGAAGTCATGAATGAGTATCACATACCGTCTCTCGGGGATCTTCAACCGACCGAGGTCACTGTACTTGCGAGTGCAGCAGCAGCAGCAGGCGAAGACATGATGCTTGTTGGAGGAGAAACTAGCGGGGTGTTGCTGCAGATGCTCCTGCGTGGAATTATCTTTATCACGATCCCGCAGCGTGTGTGGAATTATCCCATGGCTTTTGTTCTTTCCGGATTCAAAGTATCATTGCACTAAATACACATAAAAATTGCCAGTTGCGCACTAACTTTGGCCAGTTTCAACATAATTAAACCTACAAGGTTGAGTCTACCTGATCCCTGCTATCACTTTCACGCCATGCGGTACTAGTGTTCACTATAGATTTAGTGAGCTGTGCCGCAAATTGCCTGCCCCTCATTATCGTGACTATTCACTGCGATTACGGCTCTGGTGATAATCACTTCTGCGGCCGGTTCTAGATCCCATAAAACGACAAGAGGGCCGAGGGCTATTCCTTGCCAAGACAATTAATATCTTTGAGTCGTCTAGGTGGTGGCTTGCACGAGGCTTTGTATTCTCGTCGTGCACGTAATTGGGCAATTCGAACAGCACATTCCTCCGGCCGCGTAGCGTCTCCTGTCCTTAATTGCCTCCCGGTAATTTTCCGCTTTCTAGTGATATTGAGTGCCTTGTCAGACTTATATCCTATCCTTGTCCTGATTCTGCAGTATAGTTGTGTCTTGAACATTTAATCTTACAGAACGTCTTGTCTGCCGGGTTGGCCATCATGAGTGAGTCCAGATTCGAAGACTCGGTCATTGCAGGTGAAAAGCCCAATATGAGTACGGATGTTACTCAATCAAAAGTAGAAAGTCATGTCACCGAGATTGATGACGAAGATTGTCGATATCCTCGAAAATGGAGTCCAAGAAAAAAACTTCTTGTATTTATCGCACTATTGTCAAGCTCTATTTTGGCTGATGGGTATGTTGCTGTCTGGCAGTACGATCCACATCTCTATCAGATGCTGATCGATCCAAAATCAGAGGAATGACTTGGGGCGCAACATTGATCGTGCCTCAAGCGTTGGAGTGGGGGGTCAGCGTTGATCATTCCGCGACCAGTATGAACTACGGCATCCTGTTACAGGGTGTTGGTGGTCTGATGGCCATACCATTGATAGAGGCATATGGACGGTATGTCTTCATCCGGTTCATCAGCACCAGTAACGACGTGGACTAACACCACGAACAGTCTCCCGGTGTGGTTGTGGCCGCAGTTCATCACCACGTTCATGGTCCTTGGTGCGACGTTATCCAATAACTATAGCATCTTCACTGCCTTTCGCTCTCTCCAGGGTTTCTTTGGTACAATCCCACAAGTTGTCGGTTTGCCGATCATTCATGATATGTATKAGCCAAAGGGTATACAGATTTCGTACTCATCCAACCTAATATGACATGGCGGTAGCTAACAATTCATCCCAGACTGGCCTCAGATGATCAACATCTGGTATGGTCGGACATCGAGACGTGTAAATCGGAATCTACTAACTGACTTCCAGGGGTACTACCTTCTTGATCGGGCCCTTTCTAGGCCCTGCCCTGGCCGGATATATCGGTGCCGGCAGCAATTGGAAGGTCTCGTTTGGTATTCTGACAGCCTTCTATGCGCTGTCGACGATCCTGATCTTTCTCTTCGGACGCGAGACTTACTATGCTAGGGGACAGCAATGTCAGCGTAATTCGCGCCTGCAATCGATGATCGGAATTAAGAATCACAACCTACCGGTCGGGCGCACTCTAGCCTACTGGACCAAGATCCTTGTCATATACATCTTTAAGCTCCCGCTTCTACTGACGGGAATTGCAACAATGGTCAACTTTTGCTGGCCGATCGGTGGGTTCTTACTTTCGCAACATAAGGTATATCTGACAGGCGATGCTAGGTATAACTGTGACCGTTTCCACGTTTGTTGCGCAGCCTCCCTACCTTTTCGACACAGTCCAGTCGGCATCACTGCGGTGGGCTCCAATCATCGGAGGCTTACTTGGTGAGCAGCCTCCCCCGAATCTGTGATCGGTGTTCTGACACTGATAGGATATGCCTTTGGCTATTGGTTTAATGGCTGGATCGAAAAATCACGTCAGCAGAAGTGGCGCCCCGAGTACAGACTTCATGGTGTCTGGATTGCCGTTGGTGTCATGGCTTGTGGACTGCTGACATACGGCATGATCCTGAACTACCATAAGCATTGGATCGGCCTCGCCTTTGGCTGGCTAATGGTTGTGTTTGGCATGATCTCCAGTACAGTGTGAGTCTGCCATTACCAGCATTTACTCAATCAGCTAATTACTGTATGCAACAGCTCGATCACGGCATACAATCTCGAGAAATATCCCGACCAGTCAACAGTAGTCTCAGCCATCATCAATGCCTGGCGTACAGCCAGTGGCTTCTCTGTCGGGTACTTTCAGCCTTCCTGGATCGCCAAAGACGGGACTGCGGCGGTTTTCGGAACACAGGTGGCGGTAGTCGTTGCGGTTCTGATTCTCACAATCACCCCTGTCATAGTCATCGAAGGACGAAAAGCTAGCCCCACGATGGGTGAGGCATGATTGATGACGGAGATTCTTTGTTCCTTCTTGAGATTGGCTGGTTGTTGACTCATTCGAAGTCTGAATAATACAACACTTTCCTTGCTGCTAGTTGGAGTAGTATAGAGCCCCGTCGTCGTGGACTGTCGACTTCTCAGAACAGATTCCATGTGGCAAATGCATCATTGGGTGTATTGTACCACAAGGCAGCCTGTTCTAAACTATCACCCATGAAAGCATCATGGAATAGGCTCTCATGGGTATCTTCAATAGACCAGGAAAAGTCGTTCCATTGCCATCCATTTGGGACGGCGCTTGCGCCGTCCATGGCAGTACCCAGCTGATAGCCAACCGGACCCTGTAGCAAAGCAGCGGATACATCATCTTGCCTCTGAGCTTGAGAAGAAGGAGCCAATGGGGACGATGCTTTCGCGTTGGACGCAGTCATCTGGGTGGACTTCACATTCCGACGGATATGCAGCCTCCCAAGTAGAGGAACTTGCAGGGTCAGTGTCTGCTCAGATGCAGTGTCTTCTTCCTGTCGCAGAAGCTGATTAAGGGCACACAACGTATTAAAGGCTTGTTCCGCAAACTCAAAGCCCGTGGGGTCCTTGGATCTCTCTCCGATCATCTTGATTGCTTCGGCAATCACGCCGTGAATCTGACTGGTGTCAACATGAAAACTACGCCGGTCCGTCGGAAAGGTGTTGAGGGACAAGAGCAAGAGAACCGCTGTAGCTGCGAAAGCTTGCAAGTCTATTACTTGTCCGACGAACATGCCTGGGGGCAGTTTTCGTCTGATGAAAATATAGCGCCTTGCCACAGCAGCGCAAGCGTCCATGCAGGGCAGCCGACTATACAAATATTCCTCTCGCGAATCTTGACGCAAGGCCATGGGAAGGTATACTCGCATCAAGATTGTATAGTGAAAGAATTGCACTATTTGGGCGGCGTTGACCGGCGATGCCTCGTTAACAAGCCACCAGGTGCTGGGCGTCTGAGCAGCAAGGTTGCCCAGATCCCGAGCCATCTCCAGAGCAGTCATATGGAGTTCGAGCGCGGGTCCCTGACTGGCACTTGTTTCATCCATCTCATGTAATCGAACAGCGATATCCAGCAGCTTCGTGACATACACATGAGGCTGAACAACGCCGTCGACGATAAGCTGTAGGCTGGGTGAGGGTTGGTAACGCCGAGTATCAGGTGGTAGATTCAAAATCATTCCGGACAGTCTTTCAACGTTGCATAGCAATTGCCAAAGTTGAGCCATGTGGTAGGAATGCTGGTCATCGGTCTCGCTGAGCTTGTCGAGCCGAACTGACTGATATTTTCGAGGCAAGCCCATCAGCTCTGCAATGGCGATGAGCCGCCGTATTGTCAACCACGACTTCTGGAAGTTTCCTAGACCGATATGGCTACGGAATCAGCATTTGTTCATGTCGCTTGAATGAATCATAGGTGGGAATCTCACAGTCGGGCAAAATGTACGGCCATCCCAAGTCCTTCTACTGTTGCGAGCAATCGATCATGACACAAGAGTGTACTCTCCATGGTGTTTGTAATCCTTCGACAAAGGTCAGACCGCTTCTGACATTTTCTGAGCTGATCTTCACGATTTTCCGTATCTTGCGGAATGGTTTGGGCCGTGATCGCCAGCGCTAGGAGCCACGATGCCAAAGTAACGATGTTCACATCAGGACTACACATCTCCTCGTACCTGACGACGAGATCTTGCTGTGAGACAACTGTGCAGGGTTGCGGTAGGAGGGTATGTAACATGGTCAGCCAATCATATGAGGACCCTGCAATCTCAGTCACCTCATCCTTTGGCGGGATTAAACTCTGCAGTCGAGGCCTCATGAGACGCGAGAAGTGCGTGGAGACTTTTCCTTGCGCTTTGTTTTCGTTTTGCGTGGTGTCAAAACTGAGCCAGTCATTCTGGAAGAGTGAGCGCAGATGGGATGGACGATCTGTCATGGGGAAATCCGACCCGCTACTGTCGACATCGGACTCTTCCGCATCAGGAGCTTGAACAGTGTTAGAGTTTATTACCTGGGACGGTTTGCTTCCAAGTTTGACTTGGAGACTGTTGACAATTTTTGTGAGCTGAGTGACTTGAAATTCCAGCTGTGTAATCCTTTTCCGAGACGAGAACCGTGCTCGAGAGGACCCCAGTCTGGTCGAAGACTGCGCAACACAGGCTGAACCTCGCTCTTCACATTGCCGACACGACTTAGCATCTTCGGAAATTCGGACGCATCGAACCTTACGGCGTCTGCCTGCTTGTTGATTAAAACAGATGAAATCTGGATGATGTGGTCTTATGCCCGCTTACACTCTGTGCAGCTTTTTGTTCCTTTCCGCACAGCGGTGATATCGCTTTGAGGACTCGACATTGCCAAAATAACTGACTTCTATTGCTGTTTGTGATAAATCGTCGGACGAGACAAGTTTCCTCCGTGCGGTTATCTCCGAGATGAGATCTCCGAGATGATGGAGTGGAAGATAGGAAGATGGGGGCTTGAAGAGGCAAGAGTGTTGTTCGGTCGCGGACGAAATTTTGGGCCGCGGACGAAAGTGCGAGCCGACAGCGCCACCTCCGTCACCTGATTGGCTTCTCTTTCTGTCATCCCAAGCTTTCACCACGCAGTGAGTCCAACCAGGTGGGTGCAGTAGGGGTCTATACGAGCTAGCTGGGAGCTAAAATGAGGATGATGATAATCATTTCGCGCTGTCGGGGCCCAACTCGCCGAATCACCGATGCAGATCCTTCATCGGCATTTAGGGCCAAGTATATATTCACAGCGTGATGGGGACACTGTTTGGACATAAAATCTCAACATCAATCTCATCAAAAGCAAGGCACCATATCGACGAGACAGCGGTCACCATGCTGCTTGACAAACGAGGAGGACCGTATGCGTCCCCCAACGCTGGACTTGGGGGTTTACCCAGTGTCATTCCCGACGTACCCACCTGTGCCGTCTTTCTCGCCCTCTACATCGGGTTTGCAGCTACAAACATGACCATCCTCCAGATAAATCGACGCAGAAGCCACAAGTTCCTTATATCAGGAATGTTATTTGGCTTTTGTATGGCACGGATTACCACCCTGGTCTTGCGCATCGCCTGGGCCAATCGACAGCATAACGTCCGACTCGCTATTGCCGCCAATATCTTTGTCAATGCCGGTGTGCTCCTCATATACATCATCAACTTGATTCTTGCACAGCGTATCCTCCGAGCGAAGCAGCCTCGAATCGGCTGGAATCCCGTTTTGCGGGTTGCATACAAGATCCTTTACGCGCTCATCGCTGGAGCCTTGATCATGGTCATCACGTCTATTGTGGTCAGCGTTTATACCCTCGACAAGCATACGCAGTCGCAATGCCGCGATGTCCAACTGGCAGCCATAACCCTTCTTCTCGTCATTACCTGTCTTCCTATCCTGCATATCCTCGTTGCGTTTTTGTTTCCGCGATCCGAGCAGGAGGAATCATTCGGGAAAGGAAGTATGACCAGCAAGGTCATCATAGTGGTCCTATCGTCTGCGCTGTGCATTCTCATCGCGGGTTTCAAGGCTGGCGCAAACTGGAGTACACCTCGACCGGTCACCCACCCAGCCTGGTTCGATGCCAAGGCCCCCTTTTACGTGTTCAACTTTGTCCTCGAGATCCTTATCCTTACTCTTTTGACCTTCATTCGGATCGACAAGCGATTCCATATTCCAAATGGATCTACAAAACCCGGTGACTACACTCGTCTGGCACTGCAATCGGATAAAGGAGCAGAAATGGATGGGGCTTTTGCTTCTGTCGCGAGGAAGGAAAGCGCATAACTGCCATGAAGCGGATGTCAGAAATGAGTCAATAGAGTGAACTGTATTTAAATTGTAATATTAGAACTTTAACAACATCTCCATATTAATACTGAGTATAATCAAGAATGTAATTCGAATACAATTCACCACATTTAGACTGTCTTTCGACAAGGTCATAGAACAAGTTTAATGAATGAGCGTCTCTGTTTGAACTACATAGCGCTAAGCAATAAGGACCGTCCGGTTCAATGTCTCCATATACGGAAAATTGCCAGCCTGTGCGACGCAGTCAGCACCATCCTCTCCATCTCAGATAAGACGAGGCAACTTACCCCAACCAGGGAAACATGGGCGATGTTGAGTTGCGCCTTCCCTTTTCCGATGGCCTCGGGAATGTTCACGCTGAAGTTTTGATAAGGTGGCTGGCTGGATTCATGATACTCTGGCTTGAAGGGACCGGTATATAAAATAGTGCCCATGACCTCTGCCGCGGTCCAACACTTGGAATCCGCGCAAGAAGATAGACCGATCGCAACGGCTATTTCCTGAGACCCTGTGAGGGAATTCTTAAAAGCATCTGCTCAGCTGCTATCCTTATGTTGTAGACTGTCAGAAACATACCGGTCTTTGAATCTGTACCACAGTTGAACTTCCTGGAGTCAAGTTCTCTCCTTCGGATGGCAGACCGATGGCGACATTTTGGGCGGACACAGTCGCCGCAAGGAATGCAAGGAAGTAAGGGACCTTCATGACGGAAAATATGAATTTCACAGATTCTGGCGTGCTGAAGTCAAAAGTGACAATGAATTTGTTGTTTCCTGCTAGATCAGTTTGAAGCGACCGGGTTGTTGATGGTTCTTATAGTCCGCAGCACATCATGTCGTCGATTTTGCGTATACATCCAAGCATCGAATATGCAAAAATAAAAAGGAGATCATTCGATGAGTCTCAGTATGTCTCACAATTTGAGGCCTCCTGCAAAGCTACCTTGCACAGCAGGTGTCCCAACTKGGCAATCTATTTTGAAGATCAGACAACATGATATCACCCACCTTCGACAACAAGGGTCACGTGGTCCATCAGGTCTTGATCGCCGAGTTGTCTCGCTGTCTTTCTTGACCAGCGGGCTATAATATAGGGGGCCTAATGTCAGCGGGAAGACGGACGTTATATAAATAGCCTCTGTTCAGAGGTGCTCTGAGACATGGACTGGCAGATGACAGAGGAAGCGTATCACAAATTCACAATCTGATTGGATCGAATGCCGAAGAAAGTCCGCCTACTGAAATCATCGCGCGTTCGAATCCCGGTAGCTCACATTCTTTTGTCTTTTCTCCTGGCCTCGTAGCTGATCAACCCGCTCTTATTATAGACAGACACTTTCAGTAAATTGAGCTTCTTTTCTTTGCAAGACTGAAGCCTTTTGGTGTGTTGACCATGACTGATGCTAACGTATATCTACAGATATATACCTGTCGAGTGTGGCCTCTACCGAGAAGAGCAGTTGCAACTACTTGACATATTGGAAAACCACCATGGAGTCCACTGAATCTGACTTTAAGTCATGAATATCAGGATGAGCACTGAGATGGAAGACCGTTTAGTATGCTGGGCAAACTTTGCTCCATGCGTTGATATGACCTCCTGACAGATCTTGCGCTCCAAGCACCTGACACGCATCTGTGAAAATGGGCACCCGTCTTTCATTTATATATCCCTCTCCTTTGCTCGCACACTCTGGCCTTTGTTTGGTTGCTTCTATAAATTATTTCAGGATAACTAGGCTCGGTTAGTAAGTATGTTAGCTATAGGACGGCTCCAAGGCGCCGCTGTACAGGTGTGAATTCTACTCGTGCTTTTCCTACTATATTTCAATATTGAAATGTTCTTTTAAGCATTTGACAAGCTTTAGCAGAAAGAATCCGTGTTGAGGTGGCCACGACAAATGCAATGTCTCCTAAGTGCTCTCACCTTATCCTAGAACGAAGGACATGGCCCTTGTTAGGACATCATAACTGCAAGTCATGAAACTTGATAAGATGAGGCGCCAAGTCGCACGCATGATTGATCGAGTTGCTTTCATTTCTTATCCAGTGCATTATATCACAGCCATGCGAAAAATGAGTAGCCACAAGTTCATCAGTCTCACATATTAGACTCAATAAACCGTGCCTGCACTGAACTCGCCGAAAACGGTTGAATGAGGAGGTAGGACAAAATCCTCCCTATGAGTAGAAKGTGGAATGAGACACAGTCGATAAACATCTTTATCAGAGCTCCCTTAGAATTAGCTTGGTCTCGGGCGAGTGCTTCGCCGATCATCTCTTGGACGGTTAATAGCGCTAGCCAGCCTTGAATCCTGGAAATATTTCCCCTAGATGCTCGCCCATTGCAGTCAATAGGGCCAAGCGTCCGTAGAACACAAGAATCTAGTAGTCGTACTTATCTGCCCGCAATGTAAATAGGTTTCCTGACTGTCAAAGTAGCCGCATTACCTGGACTTGAATCCAGCGTAGGATGTTTGCATAGAATATCCCTTAGGACGACGTCAGTCTCTGTATTTCTTTATACTAGCTAAGCACCTACACATCTAGGCTAAGCTGCATGAGGAGGTGGCCCTTTTAAATAGTTATCTACTAATATATAAGCAACTATATAATCTAACCTATCTCAAGTATTTTCTAAACAGATGTACATCTGCTTTGATTTAAAGGACTTTAAATAATGCTAACTGACTAGCCCTTCATATACGCCCTATCATCCCTAGAAACACCTACTTTGCCTACACAGACACTATCCTCCCTGTAGGAGGCGGACTAGACGGCTAACTACCTATTTTCATCCCTAAGGGCTCAGTATCACATACAGTGTCTGGTTAATGCACTACTACGGGGTCTTTTATAGCCCTAATGTGAACGCATTCCATCCAGAGCAGTGGGCGGATCTGCAGCCTGGATAGGAGTATCTCCCTTTAACAGGGGCCCGCGCATCTGCATAGGCCAGCAGTATGCACTTATGGAAGCAGGGTATATAACAGTACAGCTGGCGCAGCAGTTTGCAGTGCTGGAGAGTCAGGATCTGGGGCTGTAGTAGGAGAACTTGACTGAACTTAACCCTGACCTTATGTTTGAGGAATGGGACTAGGCTGAGTTTGAGGAACTAGGTACATCTACTTTTACGACGCCTCTCTTGTATGTATATCATGAATTCAGTGGTTATTCTATAGTACCTTCATGCCGGATTCACCGACGAGGTCATAGCTAGCTATTGAACATTATTCCCGTCAATATCTTTCTCAGGCCCCGTTGCGCGGTCTAGCCATGCCGCCGAGCCTGGTCGATGATGCGGTTCCACCCAAACTTATCCTCGAGCTTACCAGCCTGAATGCCACTGCAACAGCTTCACACATGAGGTCAGATGTATTTATTCCCGTCAGAGCCTGAAAACACGCAAAGAGCGTTTCTGTTGCCATTCTTTCCTTATCCCACTATCTTTTCCAAACAAGCCTTGAAAGTTTTTCGGTTGTATTGGACCTGGCGGCGAGAAGTCCCTGGGCGATATGGCTGCTGGACCAATGTGTTACTGCTGTACGTAACTGTCCTGTTGAAGAATACTGTGGTACGGAGGTGAAGCATGTGATCGTGGCTGCTTTATTTAAACCTAACATTCTCCCCGATCCTCTCCTCAAATTCCTCACCTGCAGTCCACAGTGGGCCAAACAGTTCAAACATCATGGTTCTTCCGAGATTCTCTCGTACGTTATATAGGTTTTCACACATAGGTCTTTTGAAGCTTCAGGAGCAACTCCAAGAAACCCTTCCCTTGTTAGATTTCCCGTCACCTACACTGTGTTACATGATCAGGACTATGCTTGATCCCAAGAGCTTACGCGCCTACACAGACATTGTACCCCAGCCAAAGAGTTGAGCAGCTCGTTCCCACCTGCGGGTTCCACTTATTGAAGTTGGCCGCGCTGATGCCGTACTGCTTCTCGATGGTGACGCAATCATCGCCATTAGCCACCTTGTGCCATTTGTTACATGCGCAAATGGCGCCAGGCTGGGTCGGCGTCGGCGCATTCGCGCAGCCGGCTGCGGTGGTTGTCGTGGGGGGCTTAGTCGGTGTTCCAGGGACCCCTAAGCGGATTTTAGTTCGGTGTCTCCCAGGGTAATGCAAGAGAAGGAGAAGTAAGTGCGCTCTTACCAACACAATAGTAATACCCCAGCCAGAAGCCACTGCAGTCGGCTCCCACGGCATGGTTCCAGGACAGGAACTGGTCCAGTGTGAAGGTGCCGTATTGCTTCACGAGTCCTGCACAGTCGTCACCATTCACAGCCTTGTGGTACTGGGTGCAGGTGGAGATGATGCCTGTCTGTGTTGGCGACGGCCCAGTGGGAGTTGTTGTTGGGGTGGTGGTCGGATTAGTTGTTGGAGTACCAGGCACACCGACGCAGTAGTAATATCCTAGCCAGAAGCCACTGCAGTCGGCTCCCACGGCATGGTTCCAGGACAGGAACTGGTCCAGCGTGAAGGTGCCGTATTGCTTCACGAGTCCCGCGCAGTCCTCACCATCCACAGCCTTGTGGTACTGAGTGCAGGTGGAGATGATGCCTGTCTGCGTCGGCGACGGCCCAGTGGGAGTTGTTGTTGGGGTGGTGGTCGGCTTAGTTGTTGGAGTACCGGGGACACCCACGCAGTAGTATGTTTTTGCCTGGAGGCCACTGCAGTCCGCGCCGACAGCAGGATTCCATGAGAGGAATTCAGCCGACGTGAAGGTGCCGTACTTGGCGACAATCTTGTCACACGTGTCACCTGCTACAGCCATGTAGAAGTTGTTGCATGTGGAGATGAGGCCCGATTGCGTGGGCGAGGGGACACCTGTCGGAACCGCCGTGGTTGAAGGCTTGGTGGTTGGCGTGCCGGGAATGCCGACGCAGTAGTATGTCTTTGCCCAGAGGCCACTGCAGTCCGCGCCGACAGCAGGATTCCATGAGAGGAATTCAGCTGACGTGAAGGTACCGTACTTGGCGACAATCTTGTCGCACGTGTCACCTGCTACGGCCATGTAGAAGGTCGTGCAGGTGTCAATCAGACCGTCCTGCGTCGGAGAGGGCTTCGGCGTGGCCGTGCTAGTTGGGGTGGTGGTGGTCGGACGAGGCGTGCCATGATTGACCTCGACGCAGTAGGAGTTACCTACCTTGATGCCACTGCAGTCGTCCTTGACTGAGGGATTCTGCAACGCACGTTAGTTGGTTGCACTGGTTTGGGGTTTGATTCGGAAAGTCAGAATGGAGGAGAGAGAGACGCACGTAGGACACAAAGTCCTGGTGGGACAATCCCCAGTTGAACTCGAACCACTGGCACGTATAGGTCTTGTCGAGAGCAGTGTCATACCAGGTACAATCTGTCGCCGTGCCAGGGTCGACAGGGCCATCCTGTCGTCGACTGAGATGGGGGTTCGCCAGCGCGGCACCTAAGAGGAGGGAATATGGCAAAAGAGTTTGCAGAGCCATCTTAACAGATCTCTTGGGATGGAGTTGAATCTAACAAGAGGGATGGGATCGACCTCCTCTTTTGAGCTATAAATTATGTTCTCCCCTTATGAAAACTTTCACTGCGGGCCGGGGACAATGAACCGGACCATCCCACATAATGAAGGCGACTAAACGATCTGTCAGCACTAAGCCTGTGGGAGCAAATGAAGCGATGACTGCAGTGGTCTAATTATCATGCCTCACAAGCCTCTGTACCAAGTTTTGGCAAAATACGCTACTTAGATGAGGTCGCATTGACATCCCCGGATGATTACTTCGGTTGACCCCCGTGGCCAGGTGATTTTGTTGGTATAGTGGGCCATCGCAGGGGCATGAATATTTTTAGACTAATATTTCCTACGGCTGCCTTCTGTATCTGGTAAAGCTACCATCTTGTAAGGTGAAGTTCTAATTTATTATTATTCAGATAAGCAGAAGCCCACTTTGCTTGCAGCAACCCTGGAGGAGCACTGGCCAGTACCACTAAAGAGCTGAGGTCTAACTAGCTTTAACACTGGATAATTCTAGGAAAGCGGCGCTCCAGGCCCTGATTTGACTGCTTTAAAAAAAAAATTTAAATCCCTGTAATGACCCACCATGCTACGCCAACTGGAGTAAATAGCGTTGTTAGGGCATATCTGATATTATTTGATCCTCCATCTCTTCTCTCCCTTTCATCCCTCTGCTTATTCCACTTCGTCGTTTAGGCCCCCCAAATGTCGGAGGAAACGCTGGAAAATGACGCCGAATTCGGCCGTCTACCATTCGACAACTTCATTTCAGTTGGTTTTCCCAAACTAATGCGGCATTTATCCGGTTCTGTTCTAGTTTGACCTCGGCAGTACAGGAACGTTGGGATACCGATGCCGCGGGAGAGAGTCAGGAACAGTGGGAGCGACTCGTTTGGGAATGGCAGAAGCTGACGCTATTGGAACGCTGGGTATCTCCTTCATTTCCCCACTACAGTAAGATAGCGGGAGGTCTGACCCCTTGCCAGCCATATCAGCACCGTGACGAGCTCTCTCTACCTGAAATCAGCGAGGAAATCAGGCGCGTGCTAGCCACACACCAGACAGTGCACGAGCGTAATATCAGCCTGGTCCGCAGCGAAGGTCTGCAGACCGTCTGGCTGCGGACATGCTACGATTCGGACCTCACAAGCAAATACGAAGAGCTTAAACAGAGATCTGTGGTGCCTGGATGGCGGGGCTGGGGGAATAAGATCCTGGACGACCCCACCCGCTATGATTTTGACGACGGCAGTGAAGACTCTTGGCGTCAGGTGTTAGTCCGCGTTCCAGGTATCACGGATTTTCATGGCCTTATTGACATGGATGGTGATGGGAGTAATATGCAGTACAAGAGTGGGCAGAATGATGAGGAAATAGTGGCGCAGGCTGAGGAGAGTGAGGAAGCTTGGCGGGATCTTGCTCTAGCGGAGTTGAAAATACAGGCTGGTCTTTACCTGTTGGACCGAGAGGCCATCGAGTCTGGATTGATTAAAATTCTGTGGCTCGATGAGCATGGGAACATTGCCTGGCATAACCGGCTGGACCCTTCTACCTCCGACTTTGAGGGGTTTATGATGGCACTCCTCAGTGCGACAAGTTTGGTGGAATTGGCCGGCTATGACGGCACCCGCGGGAGTCTGATTGAGAGGTAGACGGGTTAGTTCGCTTTAGGAAAAAGAGAAATCCAACTCTCAGCATCCTTTACTCTAATTGGGACCTCCGTTGGGGCTTGGGAACAATGTACTCCCCATAATCTCTTGGCATGCAGGCATTATGCGCCGCCAAGATCGCACCATGTAACCCCCAGCGGCTGAGGAGCCTAATCGAAATCGCCTAAAAGGTCGGACCTAGATCCACCCGGGGCTGCCGGCTTACTCTCCGAAATCTGAATCATGCAGTATCTGCCAAGGCTTCACATTGTATACACTAACGACGCAGGTAATCATGCATTCCTTCACTAGTGCTATTCACACCGAAATTTCACGCCAGGATGCTACCTTCAAATATTTTCTCAGCCTCGCTTACCACCCCATAATTACACTAGGCAGACAGCTCGAGGCAAATGTCGTCGAGGGCGGGGCAGGCTGGTCGAGAAAAGGTGTGCAATACGGCTCCATGCTGCTGCTGCAGTCATCCGGCAGCAGGGCCCACTCAAATCCGTTCTCAATATCCTGGTCTTTGACCGGGCAGTTTGTGATCCGGGACGCTCCCAGACTTGAATAGGTCGTGTTCGCTGTCGCGGTCACGGTACCAACGCTGCCCAAGGCATATGGATCGGTGCGGGTCACATTGGGGGCCTGAGTGGCAGAAGGCAGCGGAACCCAATCACCCGTGGGCACTGTCCATGTTTCGTTAAAAGTCACCGTAATAGGTATATCCCAGTCTCTGGAGCCCGGAGGTGAGACGCAGATGGTATGGCCCACCAGCGCAGCGAGATTATCACATTTAGTGTGAATGATTGGATTCCAGGCCAGGAGCTCGGTGATGGTGAAGTCCTTGCCGGCAAGGATATCCTTGCAGGTCTCATTCGCCGCAACCTGGGGAAACTTGTCAGCTATGCAGAAACGGGGTGGATGCACAGAAGATTAGGGGTGTCTGACCGTGTGGAGCGTGCAGCTATCACCCACGCATAATTTGGTGCCCACTGTGAGGCTCTCACACTTCAGGTCGATGCCGTTGTCGCTCAGAAGGCGATAGTATGCAACATTGTTCGTCTTTGCAATGGATTCGCAGGTGTCACCTTGGGCCACGGTGTATTCGGTGCCCAAACACGGTGCTGATGAATTAGACGTGCTGGTTAACCTCGTCAGTATCTCATCTAACATGCAAGCTTCACGTAGAATTTCCGTACCTGCTGGGCGCAGGCGGGAATGTGACGGTCCCATGGGGATATGCCGTCGGAGCCACGCTGCAGGATGAAGCGAGCGCGGAGAATGAGCCCTCACTCACTCTCCGGTGCCCATAGGTGGAATTAAGCATGCCAGCTAAATACTGAAGTGTGCAATCGTCACAGGCTTTAGCGGTATGATTTGTGATTGATGGCAGACATAGCGAATGGGTTTTGCTATGTAAATATTCATTAAAACTAGGACATTGCACACATTGCATTGAACTTACGAATCCTCAAGGCATGCGACGTTTTGCGCCCACAGCAAGGGGACTGCGATGTCATTGCCAGACTGCTTCGTCGAGTTGCCGAAGGGGTACACGGTATTACCGCAGCGAGTGTTGACAAGCGTGGCGAAGCTCTGGGGGAGGTATCAGCGACCTGAGCTCTTGAGCATGCCTTGGCGTGGCAGTGGAAAAGGATATACCTGAAGCGAATTTCTGCATGTGGTCTCGCAAAACTGTTCAAGAAACGTTTCATTCTGGGGGATCTCATTCACTATCTCAGCGGCGGTGATCAACTTCCCTGGGCATGTTATGTTGGTCGTCAGAGCTGCACGACAGCCGGCTGGAATGGCCGTTCCCAGGGCAGCTGGGCTGTCCCATATTTTCAGTGCGCTCGCCTGCAATGGAAGGACAGCGAGTAGGACACCGAAAGCCCAATGCCTTCCTACTGATGAGAATGCCATTGTTCTTTTTAAGGGGAATATCACGCCAGGTCAAAGACACTCGCTGGAGGGTATGTCAGTCTTCAACATTTCAAAATATTCACCGTAAAGGAGTGCAATACATACTTCTTCTGTTATGCTTAGACTCAGGAAAGGGCGGCAAACAGTGGTGCCGGGTGCACAGCCTGATTGCATGAAATACGAGCTTTTCTACTTAATCTAACAGGCATACGGCGTCCGATTGGTAGGCCAGTTAAAATATGCTGTGGAAACTGCAGCCATCAACATTTTTTTAGCCCCAATATGCAGGGGGATAGGCACTAATCACTAGCTCATAGTTGCTCGTTAGGCCCCCCACAACTAGCTAGTTTTGCAGTACGGAACCCTGGACCATCACGCCGGCTTGTATCAAGATGGTTAGGCTGAGATTGATGGACGCGCATGGTTTCTCGAGGTACCCTTTGCATAAAATATAGATTAGAGCACCTGATGCACCGGAGAGATGTCACACCTAAGTCATTCATTTTTTTATTTTCTTTCACACTCTTCTCAGACCCGGCCAATTTCACTCTCTTATTGTCCAGGGTCTCCGAAGCAATGGAGCTGAGGATTTTCCTGGTGTTTCTAGTCTGCTGCATTGTACAGTGGAGATTCTCAACAGCTCAACAGGGTGCAACATGCAGTGTTTTAGAGCCGTGTAAGAGTGGATGTTGCAGCCAGCACGGTCAGTTTGGACCTTTCATCAGCAGTCATGGAGAACTAACGTGGATTTGAACACCAGGATCATGTGGCTTTGGTGATGATTTCTGCGGCGCGGGGTAAATGATCCTCTCTAAGTCCCCAGTTGTACGTTCAATAATTGAATGGACTAACTGTCTGCTAGGTGCCAAGGTTCCTGTAATGCCACCGCAGAATGTGGCAAGTATGCCCCAAAGGACAGCTTTGACTGTCCGTTGCATGTCTGCTGCAGGTACGGAACCCGGCTGTGGGCGGGGAAGATCAGAAAATTATCAATGGCATTCATATTGACTACTGAACAGCAAATGGGGGTTTTGCGGCACAACAGACCAGTTCTGCAACAATGAATGTCAAAATGAGAACGGCTGTTTGCCGGTCGTGTAGGTTACTCCCATCCCCCGAAGCCTAACATTTATCTGACGTCGGTCCAGACGCCCCCAATGCTCCGAGAGCGACGACGCAATGGCACTTGGTGTGCGTATTGGGTACTACGGCCTGTGGGGAGCTACCAGAGGTTGTGATGATTACCTGCCCGAGAACATTCCTGCCGGAGCCTTGACGCATATCAATCTTGCTTTTGAATACGTTAGCGAGGATCATGAGATCACAGACACCCAGGGTCAGGGTCCGATTGTGGCTCGAGTGTCGCGGCTGAAGAAGAAATATCCCGGTTTGCGGGTGAATATTGCCCTTGGTCAGTACTAAGCTTGTTGGCTACCTCGTGGCCCGTCCTCTGATCCGCTGAAGCGACACTGCTAATGCCGTGGTTAGGTGGTTGGGTGTTCAACGACCCCCCAACTCAGCACCGGTTCTCTGACATGGCGTCCACCGTGCCAAATCGAGAGAAGTTCATTGCGTCTTTGATCCGGTATATTCGGCGCTATGGACTCAACGGTGTCGATATCGGTTCGTACACAATCTTCTCCACAGGAGTATTCCGGACCCATTAAAACTAACAAATGGCAATAGATTGGGAGTACCCCGTTGCAGATGACCGCGGTGGCTCGACGCTCGACTACGACAATTTTGTCCTGCTTTGTGCGGATATCCGCGAAGCCTTCGACAGAGAGGATCCGGGGTGGCAGCTGACCATTACTCTTCCAGCTAGCTACTGGTACTTGAAGGGGTTCAATTTGAACAGTCTTGAAAAATACGTCGACTGGTTCAACATAATGACCTACGACATCCATGGGATCTGGGACCAGAAGAATATCTGGACCGGCCCATTCCTGAAGGGGCACACCAATTTGACAGAAATCGAGGATGGTCTAGACCTCCTGTGGAGGAATGGAGTAAGTCCTGACAAGGTCGTCATGGGATTTGGCTTCTATGGTCGTTCCTTTACCATTTCCGATCTGTCGTGCACTACTCCGCCGACATGTACTTTTGATAGTGCTGGCTTTGCGGGGGAATGCACCAAGGAAGCTGGCATTCTGTCATATTCGGGTACGTGTGCTCTAGTCTGGTGGCCCTCCTTCTCCATGACTTACCTAACTCCATGGAACAGAGGTGGTGAGCAAGGAAGCCCAGCTAGGGTCAAAAACATTCTATGACCAGCCCTCTTCCGTGAAATGGATGGTGTACGGGTCCAACCAGGTTCGTTTGCACATTTTAAGAGGAATAGTGCAATGTCACGCTGACAAGGTCTAGTGGATATCCTTTGACGACGAGGAAAGCTTCACGGCCAAAAAGAAGTACCTCACTTCGCGCTGTCTGAAGGGTCTCATGATCTGGTCAATCGATCTAGATACTCAAGATCACCAAGCGATGACCGGTCTATTTGGGGAAAAGGCAATGGAGGGCGCTCTCAGGGACACCGGGCTTGATCCAGAGGAGGCCGAGCAATTGGCCTTCGATCTTTCAGCATGGACCGGGGAACGCTGCTATACCACACCTACCTGCACAGATGGGACACGCGATCAGCGGGGATCAGATCAGGTGTGCCAGAGTGGCTACACACCGGTCGACATGGCCCATTCCCCGATCCAGAAGAATAGCAACTTCTCCATGAACGGCGAGTGCGCGGAGAATTGGTGGCGATACATCTGCTGTCCGACAAAAGCCATGCCGCAGAATTGCGAGTGGGTGGGAGCCCCTGAGCGCTCGGCCTTTGGCTGTGATCGCGGTTGCGGAGCATCACAATTTGAGCTCAACTATGACACATACCTTGATGCAAAGGGCCACGGAAACTGTTACTCAGGAGCACGAAGTGTAAGCATTGTTTTCAATATACGTTGCATTCAATACCGATAACGCTGACAATAGCCACCATAGCTCTGCTGTGACAGCACTGAGATCCTGAACAAGTGTCACTGGACCAGCTGCGACCTTAATCCAGGGGGAAGCCTATGTGGCAGCGACGAGGATTCGATTGGCATCCGTTATGATGATGATAAGGGAGGTAGGTTAATATCGGACGACATAATTGTGTATTTGTGCATTGACATGATCATCCAGGGCTGTGTAGTATTGCGCAGCTGGGCGTACACCCTGATCGTCGGCAATATCGGGAGTTCTGTTGTCCAAAGAAGGGTGAGTCATGTTTCAAGGGTCTCTAGTCTGCCGTACTTGGTGGACGAACTGAGAAATTCTGACCTGGAAAACCCCAGATGAGTTTGCGAATTGTGAATGGGCCATAAAGGACTGCAACCCAGGGCAGTGCGCAACTAACAAGTTAGAAGTCACCACGGCACAGTCGCCGTCCTGGATCTATGACAATTCAATGTGGACATCAAGCCAGTGCTATGGGTTCCAAATCCCCGACATGATGAGTGCGGACTTTAAGCTTTGCTGCGATCCCCCCTCCCGCTATAACGAAAAATGGCCAGTTGAACCAAAATATCTCTGGAGTCACTATTACGACGACGCCGGTGACGATGTCACTTGGGAGTTCAGCGATAACTTCGGCAACAACAATAACGACACAACACCGGATGATATGGAAGAAGATCCGGGCACCGATCCCTACGGTTTTGTCATGCTGGATGGCCCCCCTGGCTCGATCAACAATGCTTTTGGCACGCAGTACACTGTTGTGACCCGCGACGAACCAGTGAATGTCAAAAAGAGGAGCATTGTCACTACAAACCAGACGCTAATGGACGCGGTCTTTGACCATTCGGAAGAGACCGTTCTCGTCTACTGTAACTACCCTGCTGACTCCAAAGAGTGTTATCAGGTCTTCTACAAAGGGGCAGAGGACACCATTATCAGGCTTCCCGACCACGTTGGGGAGGGTCCCTGGGCTCGAGTTGTGTCCATGGAACCTGTCAAACGGCTGTCGAAGAGGGATTTGCCAGAGTGGGCCATGCAGAAAAGAGACGCCAGCGGGAACCAGAATGGTAGGTTTCGTCTTAACTCCAAACGGCCCTGTTCGCAGCACCTAACCCAGTCCAGGAATCTATTCGCTAACGTTCGACTACAACTTCCACCTGATTAAACGAGACGATGCACAAGTCAACATCCGCGTGGACTACACGAACCTTCTGCCGTACTGGGATGAAATGACGAACTCTCCTGCGTCCAAGCGGAAGCGTTCAACAGACGAAGCTCTGACCTTCTCGGAATGGAAGGCGCGCGTAGGTCAAGCCAAAGTGCTGGACACCAAACGCTCCTTGCAGAACCATACGGGGAGACTGAGTGTGCGGTCCAGTGACAGCAGGGTTCATCGTCGGTGGTGGGGCGCATTTGTGGACTGGGTCAAGAAACTGACCACCGTCACAAAGACTGATGGCGGCATGCTGCCTATGGGACTCGTGCGGTCTCTGGTCCTCTATAGCGGACGTCTGCAGTGCTCCAACGACGCAGGCGTAACTTTCAAGTCCGGGATGGATATCACTGCCGACTTCAATATGGAGATGAACGCTCGATACTCCTACTACTTTTCGGGAACTATCGTGCCACCAGCGGTCACGGATATGTTTGCTTATGTGGGAGTTCACCCGCGGGTATACGCAGGAGTGGGGATATCAGGCAATGCTGAACTTTACTACCCTAGCGAACGGAAGAAGATCATCGATACTTTGACCTACCCCGGCCTGGCAATCAAAGGAATCGCAGCCGTGGGACCCACCATGGATCTTTGGGGCCAGATCAGCGGCAGAGTAACGGTCTCTGGAGACCTGAAAGTCGGAATGACATACAAGTTCAAGCCTGTCGAGTTGTACTTCCCTAATGACAACGAGGTCAGCAACAACTTGGATGTTAAGGACTTGGAAGAAGCGCAAGTTAACAACCAAGGCCTGGAACCCTCAATTTCTGGAAATGTCCGCGCTGATGTCGACATAAATGTTGACGTCACGCCTGAGATCAACATGGGCATTAAGATCGGCGGAGGAATAGGGTCTCTTCAAGGCACGCTGGCCGACGCGCATGTGTCTGCATTTGCAAACACGACGCTCAACTTCCATGCGGAAGCATCGGCTGCGACCGACAATGGCGCCAACAGTTGGTCGTACGGATATTCAGTGACATTCCTCTACAGGTTTGGTTTCGGCTGCGTGGCCGAGATCTACAAGTATGGCAAATGGACAAGCGGTATCTGGTATCCGTTCCCTCAGGGTGTGATTCCAATCATTTCCAAGACGTTCTCTTCGCTACCATCCACGAAACGATCTCTCGATCCTGGGACGTTGCTCTCTGCGGAGCCTCTACCTGGCGCTATCTTCGGCGTCAGCCCAGTGAGACACTGGACCGACAGCGACGTCCTCAGCTTGCACGCCGACCCATATCCTATTTACGGGAACGCATCCCTCGAGAAGCGCCAGGACTCACCTATTACAGAAAAAGAGCCGCAATTCACCCTTGGATCATTCAAGTGCACCACTTCTACTGGAAGCGTCTGTTCGGCTTTCGTTCCGAGCGAAAGCGTGCAACGACGCGACCTCATACCTATGCCCGAGGACACTTATGACCTGCAGAAAAGAGCAACGCCAACGGACTGCAAGAATCGCCTACCCCGTCTCTACTACAATTGCGTGACATTCTTCTCTGACGTCGCGTTCCAGGGACCTGCGGGGACAGCGCAACTTAGCGGCATCTGCTCCAATGTTGAACTGTTTCTGAACAATAACCAGCGCGGTAATATCGGCATCACACTGACATGGGAGCCTAGTAACCAAAGAAACCGAAGAAGCCGAGCTTGCCCGTCTGGCACCTGCGCGGGTGACAATAATAACTATAAGCAAGCGGCCCTGGGGACCACAACAGGACCAGCATTAACTAACTGCGATGAGTTCCCCTTTGCCTCCTCCGAGGAGGGTGGATCCACATTTCTCGGCCTGTATCCCACCGCGCAAACAGGCACTGTGAGGACCTGCGTTCCAACGTGGCAGAACGATGTCCAGGGACGGTGCCACAGTAAGCCGACCGCTTCGTTGAGTTGATTTGGAGGTGCTAACCGACGACCAGATTTATTGAACAATCTGGAAACCAATGTCGAATATTTCAACACGTATGGCAGCCCGACGCTGGATAATCCGTACTGGGCATTCTGGGGGCCCAATCAGCTCACCTGGGTGAGAAAAACGGGGCTCGCCGGGAGACAACGTCTGTCATCGTATGGACAGACGTCCGTTCCAAAAACATTTGTCCCTGGCTACTCCCAAGCGGATCGGGACGATCCAGACAACCTTAGTTACTACCACAAGCGGAACTTCACCCTGTTCCTCTCCTATCCACGCGCTGGGCAGAACCCCGATAGCCAGTGGCCCGATCAGGACTTCAGCAGTGGGCGGATCACCGGGGACTCCAGCACCGGTCTTCCCGTTACAACAACCGTCGGCTCTTCCACGTGGGTGATTTGCGCCGTCAATACCATGGGCCAGCAACGCTATAGATTTGGCAACCGACCCAACGGGCTCTGTACCGATGGCCAAAGTACAAAGAACACATGGTCGGGGCTCTACAGGATTTTGGTTGTCTATGAGTAAGTTTCAGTCTCAAGATGTCTCTCGCGATTATTCTTGGATGGGATACTAAACGGGGTGAGTAGCTGCAAGATCAGCTTTACCGGGTCCCCTGGCCCAACGAAGAGAGATAATACTCCGCTTGGATATCTCTCTGGTGACCCATACTATTGTAAGTGGCGCCCCGCCCAGTAGTACTACTTGGGAACTTACTGACACGGAGAATAGCCATTGAGCGAATCGAGGGAACGGAGCGCAAAGTCATCCTACCCAAGGATTGGGACGGTCAGGAACTGCGGGAGTCATGGGTGGTCAAAGACGGAGACTTTACAGAGAAGGGATCTAGGTAGTGGCAATAGCACTATTCCTGGTACCTTGGTCGAGTATGGAATTTGTGGAAGGAGTATACAAAAGAATTCAGCCGTTTGCAGACGCACATGCAATTTCTTATGTCATTTATATTCTGCACTCTATGGAAGAAATTATGTAGGTCCATTTTCAAAAATGAAAAGTCGATCTATGAGCTGCGATGTCGTTTATCAAGCCCAAGACAAGTTGACGGAAACTGCTTTACCTTTTGGGATTCGGAACTCACTAGTTATTTTACATACAAATAGCAACGGAGGTCTGATTGTTCTTATCTAGTAGCCTACGAGATACCCGATATATCATGGGAAGGACTCCCTCTTCGGGGGAAGCTATCCAAACTGTACAGTATGAATGATTCGGCCGCGGTTGGGCATCACCTGGCGGGATATCCGCTCCTAATGACAGAATCCAAGTCAAGCATCTGTAAAACACAAAGATCTAGTAGTCGTCTTATCTGTCCGCAATTTGATTTAATCCCCTGACTGTCAAGCTAGCCGCATTACCCGCATCTGAATCCAGCATAGGAAGTTATGATATATGATACTTGAGGACGACAACAGCTTCGATATACAATATGAGGTTGAACAACTGGCTTGTCATGGCGGAAAGGACCTCAAAAGCTCAAGGTTGAAAAGCGAGTTTGTCAACCTGCTAGCCTTGTTGTTCATAGAGCTATGATGGACTACATGACTATGTTCTGAAAAGAGTTATTAGCTCGCTTACCTACAGTCGGCGATGTATATTTTACAGGCTCATACCACTAAAGGTGGGCAATAGTATTCTAGGGCAGTAATCCTGTTCTTACTTCCAACTATTCTATTCTGCTTGCTGTGGTCGTGAGTCCAGGTCAAACCCAAGCACCGCCTTGGAAAATTCGCCAAACCGGGTAGATAGATTTCTGTGTGGCTATTGCCATGTCAATCATCGTGTCTGCCTTGTTAATACTGTGTTTCAGAGTTGTTGGTTTCGTCGACTGCGTCATCCGTCGCCACCAACAGCTCCAAGATGGACCCTGATATTTTGGCCCCTTGGTGGTAGGGTTGTGGAGGCTGAGTCGCAACCGTGCAATCATTCAACTTTCCAAAAAGCTAACATGTTGGTTAATTGTTACCAGGATAGAGGATGGTTATTGTGAATTATTGTACTGTTTTGTGTCAGCCTTGGAATCATGGGTGGTTCAGGCAGCTACATAACGCTTCGGCAACGGTCTCCATTGTCCACTTATTTTCATTGATGAAGCATAGGGACTGTCGGAGTTATTCACACAGCCAGTACTCCATCAAAATTTTGAGTCATGGCTGTCCTACCTTTATTCTCCCGTCTCTCCTCGCGGCGCTCAGATTCGCTCAGTGACACAAGCCTATCTGAACGACGGCTTTCTGATCCTTCTAACAAGTCTCTATATACTTACCATGAGCCCGGCCAGAAGGCTCCTCACCGCTGGGCTGTGAGGTTCAAATCAAGGCTCGACCCCAGAATTGTAGGCAAGAAGAAAGCCCGCAGAAATCGTGTTGTTGTTGTCGTCGCGCTTATAGTCGCACTGGGCGGTATTGCTGTACTGTGAGTATTATCCTTATTAGCAGGATCCCTCATACTGAGACTTCCAGGGTGTGGTTCTCACTTGTCCTCACATTGATCGATCGACTCACACCTACTGTCCCATCGAACGGACTACAGAGAATCCTCAAGACATGGAAAAGCCCGGCAGACTCAGTCGCCGCACTCTCTCCTTGGCCGGAAGACTTCAGTCAAGGCATACCACCGGTCCAATGCCACTCTCACAATGACTATTGGCGTTCAGTTCCGCTATACGAGGCCATGGCAGCAGGCTGCACGGGCGTCGAAGCAGACATTTGGCTTGAGGGCAGCGATCTGCTCGTCGGCCATCGGAAGCGCTCTCTATCCCCTGATCGTACATTGAAGACTCTCTACATCGACCCCTTGACAACAATCCTCTCGAACGTTAATGCCAACTCATCCGCCAACAGCTCAGTTGGCATATTCGACGTCGACCACACAACAAGTCTTACTCTCCTGATCGACATCAAAACGGACGGAAATGCCACTTGGCCGGTTCTCCTTAATCACTTAGCTCCTCTACGCTCTGGGGGATGGCTATCCCACTGGAATGGGACGAGCAAAACTCTTGTCCATGGTCCTGTCACCGTCGTGGGAACCGGAAATACGGTGTTTGATTTGGTGGTCGCAGAGGAAGATCGCTATGTCTTCTTCGACGCCCCGCTAAACGACCTTGCTCAGAACTCCACCTACACATCGGAAAACAGCTACTACACCAGCGTTTCGCTGAAAAAGGCCGTCGGCGTTGTATGGCCCTGGGGCCCAACAGACAACCAGAAACAGATCATGCAGAAGATGATCAGCGCTGCCTCGGAAAGAGGTTTACTCTCGCGGTTCTGGAGTATCCCCTCCTGGCCAGTCAGCCTGCGAATGAGGCTATGGCGATTTCTGGTTGATAGGGGTGTTGGCATGTTGAATGTAGATGATGTGGTTGAGGCGACGAGGTGGAACTGGGACTGGTGTATTGTGGCGGGGTTGGTGTTGTGTTGATCTTTGGGGGCCATTTCCTTATGTACCGATCCGATAACCTGTCAATTATATGCCAAGATGTTGGTCTCTAGTTCATGTTGGTTACGTTAGGCGAAGAGACTAAGGCACATTTGCCTATGACGACTACGGAAGATAATTATGATCAAAATCAATTTGACTAGACACTGGTTCCAACTTTGATCTATATGCCCAAGTCAAGAATATAACGTCAACAACCATATTTGTCCATGATAGCTCTGAATGAAGGGTCCTGCAGAAGTTGTGTTGTGGTAAGACTTTTTTCTGGGCAGTAAGTAAAAGCTCTATTCATTATGGATTGCACCAGTTCTCGCTCAATTGGAGCAGCGTCTGGAAGATACTATCCAGCTGTTGATGCGAGACTGCGATTTGGATCGCTGGATCGGGTGTTTTACACTGCTTCACTGTTATAGCTCTGTGATGTGTTATTGTCACTGGTACACATTTTCTATCTGTAAGAGATTACTGCGAAGATTTAAAGCACAACCGTGACTTAAAGTGGAAAACTACTCAAAAGTATCAACACGGACAAACTCTCCCTCATAACTGAAGACTTCCACAGAGTCAACGTCGAATGTCAGACTGATGTCGCCTTTTCCTTGTGCTCTAAAGAGGCCTGTTGAGTTTGGCTGCAACGCCAGAGTAACGACGCCCAGAACTTCGTCCTTCAGAGAGAACTCCAACTGACTGTCTGCTGTAGATAAACCCGGGTCTATCTGCGACGTCTCCTCAGAGGTATGGAAGGCTCTGTGAACTGGCGCAAGCTGAAACATGACGCTCGACTTGGCGACACCGCCGAGCGAAGAGTCTTTGGGAAAGTGTGCGCCAAATATAACGAATTCAGATGCACTCTTTCCCGACACAAGGATAATCTTCGCCGTGCTGGTCATGGACAGGCAAGTGCCCACCTGCCGAAGATCTATTTCCCGAGAAGAATAGAGACTCTTCTGTGCTTCAATGGGAAAGTCCTGCGGCAATGCCATTGATAGCTGACTCAAGAGGGGGAGATTCGTGATTAGCCCGTTTGAAGGATGCTGTGTCTTGATTGGAGAAATGAACAGTTCCCTGAGCAGCATCTGGGCATCTTCAACTGATGATGGGGGCTTCTCAGACGGCAAGGGTTTGACCGAGTGTAGAGGCCCCAAGACTCGGGGCAGCCCTAAGAAAAGGTTTTGCTAATCCGTGTTAGCATAGAATCCGTTTTGTCAAACAGAGCTTTGATACGCACCAGTGACTTGTCAAGTACTTGGTTGAAAGTAGCGAACGATATTGCGGTCGAATCCGTGGCACTTCGGTCTTGAAATGCAGCCAACAGGCAGTCTGTCACAGTTTCCACCTGTGATAGACAGGAGGTGAATTCATCCGGTCCAATACCGGCTACATGCAACTGCGTCAGAATCATCAACCGGAGCAAAGGTCTAAACTCCTTCAACAGAATATACCCATCCGTCAAAGTTGAGTTGGACGAAGGAAAATGTTCAGCGGGAGGATATTCAGGCCCTTTGGTCACAGCGGTCGGAAAGCGTGCATTGCGCCTGAAATTACCGTACGTGATCAGATCTAGCGCTTTCTGAAGATGAAAGTCATCTTCCACACTGTGAATTGTATTGGTAGTAGTTGCTTGCATGTCTGCCATGCTCTGAAACAATAAGGTGCGTTGTGCGGCATTGAGACGATCAGGGTAGATGAGTGACGCTTTGCCGTCATCTTGTTGAAGAAGGTTGCCTGCATCCAATCTTAGCAGAATAATAATCGCTGTGCGCAGGACATCCTGCGACATTGTACGGTGTGGATCGTTGTGGTATGGAAACGATCCAAGTCGCAGGAGACAGCGATGTAGAATCGGGGCAGCTTCACCGACACACGCTGCCAACTCTGGTGGAAAGGTACTGATCATGAACGCCTCCAGGTCTGATACCGTCCAGACTATAGAATGTTACTTTTGAAGCGGACCAACGAGGAACTGTACGTACATTTCCCGGATTCTGACTCGGTGCAGAAGATGTCGAAAATGCTCTGCAACCATTCACTCCTCGCATCACCGAAAAAATGCTTTGATAAGCACCATTTAAATCTCTCCTGGAGTTCGTCTGGGTCCGTCAGTACTTACTGCCATATAAAGTTAGATGGAGATCGCCCTACCGCGAGTTTGAACCGGCGGGAGGAACTCGACAGCAGATTCTTTGGTTGCAGTCTGACCCATGGCTTCAATTGGACAGCATTTACAAAACTTAAAAAGAGTCGGAAACTTTCTTGTTGGGATTTGATGAAAAGGAGATGGAACTCAATAAAGTCTGATATGGGGAGAAGAGAGGGGGAATGATGGTTGATGGCAAAGAGCAAGGATTGAGACCACCAGATCAGGTGACCGGACGATGATGAAGTGATGTTGGTCGAGTCTGCCTTGTCTTGACACCTGCACCAACTCTCAAGGATGATTTTCGGCCGTCTTGGTGGGGGAAAGAACCAACTTCAGACGATCCCTGATGCCGAGCAATTCTGGCCCCATCAACTAACAGAGACAACGTTGCCCGTCAGTGTCCGCGATGCATCCAAAATCTACAACCAGGTCAATCTATCACTGGAAAATGATAGCCAGAGGATAACCAACATGTTACAATCCGTCATGCCTGGCGGAGGCGGCTGTGATGTTTCAAGTATTGAGGCCGTGTTTTCACGAAGTTGGAATATGTTTGGACATCAACCCAGCATATGATATTGATTTAAGCGTCTTTCTTCGCCTCTGAAACTGAGCATTATCCATCATCTCCTTCTCCGATTCACAAGGTTCTACTTCATAACTGCTATACAAGATGCGTCTCCACCTGTTCTCATGCATCTACGTGGCCATTCTTGCCTCTACTGTCAGTGCAACTGGTTGCAGCAAATGCCTCAATCAAAACGAGGACAATATCCGTCTCGGCTGCTTCAATAAATGCAAAGAAGCCTTCAATCCCAGCAGCACCGAATATCGGGTCTGTCGCGATCAGTGCACCGAGTTTGTCTTTCATGACCACTGCTGTACCTCTTCCTGCAGCAGCAAATCTGGCGTCTGTCTGAATGACTACTTCCACCGCGTGGGCCTGACCAAGCGGGACTCGATGGACGAGGAAGCCTATTATCAATCTCAGCTAGAGGCGATTCGCGAAAATCCCGACCTACTCGACAAACGAGCGCTGCTAGCAGGTGATGCTCCCTACCATCTGATCCGAAGTACTGAGGACTTACACTCACTCAATTATCCGGATTTTAATGAGACTATCGTGTACGATATGAGCGAGCATAACGGCCCAGGGGCTCTAGATCGTCGGATTGACCAGGGCCAAACCTGCTGCTGGGTCGCGGGGGCGGTGCTTCAAAAGGGCCTCGTTGAGGTTGGGACAGCATGGACAAGTGATGACTGGACCGACGAGCAGCGCCAGGGACTGGTGCTCGTCAGCTTTGGCGTTGCGGGAGCATATGCTTGCAACTATGTTTACAATGTTAAATGTCTCTTATTCAATGCCAGACCTGCGCCGCAAGTTTAAAGAAAGGCAGTTCAGACGAGCTGGTGATCTTGTTGGTTTCATGTTGCAGTTTCATTTGACTCGTTATAAGTTCTTTTGTTATTTTCTTATTGTGGCTGTACTTGTGTCATGATCATCACTGTCGACTTGTAAGAAATTAACATCTGGCCTCGCTAAGTTATATATATAGCCGCCGCCATCCCCTCTCGGTACTTGGTCTCCATTACTTATTCTATCCTTCCCAAGTCTTAGGAAAGTTCAAGTGAGTTCTTTTACCAAGCTGTCAGCTCTCAAAGCATTTGGACTTCACTTCACCATGGAGCAAGAATCGTCGACATCACTCTATCTTCGACGGGCTCTAGCAATCACCCTTGCGCTCGCTGCGCTCCGTCAACTCAAATCCTGCCGTTTATCCTATCTGTTTCCGTTCTCGGATCTTCTCTCAGATGAAGTCGATAAAATGTTCGCTTTCGCGGTAAATACAAGCACGCTGTTCTTCGCATGGTGTATCGCCGAGCCTTCCATCGCCCAACCTCTTTCGATAACGAACCTGAATACATTGCGCTATACCCTGGCCGGTATTATTCTTACTCTCACCGTATGTGGCGACAGCCCCCTCAAGCGCGTTCTTGTCGGATTCGCGATCGGGGCATGTTGGATCCTCGGATGGACGATTACGTCTGTCGAGCAGAGGGCGGCCTATTGGCTGTTCCTGAGAGGCGGGCTGGGTTTCACGCTAATTAATTTGTGGCGGAAGGCCGCTCTTTAGAGGCTGGTCCGTTTGATGGTCTTCTTGGCGATGCATGCCAAGGCGGCTGTGTCACGTCTGTTGGGTTTATGTTAGTAGGCCAAGAGTTATTTTTGGCCAAAATGGTGACAGTGTTGACCTTGGCTGGGTTATGTCTTGTAGGCGGTTGCCCAGATCAGGTGGCCCAACCTTTATTCCAGTTGCCAACCTAGTTACTCTTTCTCTTCCTCTAAACATAGTTAGACCCTAGGTGGCTGTGAGGCTGGGAATAGCAACTCGGAGCAGTGTAACCTTTCATTTAATTCAGAACGTTTGCATAGGAACCGTCATATCCCTGCGGTCTCTGGAGTAAGCCGTTTCTGTACAGTCGATCAACGCCAACTATGTGAGTCTCTCCTTTGTATTTCTCGTTCAGCTCTCGAATGCGCTTGGCGGCCTCCGCCATCCTTCAGGGCAACATCAGACGTCGTTTGAACAATTCCGACGATGAAGTCGCCGCGAGGGGGCGGTGTCATTCGTGTCTGATACTATCGTCCCTCTTAGTAGGAGCTTGCTACATAGTGTCGATTAGGCCACAGGAAAGCGTGCTAGTCATCCAATCTCTACTTGCAAGTTATTTTCATTGAACGTAGGGCCTGTGGAAAGCATCTATTTTGTAGCTCTTGGCCTCGTCCTTGACTCTTCGCCGTCTAGTCCGTGGTCACCGTCGTTCACTTGTTGACAAACAGCCGATCTATGCTCCATTTTGACGGCTGAAGATCTGTAAAGGTAAGACAGGACCCAGTCCACCTATGCTCATCAAACCTGGTAATTTCTGAGCGAGTGCTCTTCATCACTGTACAGGAAATAGACATGACAAAGTCAAGGTAGAATTCTTATGTTAAGACCATAAAAGTTTTCCGTCCTTGCATGACGGACGTGGACACCTCATTATGTACGAAAGAGGCTTAGCGCAGTTCGGACTGGGCAATGAGACTTCCAGTATAAATACTACTATTGATGAAGATTCCATAACAAAGGAGACCGCAAAGACCTAACATTCCACAAGCACTCAATTCTAAATAACAAGAATACAACAAGCCCATCAATATCATCTCCTCATGCTTCCCTGCTGGCTTACAAATCCTGAAACACTCAGTGAATTTCATCCCACACCTCATTGGTGTAGACCATGCAGTTGTTCCAAGCGAGATTGTAACTGGGGTACTTGCGAGCATACTCGAATGTCAGACACCATACAGAAAGCCAAATAAGAGACTGTGCATTGATATACCTTTGTTCTCGATATACGCATCCGTCGACGACGTTTCCCCGAGGTACTCATACTTATTGTCCTTGCTCGTGTGCACCCATTCCCCCTTTTTGTAGTTGAAATAGTGGTTCGCCCACCAGCGCCCGTCCACCTGAGACTGTACCTTTCCACCCACGGGTGTCTGCCCGAGCCTCGTTTCTGCCTCGTCGCTGATCATCTCGAAGGCTTTGGCGTCGAAACCCTGGCGCCCGGAGCGCGTAGGAGAGTTGAAGAACTGGCCAACGATGAGCCGCACGTGCGAGTAGTCCGGCAGACACATGTATTCGCCGTAGACGGGGGCCCATTTCTCGCGGAAGGCGTAGCGTTTGCCGTGCTCGAGCTGGACACCCTTTTGGGCTGCGGCTAGGGTTACGGCCTCGTAGTTGTCTTTGTCGACCTGCTTCTGATCGGGGAAGCGGTCTGGGCGCTGTTCTGCGAGGCAGAGGTTAAGGAGGGCAAAGAGGGCGATAAGAATGGCGCAGAAGGCTTTCATTTTGATAGATTTGGTAACGGTTCTGTAGTTGATATGTGATTTGCCTAGATAAGGGCCTGATGTTGAACTTATGGTGCATTCTCAATTGCAACTGAATTCCTCCCTTTATATAAAGCTTCATTTGATAAATATCCTACGACTCCATACATCAACATTATTCTCGCCCCCATGCGACCTTGCACGGAAAGAAAGGGGAGCTTTGCAAGGGCGCTCTCTTGCTCCCAACGATGGCCGATTCATGGCTTGCAGCAGCGCCGTAGAGTTGGTTGTTGATCGCAAGGTAAACCAACTTCGCTCCGCGGACACTTTAGCCCCAAATAAAGACAAGGCTGTAACGGAGTCTACATCCCTGCCAAGATCATCAGGTTGGATTGCCTCTCCAGCGGCCTTGGCCAAAAGCACCGAGAGGCTTAGGGCTTGGCTGTTAGATGGGGCCGCGATGGCCCGCGTCTCATCCCGCCGGTTGTTTCAAATTTATCACCGCATGTGCTCAGATCTTCGGAGAGGCGATTCTACCAGATCTCATACAGAATCCTTTGCTTTTAACATTTTGTAACGCCCTGCAGGGTCTACAAGAGGCAGTAGATCATGAAACCCGCCGCCCCCAACGAAGGATTCCCCGTTGGTAGATGCATTCATGTGATAGCCCTAACTATGAGCTCTTCTCGGAGAGCCTTGCTATCTTCATCCCGCTGTATGTTGACGTAATGTTGGTTGTACCTCCAGGAATAGATCATCTGTAGGAGATGTGAATATACCTCGCTGTAGCCCCCAACACCAACAGCCAAAGTCTGCGGGGTCAACAATCCTATCAGTTGAGGGATTTTGCTTGGATGGAATAGCTAATTGACAACATAGACAGGGTGGCGATGAATGTGTTGAGATGAAGTTACCAAGTTGGTTCGAAAATGGCTGTGCTTCGTAGAGACAGTTCAAGGCATCACACCAAGCTGTCATTAAGAAAATCGATGAAAGAGAAAGATATAAAGCGCATGGCATCTCCAGCTTTCTGCCACCATCATCAACAACAGCAACAACCACAAATCTAGAACAGCAGCTCAAACACTGATCTTTGAACCCTTCCACCATACTGATTTCCACCATACTGATCATTACAATGCATTTCACCAAGATTGCCATCTCTCTTGGCCTCCTGGCCACCGTCGCGATTGCCGCTCCTAGGTCCTTCAAAGAGCGCTCTCCCATCGTTGCCCGAGAGATCGTCGACCTTGGCGTCTCTCCGCTGAGCGCCGGAGAACTCGAAAAGCGCGAGATTATCGACCTCGGCGTTACCAACGACGGATTCGAAGACCTCGAAAAGCGTGGAAAGAGCAACTACATTTCCAGCTGCGGCCACAACTGGATGCCCATCGAGGATGACAAGAGCAAGAGCCACTCCGGCTACCGGTCTGCCGTCGAGCAGTATTGCTACCATGTCACCCATAGCCAGGATGGGCTGCCAACTGTCATCGGAGCGGGACAGAAACATGCAGCGATTGTTAAGGGCGGATACTACCTCAAGGGGGATGTTCCTGCCGCCGTGGACTGTGAGTGTCCTTGATCTGAGTAAGACTGATATTCGCTAACTGAGAATGTAGTTGAAATTCACAACAAGATGAAGGACGGAGATCACACTCCTAACCAGGCTGACTGTGTGACGTACCTCATGAAGATGGCCGATTCCAGCTCCAAATGCTACGGCAGCAAGAACAAGGACACCAAGGGCGGCACCTGGCAGATTGGCAGCGACGAAGTCAGCTACCACGCTCTTCCCAACTCCAACTCTACTTAGACGAATCCATCGTGAGACTAAGAGAACCGAATCAATGTCTGTCACCTTGTTTGCTTGTTGTTTCTGTTTTACTGATATTTTGTTACATCTATTGATTGCCTTGCTTCGACTTCTGTTTTGAATATTAGTTTGCCAATGAATATCCTTGCTATTCTATGCATCAAATGTCAATTGATTGTAGATCTGGTTTAAAATCTATTTGCAGTGATTGGCCTCTGTAGGGTTCGTGTAGCGGAAGGGCTCACATACAGGTGCTCGAGCCTGCCTGCATACCGTGTTATAGTCAGAAGAACCACGGCATTTCCTAACAGGAACTGCACTTTCCAAATATATCTGGTGTAACACTGAGTCATATACATCTTGAAATCTGACTATAGAATGGCCTGGTACTATTTAGCATGTAATCGATATCTGCGTTGTTGCTTACGTCCTCTGAGATATCACTTTAGATGTGTCATCTAGCACTGCTAAATGATTTGCTATAAAAGTAATATTCTTCGGGGGTGAATGAAGTCAATAGCAACACCGAGGGCCGCAGATAGGAATGACCTTGACGGAAAGTATATGTACCCCAGACACAACTTCGAACAACAACGCGAAACAATACCAGACATAGAAATAGATTACATGAAAACGGACATATCGATGGAAAAAGTAGACTTAGCATTCTGTGGAACATTTCTAATCCTGAATCTGAAGCACTTAAAGTTCCTAGAAACCCCCATCTCTCTATGTTGACCATTTGGGCACATCCTTTGCTCATTCAAACATAGTAATACACCAGACAGACTTTCATTGGATCCATGGGAAACTGTCATCTTCTGGCTGGTTGATAGATCTCTCGGCGATATAAGGAAAGCTGTCATCTTCGGGGATGTCTGTAGACCTCTCAGCAATGGCCGGGAAGCTGTCACCCACGGAAATCTCGTCGGATTGGGAATTTGCTGGGAGAGACCGGCTTTCAATCGAGATCTCAGGTGGGATATAATCGTCCTCGGTTGGTTCATCACCAACAGATCTTTTGGCCTTAGCCACCCAAATATCCTTCTCGGTGAAAGTATGTCCAGCATCCATCATGTGCTCTCGGATTTCAGGATGCTCCGCCCCTTGGGTTCCGAAACATTAATAAAACAACCTGGTTTGAAGTCCAGTAGGAGTGAGCTTACAATGGTCAAAGTAGACAGCACCAGCCTTTTTCAACCTGGTGTTCCAGCCAGAAGAGGCATCGGTCGATGCCTTGATGAGGAGCTCATGGTTACCCTTTGATCCTTCCAGAACCCAGACGCCCGTTCCGGGAGTGAGACCAAAATGAGTCGCGTACACAGCCCCTTCACAAGGTGTCTCGTAAAACTCCTTTGTCAGTGACTTCTGGATTTCGATTGCGGACCGACGCTCCAGCTTCTCGTTCACACGTTTCCGCTTACTACCACTCATAGAACCAAAAATCATTGACCCTGCAGAGTTCGGAAGGTGCATGCTCCTGGTGAGGTCTGCCACCGAAGCAGCAAGATCCGAGCCGTAGTCCTTTTGCGGGGAGCAATGGGAGGCCTCAACATAAGCTCCGCTGTATCCGTGTGATTTGATCGCACTGATGATGTCTCTCCTGGATGGGACGAAGAAAAAACCGAGTGAGTTCTATATCCACTGTGAAAATTTGTGATGATGATCTATCCACATACCATGAAGCTCCATCGTGGCGTTGACCAAAAGGAGGTTGATCAGCACTAGATGTCATGCAGTATCTTGGGATTGACACATGCGCCCCTGTTGTGAAAGTGTCGCGCACACTCCCATGGCAGTTCCAATCTGCTGTCCCAATGCTTGCACTATTTGGGCGACTATTGGGGTTCCACCATTGCAACCGTTGGCATTCGCTAAAGCGAGTCCACTCAACAGATCGGGTATTTCCAGTAAAACCCGCATCAGCAAAAACGGAAAATGGGTGTGCTTCAGGCGCAAAGATACAGCAATGATTCTCCTGAAGGTTGGTACACAGTCCAAGTGTACCCCCAGGTGACTGACACCCGGCGGTCCAGTAGCCCTTAACAGTCACAGCCTGGGCTGCGCCCACGATGAGTGGAATGAGATAATGAGCAAGAGGGCCCATCATGAGAAGCTGATTTCACTGAGAGAAATGAAGTTTTGCAAGAAACGGACAGTTGATGATAGTCACGGATTGATGGTTATGATGGGCTTGACTTCCTGCGGTGGCGGTCGTATTTATGTCTTTTTTTCTGCTATACACTTGCCTTCATCACCCGAGATAAATTTGTTAGACGCCAACTTGATCAAAAGAAAAAAACAGGACGGAATATGCCTTGCTTAGCCTTCTCGATGGTATTATCTCCAACAAACAGACATCCAACAGACATCCAACAGACATCCAACAGACATCCAACAGACATCCAACAGACATCCAACAGACATCCAACAGACATCCAACAGNAACAGACATCCAACAGACATCCAACAGACATCCAACAGACATCCAACAGACATCCAACAGACATCCAACAGACATCCAACAGACATCCAACAGCCAACTGTAGAGACAAGCCCTCGCCGGTGCGAAAGGGCATGGGGCAATTCAGAAGCTAAGTATCATGGTTATTGATCCTTTCTTGTTTGTTTGTTGGAATAAAGCCAGAATAAGAAGCTTGCAAGGACCCCTGTTGTTGCCGAGGCGTTCTTTGCACTAATTAACCGTATCATCGCTAGGGAAGACATAGCCTTCTGCCTTGTACACGCAATAGATCAAGCCAACCTCTAACGCGTAATGTGAACTAACCCCTGTTGATGGAGCGAGGCTACTGTTTCAAATCATCGCCTATCTACACCTACTACATGAACCTCAACACTATGGTACAATACCCCGGGCCATGCCCTCAACTAACATGCAACAACAAGAGACATAGTCGCCTGGACGGGGATCTCATCTGGCACAACCGCCTGGACTATATCTTAGGGGCCGAAACCTGAGGCTGCACACCAACCCAACAGATACAATCAAGAAATGATCAATAACCCTGATACTTAACCGCCTGAGCTATTTCACTTGGGAGTCGAAGCCTGAGGCTGTACACCAACCCAACAGATACAACCAAGCTCAACGACACTAATTTGCCTCCTAATTCGAGACGAAGATCTGTTATTGTTGTTATTAACATCCTGACCATCGTTAAGTCCATTTTGTGGCGCTTCATGTCACATGTTTATGATCTTTTTCAACAGTTGGTTGGAGATGATGCAGTTCAACCTTGCCTTGCCGTACATCCTTCTGTATGTGTACTCTTCCTGTTGATTCTGTTGCATGTTACTCACCAACGTCTGCTAGAGACATATAAAGCCCCTTCATCACCTTAGTCGTCGTTCATCATTACCACCAACAATCTCATCCAAAGTCTCCGAGATCACTGAGAAGCAACCTCTGCCTCTGAATTGCTTGAAGTGTCCAAAATATCATAATCTGAATCAACATGCAGCTCACCTCTGCTTTCGTTCTTCTCGCCTCCTTTGCCCTATGCTTCCAGGGTAGTGATGCACTGGCTCGCTCGAAGCTTGACCAATACACAAGTGATGACTGGTAGGAATCACCATCCAATCTCTATACGAGAATCCAACCGCCTGACCTGCTTGACAAGCGATGGAAACTGGGGCGACGGGAAGGCATACCGCTCCTCTCGCAACATAGACATCAAGCCCGGCACATGCGTCGATATCAACGCGTCTACCAACAGCATCTGGCTGGGCAGAGGAACCGGCTTGGTCTGGCGGCGCAAGATGACAGCCTACTCCGAGGTACGAGAACCCCTTTTCCTGACAAGGCCTTGTCGCGAGTAGAAGACTTAAGTTTCTTGCGTTAGTCCGGTTGCCCTGCGAATAAGCGCATTGATTTCCTCAATGAGAAGGATGGGTATTACAAGAATAGAAATGGCCAGGTGGTGCCCAAGGGGAATTGCTTCCCCATTGACTTTATGTATGTTGGTGCTCAAGGAGTGGACCAAACATACCAGGGACGTCTCTTGTCGGTCAAGTTCGACTCGTATTAGCGGAAACCACTGGAGACCCTTTGTTGGGTAATTCATCTTGAGAGATATCGATACTTCATTGCTCATTTATAACTGATTCTTAGCCTTTATCTTAGCCTTCACTGTAGACTATTTCTGTAGCTCCATCCATGATTACATACTAGCCTGACGCTATTCTGGCACTCCTCCTGGACAAGTAATTTGACAATAATCCCTCAAATAGCTACTTAGCCTGTCTATCATACATCTTTAATTTGTTAGTTGGTATTTACTTCGTGTGTTGGGATATCGGCCATCATGATTGGATCCTGAAGACCAGCGTCACATGTTTCAGGCTTACCTACTCTCCTATTAATACCCTTTCCCCTCCGCATCATCATCTTTCCCACTATCTCATTCCCACCCTCAAACATTGCCAAAAATATCCCGCCCGCACACAGAATTTGATATCTGTTGGAGTCGAACAGTCATGGACCCTGCGGTAGAACCTCGAGGATATCTCGAGTGGAGGCGACTATTTTCCACAGATTTTGAAGCTGCCATCGCCACAGGCAATGCACCGGGCAAAGACCATGACAAAATGCTATTCATGTGCAACACTGAGTTCAGGCTATCGGACAAGGGTTTGAAATCTCCTATATACGAGCGTGTGATCTTCGCCTGGGACGAGGATCAAGGCGTTTGGGTCCTGGAGGCTTCGGAGGCAAGCTGGGAGGCCCTGAAAGTCCTACTAGGACGCGATTTCCTGCACTGGCATGAAGCTTTGGAGAGATGCGGCGCGGTCTATTATCAAGACTGTAAACACCCTTACTTCTTTGGTCTTTGACTTCAGATGCTGACGAATTGTGGACAGGGCGCGAGTGTCCCTGGAGCAGAGCCGCTGCTGAGCAGGGACGAATCGACGGCTACAGACCATTTTTCATGGACAAGGCTGATCTGAAGTATAGGTTAAAGGATACAGCTGGGGAACACAAGGAAGAGCCGGCTTCGACACATGATGCAAAACTTTGATTTGAGTGCTTGGTTATCTATCATGCCTCGTTACCATACCAGTCACCGAACGCGGCTGCGTTGCGACTTGCCCCTCCGGTATCAATCTGTTGAAGTATGCGACGAGAGTATTGTCGGATTTAACCCTAATAAGAGTCTTCGCTGGGCTGGACACTGCCCCTAGAATAGAACCGTCGGCCTGTCCGGGGATTCACCAAGACGGAATTCAACCATCCTGTCAAGTCAAACTTGTTTCATCCTGTGTTGCTCTGTTGGTCGTTTATACCTACATTCCTTGGATTTACCCGTGGTCATTTTTACAACAGTGTGGTGTCCAATGTGGATAAAATCGGGCAATTCAAAGTTGTTCTGAGGTTGGCTATTCGTTCATATAAAATTATTGGCTGTAGCAGTACTTGGATTCTGCACGAGTCATTAGCAGCTTAATTATCACGAAACAGTATTCTATCTTAGAGGCCCCTCTTACGCTTATAATTCCTGCGCGGAATACCCCTGGCGACGTAGTGTGTGTGGCAATGCAAAACAACAGTGGGGCCAGCGTTTTGGCCAGGAATCAGGATCGAGACCGGTTTTCGATCATGCTAACATCGGCAAGGCGGATTCCAGAGAGATTATGATAGTCTGGCTGATTTGTCATGCTCTCTTCATTTATCAACGTACCATCCCGCCATTTGTCTCGCACGATCTACTTCGACATAAAATCTCATGTGAACGAAGGAAAGCCATGGCATGGAGCCGGAACGCCAACCTCGCTTACGAACAGAGATCTTCCTTCTTCTTGCCGATTATCTGGACCCTCAAGACCTACTGCTTCTTCTACAAGCCAGACCAGGTATCACATCTTTGCTAAGCCATGCCCATCTGAAATCTGTGGATAGCGAAGGCAACACCCTGCTTCATCTAGTGGCAGAGCACAGCATTGACAATGTGATCAGCCGACTGGGCCCAATCACCGCAGCCAAGAGCATGGCCGAAAGCGCTCCACATAGCTGTCAAAAAAGGTCACTATGGCATTGTTCAAGAACTGCTATCAACGGGATGCAATCCATCCCGGATGGACAAGCACTCCCGAACCCCTTGCACTATGCTTGTTTGACCAAGCAAGACATAACCATGCTACGGCTGCTCCTGGCTCATGGCGCTGATGCTTCGGCAAAGCCAAAGAGGACCGCACTCCAATACACATATGTTGCACCTACGGCAGGCTGCACTGCTCAAGAGCCTCATCGATGCCGGCGCCGGCATCAATGCAGCGGAAACAGCGCAAGGGCAGATGCCATTCCGCAATGCAATACTGTGTGGACAAACAGAGTGCGCGAAGATTATTGACAAGACAGTGTCCGATCCAAACGTGCTGTGTGGGCCAGAAGACAACATTATAGGCGCCGCAGTGTTCAGGAGGCAGACAGAACTCGTGCAACTGATGCTGGACAAGGGAGCCGATGTGAACAGGTCAGACACCCTAGCAGTGACTCCCTTGATGTATGCTGCAGTTACTGTAGACAGAGAGCAAATCGCGCGGATCCTGTTGCATGCTGGCGCTAAACCAAACATACGAGGACCTTATGACGGTGTCGCCCTACCCGGCGCGGCCAGGTTTGCCAAAGGGTACCCTTGCCCTTCTATGCATCAAATGTCAATATCCAAGAGAATCGATCTTACTCATGTCTCGTAAGTTGTCCGTACGGACTCAGTTATTGTACTATGAAAACCCAGGATGTCCCACCTCCGCCAAAGCCTCCTTCACCACCTGCTCGATATTCTTCTCCGGCAGCCCTAGCTCCTTGTTCCTAATATGCTTAATGGGCTCAAAGTGGCCACTATAGGTACCCTTAGTAAACCCGATATTGATCAGGCCATACCCTGCCGACACTTCACCATTTTCCCACGCCTTCTTCAGAGCGGGAATAGCCTCCTCGGTGCTAATCGACTTGCGCTCCCACTTCTCACCGGTGAGTCGCTCAATCGTCTGGACGAGCTCCTTTTGCGTAGTTGCAAAGTCACTGGTGAAGACAATTTGGTTAGCCGTCGTGCTAGGGTTGAGGAGAACGCGGTTCAGCGCCAGGGCCGTGTTGTCCAGCGTGGTCGTCGAAAAATAACCCTCGCCGTCGTCAGTGAATGTGATGCTTCGGCTGGGATAGTTTAATCCAAGGAAGTTATTGCGCAGGCACCTAGGCACAGTCAGTCCTCAGCATCAGTCGGTGTTATCCATGTCTGGCGAAGAGTCATACCATCCGATCCACGTGCCGCAAGCGATAGCTGTCCAGGTTAGTCCGCTCGACTCTTTACTTCGCAGATACTGCTGCACCATCCCCTTCTCTCTGAATACAGAGGATAGTTCCTGAGCTGCGGGGGTATTGTTATCGACTCCATACTCGGACGGCACAAATCGCTTGACCCCGGCGGCAATCGCCGCATCGATGAATTTGTGCTGCTCGGCGACGGAGAAACTGTTGATTGCGTTCACCACTGCATCTTGGCCTTTGAAGGCCTTGACGAGGTCCTCATAGGGGTAAGAGTCGGCGAGGGTGATTACAGACGCCGTGGAAGGGATACTGCCACGTGCCTTGGATGACTCTCTTGTGAGGACCGTGACGTTGAACGTGGGTTCGGACAGAAGAGACTTCATAAGGGCGCCTCCGAGCGAGCCACCACACTGTTCGCTGAATTAGCCAAGCTCTTCACGTGGAAAGATGTCGGCGGCTTACTCCGACGAGGATGATATTCTTGTATGCGTCCGTAGCCATGATATGGTGGGGGCCGTATAGTCTTAGCAATGTAGATCGTGTTTAAGATTACATCGGTAATTCTCCATCTGCTTTATAGAATTCCACTGCATTGTCTTCTAATCGCTTGGCATGCGTTCAGTAATCAGTATCCACTAGCTTGAATAATTGGGGTATCCTGGTGGCTTGAGCGGCGAATTCGGCTTGATCACTAATACACTCCGATCCGCAATAATATGCCTGCGCTAGTGGGATCCATCAGTTGCCGAAAAAATAGTAGTTATAGGTAGCTAGTGTTTGTTTGTTTCTGATCTTCCGATAACGGCCCAATCAGACTCTCCTGTCAGGAGCGGCACTACGAAGGTATCACTACCTTAGCCTCAGCCCTGCAGAAGCCATCACAGATGGATTGTATTGGATCTAATTTAGTACAGTGGCCCAGAAGCACCGGTAATCATTTCCACTCCGTTGTGATGTAAGTTATCCGGCTATCAAGCCGCTAGCCTAGAAAGAGTGCTGGCTATTGAGAGATTGGGGGAACTGAATAATAGATCGATCTGAACTGTAAACAGATCCAAAGAGTATAAGTTCATAGGATACTTGACCTAACCATCTGGTCAAAGACTAGTCCGCAGATTGACATGAAGCGAAGGATCTTGATTAAGACCCGAAGAACTGGGGAACAGGGGGAGGGGCATGGCACTCTCTGCAGAGTAGTTAGCGAGGGTCGTCCAGCCTGGCCCATATTGACTAGCAATAACTGACTCGAGGATCTCTTCATAGACGGATGGTTGCCCCTGCCCAAAATGGAGATACGACTGCCGTTTTGGGAAAGTCGTAGGAATTGCCATCCGCCCAATGAAACGGGCATTAGTGTTGACATCTCTCCACTTTCCCACTCACCCTAATCCCGCTAAGGTTGCGCAACTTCCAAACGGGGAATAGCATTGTTTATCAAACAATCTCGTAAGATGCCATTTTTACGGCGGCTGAAAACCTAGCGTCCTTCTACTGCCAATCTGACACAGTACTAGTAGTATGTTCGCCAATCGGACTCAGAAAGTAATCATGCGATATCTTGAAATCATTGGACCATGCTTTATTGCTGTCCTGAATTCGGCCCCAGCTATGGAGTTCCCGTCTGTTCTTGGCGAAAGCAATAAACTACTTATGCCGTACCAAGCTCCTATCGGGGTTAGATGAACCGTGAGACTAGAGGCGAATTCTGAGATAGTGCATTATCGACAAACAAGGATTCATGGCTCTACAGACATTAGGACTGTATCCTGATTCCTCCCGACACCATGCTATAAAGCATGGGGCCCCTCGCCTCATATCGGACTTGTAAAATGTCAGTTGTCTGCTCTAAACTACGATCTGGACCCAATTGTGAATTATGAATACTCCACCGTGTGACGGACAGTCTGACTGTCAAAAAACACCCGAACCTTCTCCTGCTACGAATAATTCAAAGCTTCTCAAGCGTGGTCGACCTCGGATAGAACGTGCTGGCGAAACAGCGGGTGAGGTAAGTTATTGTGAACGCTTGTCTGTTAGGACTATGGCTGATTCTCCTCAAGAGACGAAAAGAACAGATCCGACTTGCACAACGAGCCTACCGGTTTCGCAAGGATCTCAGAATTTCAGAACTAGACCAGAAAGTTGCCGAGCTTGAACAAACCGTTCTCGCAATCCGTGACCTCTATCTCAGCGTGCACACGTCTGTCGTCGACTCGGGGATTGCCGTGTCGCACCCATTTCTCGTGCAGTCGATGCAAACGAATCTGCAACTCCTGCTCTCACTCACGCAGTCGGTTTCGTCGAGAGGCGCTGAAGATCAGCCTTCGTCCACATATCACAGCACAGACGGTTCATGGGACGAACACTTTCTGGGGCGCAAACCACCTCTCCCGTCTCCTCCCCTGTCGAGCCAACATCCTACGTCTGGGTCCGAACCGTTGAGACTATCTTTTGACAGCGCCTGTACAAGTCCTGGGGAGGCGCCCGATGTTTCGCCGGACCAATTCGCCCTTGACCCGCTTCTGCTCTGCGATGATTACTTCTGGGAGCAACCCAGCATGGACATGAATAATGATGAGATATCCCTTGGTCATTTGACTTCACACGAATTCCCTTCGACTCAAACTTGATTTTGTTCTCCTAGCCACTGCGCCAGTGAAATATGAAACGCTTTATCAAGTAAAACCAGTACAGAATATCTTCAACATTCATAATTCCTTGGGCCAGCAGAAAGAATAACCGAGTATCTCACATCGTCAAACATGCCATTACCTCCTCCCTTGCGCCTCGCCTTTACATGTTCATGCTCAGTGTTGGGTTGACGTAGAGCCCAGATAGCGGATCTCTTCATTTCTCTATTTCAGTAAGTCCAGCCAGTGCTATATTCCAGGCCTCTTCCCAATCTTTCTCACGAGTTGGATCATAGAAAAACCGTTGCAATATTCGCCGTATGTCGTTCCAGTTACTTGCCGGGTATCTTTGCTGAATTGACCTCCTGAGCAGTTGCCGCTGCTTCTCCCTGGAGATGAGCTGCCTGTTCTGTGGTGTCGCAACGACAGTACACATCCATATTACACACTCAATGAGCACGGGATCGTTCCACACCTCCGCAACGGCTCCTAATGCCTCAGCACGTCGCTGAGGCTTACGAAAAATCAACGCTGCCGGATGAACCCCCATAGCGCTGAGGTCGTCGGCGAGACATGCCAGGGTGACACATATGCATTTCTCAAGGTTATTTAAGTCGCAGGACATGGTGCATCGCCACGTTTGTCGGACTGCTGGCTCGCTTTCCTTACTTCTCGTAAGCCAGTATGAAAAATCCCTGACAATTCCAATCGCCTCTTCTGACAGATAGCGGTAACGGACCAGGTCGCGAAAGCCCGGCGGTAGATCCTGAGCTACCTCCCCCAACACCGGCAGAGGATAAGTCAGCTCCCCGTTGGCAAGCGCATTTGGGCTATTTATGATCGCTGTGTGGACGTGAAACTCGACCATACTCTGGGTTACAAGCAGACTCATGCGAAGGTTCCTTCCGAAAGCATTCTCGTCGGAGTTTCCGACGGCATCGAACCCTCCACGGAGCTTGACCACCTCTCGCATCCCATTCAGATGGACAGGACCAAACTCATAATGGCCAAGATAGTCGTCTACCGGGATCAGCAGAGCCATGCCCTGTATCAAGACGTCGTCCACTTGCTGCCGGGACAGGCGGTGATGCAGATCCAGCAAGACCTTATTCCGATGAAACATGATGGCTCGACTGCTGTTGCCGGTAACATCCTGACATTCCAGGCTACACAGGGTAAATGCTGACAATCCATGCAGAATCAGATCGTGCTTCGAGGCCCACGAGAGGAGTCCGCGGCCAAATGATCTCGTGCCCACGTCTCCCAGTCCAAGAGCCTTTGCGTCGTGAGGGAGAAGGATGTCGAAATCTGGACGATATCAATACTGGTGCCCTGGAATCTGAACAGGACGGGTAATTACTCACAGTAGCTCAGAGCACGCGCAGTCAAAGGGCMTCTGGACGCGAATCCCCTGAAGGGGTAGAACTTGCCGGCCCCAACAGGTGTGGAAACAACGATCGCTTGTGTCAACGGCTTCCTTTGTGCCTGACCATCATCTTCCTGAGATTCGTTCCGTCGGTCAATTGTTGTCTCTTTTGGATCAGGACGATCCGGAATCTGAAGCCACTGCAGTGTCCCCTGCCTCGCTTGGTGCTCAGGCTCTTCTCCCCTTTGCCTGCGCCGTCTGGTGCTTGCCTCTGTCGCCACGAATGCATTGATTGCTCGTCGTGTGTTGGTGTCTTTCTTCTTTGAGGGTCCGCGATAGGGGATGAACATGATGAGTTGGACTTTGGACGGTCACGGTCGCATTATCACGGTGCTTGGCAGGTGCACATGGGCAATATTCACGAGTCTCCCTGTTGCCTTATATCTGTTTTGAGCATTAGCCGTTCAGCGATCTCAATTCCTGGCCAACAGTCAGCGATCGTCGAAGTTTCTCGTCGGGCATGATTATGAATCTGTTTGCGTGGCAGTTTTTCCTCGGCTGCTATTTTCTGGTGTGGCGCTTAGTCTCCCACACTAACCCAAATGACACTTCTACCATCATCATCAATATGACAATCTCCAGTTGCACCGATTGACCGTTTTCATGATACAGGATGTGGATATACTCAATGTGGCGCCATTTCTGGAAAGATCCCCAGCTGTCTGAATTGTCTGCCAAGGAGTGTTCCGTTTGCCGGCAAATCCGATGGCTTGCAGATCGCCGTGTCGCCACTCAATGCCTCCCTGCAACCGATTACCAATCTGGTACATTTATGGGAATAACCAGTATCATATTAGATGTGATCAATAATCATTATGGTTCTTCATGCTTCGGTCTTTGATTCATTATCATCGGCCTTTGCTTGAGAATATCTCAGCTGCGCGTCTTCGGATCTGCGTCAATATAACAAGATCCCGGAACAGACACCTTGATTTCAAATGGTCAACACTAAAATAAACAAAGTAGTCAATGCTGGCAATATATACTGTTAGTCCCACGATCAAACAAGATCAGCAAAAGCATCAGTCATTCAATTGATCAAATTTGTCAGCATCAATGGAAGGTATCACAGTTATACAGAGAAGTGCAAAACGAGCTTCACCATCTTGCACTCTTTGATTAACTCAGGACCTACCCTCGAGATGCTGGGCCTGAAATTGAGGGCAGCCTAGAGATATATGCGCTTTACTAAATGCAGTCAGTTCAGGCTAATAGTTAAGCTAACATTTATTTAGATGTTCCACCACTTTCTCCAGACCAGGTAAACACTATTAGAGCACGAGCTATAGGGCATCATTAGAGCAACCTTCCTTTGCGACCCCCAACATGATGTCAATGCTGAGGGTGGGCCTTACAGGAATGCAATGGCTCTTCGGGTTCATCAGAATTGAGAACCCAAACTTATCAGGATTGGCTACTAGAATACAGCTACTGGAATTCGCCTAATTTACCGTCCGAAACCATCGATTCTCGGACCTGGAAATCTCTAACCGAGAAGCTGGCGTGCGAAGGCTTCGGGCCCTCCCACGGGTGGGTCGGTCCGCTATGGACCGGTTACTGTTTTCTAATTGTCGAAGTTTTCCCCCACAGCCACATCAAGACACTATAGCATTAATTCAGGCTAACACAGTTATTTTTCGAGGCTAACACTGTTAAATATGTTACATATTGTAGGTATTGTGAAATCCCACGCGGCCAGATGACTCGGAGGCGGCGGGACGCGCTTTCTATATGGATGCTCCCTCTCATGTCTCAGATGAGGGCAGGGGGTGGATTTGTCAGCCGAAATGCCTGATTTAGCGGTGTCTTAAACTGTCTTAACACATACAAGCCCCTCATTTTTCGAGCCTACAAGATTGAGATCATGAAAGCTATGAGTAACTGACGATGGATAACGCAATCCTGATGGACTCATCTCGTCAGCGGAAGAAAGCGACACCTGCGTGCGAAAAATGCCGGGTCCTCAAGGTGAAATGTGTTCGACCCGGAGGGGGACAGACTTGTACTAAGTGCGCGTCACATCCCTGACCGTATACTTCATCTCAGGCTAATTTGAGTAGATGTGCCAGATCAAACTCTCAATGCGTATTTCCAGAGCCGAGACAGCGGGCTCGAGTTTCACAACGAGCAAAACCGTAAGTGACCCTAGAGGGCTCTCCAGTCAACAGGTCAGTTTTGCTGATAGGGAGGGGATGAAGGCGACTGGTCGATCTTGAGTCCAAGCTCACCAATATCATCGGTCTTCTTTCGCGCTCGAGCGCTCCCCTTTGTGGAGTCCACCCCCCGGTTGATACCGATTTTGGACCGCCTGCAATTCCCGAATATTCTAGTGACAGGCCACACCAAACAGCTGAATGGATGAGCCAAGAGTACCAGCCTAATTCTGAAGTGGGCGAAGGCCTGGAGTCAAGCGAAAACCAGGATACTACTGGAAATACCCTAGAAAATCCGTGGGGCTCATCCAATGCCATGGACACCACGTGGGTCACCGACTTGGGACTCAGTCCTGTCGTCCTCGAGCATCTTCTAGACAAGTTCCGCGGCATGGCGTGTTACTTTCCATTCGTGCGGCTTCCATACACCTGTACTGCTGCATCAATGGCTGAAGATCGCCCCTTCCTATTGCTTGCAGCTGTTGCTGCTGCTTCCTCGAAATACTGTCATCTTCAAGACGCTCTGATAAGACAATTTAAAGAGTCCCTCAGCCAGCGGGTTATCATAGCTGGCGAGAAGGATCTAGACCTGCTACAGGGATTACTGGTCCATCTTGCCTGGTAAGATTTCAGTTCCCACATTACCTTTCTATTTTGTCGGCATCAGGGGCACTAGCAAGCTGACCAATTTCAGGTTCCATTTCCACTTTGTCCCAGGAAGTCAGCAAGCATACCAGTACTCACAAATTGCAATCAGCATGGTCATTGACCTTCGCCTCGATCAAGAGGCTGCCGACCTAGTTGAGCAGCAAACCGAGCTGAGTGATACTTATATCCGGGAAGCATGCCGTGCTTATCTAGGCTGCTATTACATATCTAACATGTAAGATGCCCCACCTGGATAAGCGCTAATGGGCTTGAGCTTACTTCAATAGAATAGCACTGTCTTCGGGGAAGCCCAACAATCTCAAATTTCACAAGGACATGCTTCGATGCGCGATGATGCTGCAGCAACAGGCAGAATTTGAAACTGACCTCTTGATATACCCAATGACGAAGGTGCTACAGTTCACTGAGGAAGTCTGCGAGACTCACCGGTCAGAAGGCATTCATAGCCCTCGGTTGTACATCCATGCTGAACGATTCACGACGTGGTTAGAAGAATGGTGGTCGTCTCTATCGACGGATCTTCGCAATACGGGTAGGAACTTCTCAAGCTCTGGGGGCTTCCCATTAAGCTGACTTGAAATCCCTAGTGTTGCTGATCAACGGCTATTATGCCGCCAAGATTCGGATTCAAGAAATGGGCTTGGTATATTGCTACGGGCAGAGAAGACCTCCATCTCCAGAGGCGCAGGAAGGTTCTACCATCTTATCTGCACATCCAATGGTCATCAGCAACTTGATCAAATGCATCAGCTCTACGAAAGAATATCTCGATTCTTTTTTCGCCCTTCCCGAGGCGGAGCAAAATGACTTGCCATTTTCTGCATGGTGTCAAGTTGTTTTGACTGTCTTTGTGCTGTACAGGTTGTCCGTGGGACTGCCAGAATTACCCCAGTGGAACGTGGAGATTGCACAGCAAACTGTGGACCTACAAGAATACATTGATAAACTGTTGTCTCATTTACAGGCTATTAGGCCATTGCCGAATAGGCAAATACCCACCAAAAGCCTCTTTTCAAGGCTGCCCGAGATCATGGGAAGTGTAAGAACTTCCTATGCATTGGCAAAAGAGAATCCCGCAGAGGTTCGTGATAGCCGCCATGCTCATCACGAGCTTAAGGCTTCTAATAACACACCCTCGTCTGTTCAAGGGCTGCACCGCTGCCCTGCAGTGCGGTATTCGAGCCGCTGTCACGTCGCCCAGGCTCAGGATCTACCCACACTACAAAGCGCTATTACTACGGAAGTACAGAGTATAGAAGATGAGAAGCTTTGGGGTGATCTTTTTTTGATGGATACACTTTCTAGCATGACAGGTTCATCATCTTTAGAGTTTTGACAAGTGATCCATGCTCCAGACCTCACATCCACGAAACCGCAGTTTCAGCATAAAAATACCTCAGATCTCGTCGGGAAAGACATGGGTGGAAATCTTGTTTCCAGTCGAATCGTATCGCTGGGGCAGAACATTGAAAAGTCCGTCAACGTCCCGTGGTTCAAAATCAAGCGACAATCCCGCCTGAATAAGGAGGCCCAGCCCATAAGTCTCTTTGATCCAGTGGGCGATCATATCCATCCCCGCCACAGCTCCACTCCCAGTCCAAATGTTGCCGTCAACAATCCACTTCTTCTCCTTTGTCCACTTGACATTCGGATATCTCTTCTTAATCCAATTGTACTCAAGGTTATTGACTGTGGCCCTCCTGCCGTCTAGAGCGCCGGTGGCTGCAACAACCGCGGCTCCGGTGCAGGTCGTGAAGAGTAACTTTCCAGAGGCAGCATGGCGGCGAATGAGGTCCTGCAATTTCGGAGGAAGCTGTGTTTTGGCAGGGATATCCCCACCGATGAGGAGGATATCCAATTCGGGAACGTCGTCCACCGTAATCGTAGGCACCACTGTTACAGAGCTTGTAAGCAGGTGTACCGGCTCCATGGTCTCTCCGATATGGTGGAAGACGAATTCGGGCGCCTTTGCCAGAAGTTTTGGATCCACGGGGGCGTAGTAATTGATACCCTCCAGGAGCATCTTACTCGCGGAATTGAGCAGATCGCATGGTCCAATGACGTCGATCGTCTGGTAATCGAAGAGCGGGCAGCCAACGTGGATAGGAGCCATCTTGGTAGGAGTCCTTTTGGTAGGAGTATTGAAGGATGAGTATCAAATGAAGTTTGTTTCTTGGTTGATAGTTAATACTGTTGGTCGTGTTTCCTAGCGCTTAAATACTACCATTTTTTGGATGCCATAATCGCGGAGCGGGCCGTTTCAAGGATCCCGTCCTCCGTGGTCGACATTCTTGGCACGGGCGACGAGATAAACTCATGAACCGTGTCCGTGGTTTCTCCGTTTTAAATGCATAGCGGTGGGGCTCAAAATAAATGAAAGAGTGCAAATTGATGAAGCTGGTTTTGCACTTCTCTGTAGCCAACCCACGTCCATAGATACACATGCAACAAACTCGGACAAATGGCGCATATCCTAGTCTGCATCACCAGAGCACCGCATACATAAATTGATATCACATTCAAGGTCTCCAGTCGATTGTGCAGCCAATTCCTGAAGATCCTTCGACCTTTTTTTCAAGTCCATAATTACCACTTCTTTTGAAAGATTTATTAAAGGATGACGTTCAAACTGGAGTATGTCCCATCCAGAGCGCTCAATCATGCTCCTTCTCCAGCTCGTCTCCATTTTTGCACAGAAAAGCATAACATCCCACAGCACGCTGATGGAATTACCGCCATATCGAGTCCGATACAGCTCCATCAGATCCGGTAGCAACGACCTGGTCGGCGGTCCATAAAAGTCGTATTCCCCGTAGAGGTCATGATCATACAGGACATCCTCCATGCTATAAGGGACCTTGAAGTACCATTGAATCTCGTACGACATTCCAAAATACTCGGAATTAGGGTACTCCTTCCCTTTCTCCGCCTCATATAGCCGAGGGTACAGCACTCTGTCCACAAGCTCACCTGACAGGTGGCGGCCGAACGTGACAGTGACATTGCGGCACTCGCCAAGAAGCTTGAATATCTTCTCAATTGTAGGACTGATGAGCTCGACCCATTCACGTGTCGGCGACAGCCCGACTCTGGTCCAGTCCCAAGGCTGGTAACGATCCTCACCACTTAGACCGGTCAACCATCTTTCACCTACGTGTCCATCTTCCAGTACTGGAGCCCATTCCAGGCAATCATAGTATATCGAGAGCTTTCTGACATTTTTCCGATTTTGCGGACCGATCATCACAAGCCACTTGTATATCGTCTGCCAGTCTTTCTCCCCGAGCTCTATAGAGGCCTTAAATATACTGTGGGTGTAGAATATATGCACAGCTTCCAGGTAGATTTGCTTGTTGGTGAGGAACAATTGCATAAGGGAATATATGTAAGGAGCTGCGGGGCGGAGAGCTCTTGTCTCTGTGCTATCCTGCCTGTCTTCTGAGTTATTCTTCTCAGGTCCTCTTTGTCCACGGCATATATGCCTATAACGATTTTCCCCCAAAAGGAGCTTGTAGATCTGGATACGTAACTCCGGCGGGAGATCCAGGAAGCTAATGGGTTTATCGATCCCCATGATGCGACTTACTTGACTTTCAGGCCGTACGGAAGACAAAAGGTATAAGAGGACTGTGTTGGATTGTTGCTGTAAACTACAAAAAAAAGTTCTGGTGGTAGTAGAGCATCGAGTCGGTTCGTATTTATTACGACATCTTACCAGAGATTGCACATGGCCTTAACCGGCGTCGGACAAGCGATTCTGGCTTAGTAGAGAAAGCTTACCAAGGACAAGATTTGGTCTTGATACGGATTCTCAAGCACGAATTATGCCTGCTCAGCAACAAAGCCCTGTTGAGTGGAGTCGTTTAGACTAGATGCTCAATCTCTATTTTACATACTTTAGGTTGAGCCCGAATTTTGAATGCGTGCAATTAAGTTATTGGTGACTTATGACGGACCTCGTTGTCCATTCCAGTACATCATAAACAGCAGCAATAACTTTTTTTCTTGTGAAGCGAGGACCTATGAATTCCCTCTTGTGGTTAGTTTTGCCGTTTTGGTTATGGTCTCTCGATACGCCGTCTTGTAAACACCGCGCGCATCGTGACCTCCAGTATATAAGAACCGTCCCCTCGCTGTTCTAACCATCTTACTCTCCCAACTTCTTCTTTCCCCCACTATCCCCCCAAATAATCTACACCCTTCCGGTCGCTGCCGTCGTTTCATCTGCCCGGATGGCTATCACCAACCCCCCTCATTTTTTCCCATCGGAAATTGCGGCTGCGCCTCCCCCTCTCGTCTTGTTTCCACTTCATTTCTGAGGGCTTTGTGCCAGACTAATAGCGCAAACCATCAAAATCCTTGGAGAAGGAAGGAGGTATCGTGTGGGCCACCATTTTACAACATGGGCGTTCAATTACAGAGTAGAGCTCGGTCGATCAATCAGGTCACATCGTGACTTTAAGGTTATTCAGCTCACCTTTTTCGAATATCCCCACTATCCTCTTCGGAAAGGTACCATTGGAACTCTCCGAAAATTCAGCCCACTGAGCTACTGGGATACGCCCCAAGTTTATGGCCTGTCGAAAGTGACCTCCCTTTGGTATTACTGTGTCGCGCAAGTCCGAACATAAGTGAGGGTTAACATTATGCTCAGTTACATACACCTGCCATTTATACAGAGCTTTCTGCAATGAGACGCCGGGTCCTTACGCTCTCTTGGTGTTCACAATGTCAAAGTCATTGACCAGGGAAAACACACCTATGTAACACCGGCACAAGTTATGGTCAGGTTACGCCGAAACCATTCGGAGCGCTGGTTTTGTATCGCGGATAGGGCCATCACCGAGCTGCAACGGAAGCAAGGTGTAGCTTCCGAAGTGTTATAATGACCATTATAAGTAATAGATATGTAGTCGGCCATGTTGCCTTATGCAATACAAAAGTACACGTAACTATGCAGTGCAACCTATAGTGCAGATTTGAATAGGTTTAATTCAGGCTGTATCTCAATCAGCTGATATATGCTACTGAACAATTCGATTTCAATTCTTGTGAGGGTGATAGATATAGGAATATAGGAAACAAGTTAGGAAACATAAATCTGTTTGAACATGTATTGAACTTGTGACCATCCCCTTTCCCCTCCCTAACCCCCCCTCCATATTAACAAGGTTTGTAACAATCGTCTCTTCAGAAGCAGCTAAATGTGTCACTGTCGGATGCCTTCATAGTCAAGAAAATAACTCGTGCACTGCCTTCATGTGAGCAGTGTTGTAGTGCGGATTTAGCACATAGCCATGGAAAGTAGCAAACCGCTCACTACAACTCCAGCTAATCCCCCAAAGGAAGTAGGGCCTACCATTCCAGCTGCTGCACTTTTAGATGCAGATGCGGATGCAGACGCAGTGGCTGCTGAAACCGTGGAAGCCGTCGTAGAGTTACTTCCGCCATTGTCCTTGAGGGTAGCTTGGCCGAAGTTAATTCCGAAGTGTTCACACCAAAGACCAACAGTGCTGAAGTCCGCAGTCGTTTTTCCCGCATCCAGCTTGATAGTCATGTCGGTGGGCTTCGTCGTAGCCATCGTGATATGGTCGTTTGAAATGCGGAATCCGTCCTTCAGCACCCCATCCGTTGTTCCCCACCAGTATAGGGCCGGTGCTGAGGCATCTTGAAGCTCGTAGTTGCTAATCATGAGAGTAGTCGAGTCGACGACAGTCACGGTGCCTTGGAGACCTCCAGAGAGAGAAGACAGTGTCCCCGAATACCCCATCTTGTTATTTCCCTGGCCTAAGGCACTTGAGATGAGGCCAGCGACAAGGAAAGTTAAGGACAAGGAAGGCATAATGATAGGCAGGACAACGATGGTCTGTAAAGGAAAGCGTCTTGGCCAATTTCAAAAAAAAAAACAAGTCTCGACTGATTTAGAGATTAAAGGGAACAACCGACTGGACGATGAGAAGGTTGCCTATTTATATAATTCATAGTTGAATTCTTATTCCTAAGAGGATGTAAGACAGTGAGCTGCCTACTAGAGTATTCCTACCGGAACACCAACGTAATTATTCACTATACCGTATTTGGAAGCGAGTGATTCCATAATCATTGATTGACCATTCATGCGCTGGGGATACTGCGGATTACGGGATGATCCACTAATTAGACCTGGGAAACTATGATTCCATAATCATTGATTGGCCATTCATGCGCTGGGGATACTGCGGATTACGGGATGATCCACTAATTAGACCTGGGGAACCATGATTCCATAATCCTCAACTACTCTAATTAGTTAGTTTAGGTAGCTATCTTCTACTTGGAAAATCGTCATCCTTTTACCATTCTTGAAGTAGTTTACATTTTGATCAGGCTATCCCTCACCATTCGCGGATACCGAGTGTTGAAGGAAATTGAATTCGGTCCATATCAAGTCAACATTTTTGTGGCTTTGATCACCCTACCCGGAAACCAACGGTATTCATTTGTCTCCATTTATAAGGTCTCTAAAACTGTTCAATAAAAGATGAGCGTTGATCCTGTGGATATTTGCGCGGCATTTAATTTGGAGCAAATGTTCCCACTCACCAAAATTAGAGGAAAACAAGAGCTACTTCTAAATTTGTGATGAGGGTCACGGCAACAGTGTATCCAATGCTTTTCTATATAATAGAACTTGATATTTCTATTGTCCCTGTCTTCCTGATCGTGGGCCGAAATATCCTGTACATCAGAGAAAACTAAGAATATCATGGAACCACTCATCAGTGATCAATATAGAACCGCCCAGGGGTACTTTTTGTCCGTCCTGGGTCTGGTACTTGTTGATTCTCTGGTTCGTGTCCCTCATTATCTGATCTCCATGATAAATCAAGGTATGCTATCCTGTTTTTTGCTCCGGTGTTTGCTTATTTGGCGTTCAGCTCGTGGTCGTCGTTATCTGAAACATTCGTCGCCTCGTTTCACGGTGTATATCCTAGCCCACAAACTTTTGTTGCATCCTTTGCCTTTCCCATCTTTCGTCACACGTCACTCTCTTCCCGATCTGCTCCGGATGGCTATATTTTTTGGTCTTAATATTATCTTCGCCTGGAACCGTGTGCAGTATTCAGGCGACTTCAACCAGTATGGCTATCTTACGATCGCTAATGGAGGTCTTGCGCTTCTATTCGGTTCTCGCAACAATCTCCTTTCACTTGTGGCCAGAGTTCCCTCGACAACTCTGCTCATGTTCCATCGCTGGGTGGGAAGAGCCGCCGTGTTCTATGCCAGTCTTCACTTGTATGGCGAAAGTCGTGACTGGATCAGGGAAGGGGAAGTTTCCACTGTTTTCGCCAACACGCGTATCCAAGTGGGTTTAATGGCATGGCTGTCCTTGGCACTTATCTTCGTGACATCGCTCAGCATTATGCGACGACAACAATTTGAAGTCTTTTACTATGCTCATGCTCTGTTCATTGCGTTCATTATCGGAGCTCTGATTCATGCAGATCACGCACCGGAATTTCTGCTCCCTGGGCTGTGCCTGTGGGCATTGGACCGTGTGATTCGATTCTCACGCAATTTCCGCCGAATTCAAATCCTCTCTGTCACTCCATACGCCGGGGGCGTCATGAAGATCAAGATCCGTGGGTTCAAAACGTCTTATCCTGGTCAAATAGCCTGGATCCAGATTTCGGAAGTGTCGTTCCTTAATTGGCACCCATTTACAGTTGCCTCTGCTCCTGGCGATGATGAGGCAATGTTTCTCATTAGGGGGCTTGGAGGTTACACCAGACGGGTCCACGACCTGGCGAAGAAAAACAATTTTGAACAAGCTTCAATCGCTGAGGCTCCCTTTCCATGGAAGATCCGTGTTGATGGCCCTTACGGGGTCTCTCACACGCAGTGGGAGGCCTATCCTGTCATAGTTCTCGTGGCTGGCGGAGTTGGTATCACACCAGGAATTAGCATTGCTTCCCATATCCTCCGACACGCGACTGGAACAGGCGAAAACATTGAAGGGGGGCAGCCCTGGCATGTGCATCTTTTGTGGGTCATCAAGGACGAACAGCATGTGAATTGGTGCCAGGAGGAATTACAACATTTGTTTGCAATGTCTGCGTCCCCCACTGTTCAAGCCACTTTTGATTTGACGATTGCAATCACTGGAAGCGCAAGGTTGGAACCACGTGGAGCAAACGACGAGGAATTTATTGCTCTTGAGGGTCAAACTAGCCACAATTACGACGGTCCTGGAGAACTGATCAGAGGCCGGCCTAATATTGTTCAGTGGTTCAGGGCTCTCAGGTCGAAACGAGATGGGCTTGATGGAGCAGTCAATGTTTGTGGGCCTAGGTCACTGATCAGCATGGTTCGAACAGCAGCTGCAGAGTTAAGTGGACGAGGAGGCATTTTCCATTTGGAAGAAGAGGTGTTTGAGTTCTAAACCTTTTGTGTGGATTTGAAGTAACCTGCAAACTCTGGAACATCAAAAGTATATTTTGAGTCCTTGTAAACGCCCCCATACACCTGTTCCTTCAATATGTAGGCTAATACTGGGCACATGTCGACAGTTCCCCAAGAGAAAACATCGATGGTGTTTGTTTGCTCACTACATGTGTGGAGGAGTGGTTTAGAATACGAATTGAGAGAAAGAGAGATCCAGATGAGTAATTCCCCTCGCCAATGATAATAACGCCGCAGAGCTTCAAAATTGTCCCTTAAGTGCACGGTAACCCCACATTATGGAGCACACATTGGCCAGTATCCGTGAGTGAGGGTGACCGCAGTGAGGGTGAGCCTTAGTCACGGATACAAAGCTTCTCATAAAGATCTTGGCATGAAATCCACTGGCTAGTGCTAATACTAAGGATAACCTAAAGTGAAGCTAGTGCATGCTTAATAACCACCTTATACTAACGTAATCCACAAGCGAGCGGCCATTCCAATCGAGCGGCCACCCTCTTTAGATTTGACCGCGTCTCATTATTTTAAATTAATTAGCACGTCACCATGCCTCCAAACTTGCATAAAAAATCAAGGGAATTAGCTGAGCAGGAGGGAAGGATTCTCCTTACAATATCTGCCCTTAAGAATAATCAAATTTGTAATATTTCCGAAGCTGCACATGTTTATAATGTCCCCCGCATAACTCTTCAACGACGCCTAGATGGCCATATCTTTTGACCTGAGGCATGTGTAAACAGGCATAAAATGACTCAGAATGAAGAGGAATCACTTATTAGGTGGATATTATCTATAGATTAACATAGAGCAGCTCCTCGGCTATCTCATGTTTAAGAAATGGCTAATATCCTCCTCTCAAAGCATGGATTACCTGTTTCCTAGACTGTGGGTAAGAACTAGGTATATAACTTTATTAGTCAGCATAAAGAGATTAAGACTTAGTACTCTAGGCGCTATAATTACTAGTATGCTAAATGTAAAGATCTAAAGGTTATCCAAGAGTGGTTTAACCATGTCTAGATTACTATAATGCAGCATGGAATTACACCTAAAGATATCTATAACTTTGATGAGACTAGCTTTACCATGGGCTTAGTAGCTACTACTAAGGTAGTTATAAGAGCTGAGATGCTTAGTCAGCCCTTTCTTATCTAGCTAGGGAACTGCGAATGGGTTACATCTATAGAGTATATTAACTCTACTGGCTAGGTGCTTCCACCATGCATTATCTTTAAGGGAAAGGTCTATATTAAGGGCTGGTATTAAGATACAGCCTTACCAGCAGACTGGCAGATTAAGGTTAGTAAGAATAGATAGATAACTGATCAGATTGGATTACAATGGCTTTAAAGAGTCTTTATTCCTGCTACTAGTCATATAACTGGTAGATATTGACTCTTGATTCTTGATAGCTATAGGAGCCATCTAACACCTTAGTTTAATTAAATCTGCACTGAGAATAATATTATTCTAATCTATATGCCTGTATATTTATCACACCTCCTTCAACCTTTAGATGTTGGCTATTTCTCTCCACTAAAATGCGCATATAGCCGCTTGATTAAGAATAAGATGCGATCTAGTTTCAACCATATTGATAAGTTTAACTTCCTTAAGGCCTATCTGCAGGCTTGTACAGCAATCTTTTCAGCAGATAATATTAAAAGTGGCTTTTCTGTAACTAGATTAATACCACTAAATCCAGATCAGGTGCTCAGTCAGCTTAATATCCAGCTTAAGACCCCTACACCACCAGGCAGCTAATCAACTAATTCCATCCTAAAAACACCCTATAATCTTAAGCAGCTGAAAAAGTAGGAAAATATACTTAAGAAGCTACTCAGAGAGCACATATATAGTCCTCCTACCCCTTCTAAGGCTGCACTAGATCAGCTTATCAAGGGGTGTGAGATGGCAATAAATAGTGCTATCCTTCTTACAAAGGAAAACCATGATCTACATGCCACACATGAGAAGCAGCTTCAAAATAAGAAGCAATCTAGGAGGTAGATAGAATCTGCAGAGGGATTCTCTATCCAGGAAGGGCAGCAGTTCATTCAACAGAGGAATCAGGCTGAGGAAGCTATCCAGGCAGTAGATGCAGAACAACGCCCTCAACAGGCACCCCCGCGCTGCAGTGACTGTCATATTATAGGCCATAAGCAATTACAATGTCCGCAGCGCAAGAATAACTAGTTTTAGTAATATAATCATGTTTTAGGTGTTTAAATACCCTCTAATTTCGGTCGCGGCCAAAATTCTATGGTTTAGTGGCCGCTCGATTGGAATGGCCGCTCGCTTGTGGATTACGTTAAGGGATTAAGTCCACTACCTGCAAAGCTCATTAATTAACACATCAAAAGTTAGTCAAAGAATGTATATCAAGCTAAGTGAGTACTATATTTATTATCTCCAGAGGGAGCTGCTCCAGCGCTCCAAGTATATATTTTAATATAGGGAGATGTCGTCCATTATCTAGACACCCAAAATTTCAAATTTCATCTAAAGTGCAGTCTCTCAGACCAGTATATTCACATCTTAAGTCGCCCACATAGAGTAGGATTATCATACTTACTGAACATGTTTACTAGATGTTAACTTCACCCGCCTGTTTTTCGCAGTGGACTAGTGAATCTCTCCTTACTGCAGACAACGATGTGATGAAGTGATTGATACATTGTTGGCATCATTGGATGTGGCGGAAAGCAACGGCCGCCGCAGCTTATGTCTCTCCTGAGTAAGCAAACAGGTGATACAAACACGCCAAGACAGAAGTCCAATCAAGACCTGGCGTCTCACTCCTTCTGCTTCGCGTGGTCCTGTTCTGATCCTCTCAATTCAAAATGCTATATTTCTTAACCTCAATGCAGTATAAGTATACTCATAAGAGGAAAAGCATATATTTCTTTAATTTAACCACAATCCACCGAAATCTATACTTTTATATGGGCGCAAACAAAGCCCAGGGAGTGAAATAATAATCGGAGATGCCAAGAGCTTTCATGTACATACCTTCCAAACGGGGAAGGAAAAATATGAGGACATGACCGCATCGTTCAAGACCAAAAAAATAAAAGATATAAAAGAAACAATAGGGGTTGGAGAAAGAAGGGATCGCTGTCTATACCGGTGGGGTATATGACCAAAGATCCAGTGGTGCGATAGACATTTTACATCATTCCTTCTCACTGGTTATTGTTCGTTCGATGAGGGACAGTCATAAATGTCATTGATTAAAGACTCGCTCTCTGAGTGTCCGTGTTCGAGATCTGAAATATGTTTGCGATTATGAATCAGCCAAAGCTTGTTTGTTTCGTGCCAGAGGACCTCACCGGTCCTCATCCCACCGACAATTATGATTTGAGCCTGTATTTGCAAAAGAGATGCAACGCTCAATAATGAACCGTATGGGCCCTCACGATTCAATGACGGGCGGTGGTGGCCTGGATTATGTGACGGACGATCCCCCAGGTGAAACCAGGACGAGGATTGAATGCGGGGTACAACGTGCATCCGTTGTGCTTCGGGAATATCCGAACGGCTGCGATCTAGACAGTAGGAGCCAAGAGATCAGAAACTTAGTACGATCGCAGAACCCGTCCCGCCAGATATGGAGGGATGAGAGTTGGGCGTTGGACACCATAGAGTAATCGTGCGTACCAGACAGTGGAAATGCTGCTCCTTCGGCTCGGTTCCACAACTGACGGAACTTGTGGCGGCGGAGGACGAATCGTATACCAGGAATACAGGCGATGAAGAGAGCTATCAAACCAATAATGGCTTCTGCTGACATTGTCATTCTGGAAGGAATTAGGAAACGGAGATCATGTTGACAATAAGGAATTAATCATCGAAAAGCAGGAGGCATTTGTTCGGGGGAACATCTGTTTTTAGTCTACATGTATTGTTGCACAGGCAGTGGGATGGCTAAGGTAGTACCTGTCACCACCGCACGTCTACCAGGACTGTTATTGGACCCATAGGCACCGGGCAGGAAAGAAATGGAGGAACGGACGTCGTACCCTAGTAGCACCAGGGAATTAGACAAGTGAGGCCCTGCAACGCGGTATCCGAGGCAAGTCCCTATCGAGGTTCTTAAACCCGCCGTTTGATTGGCTGCGGGATAGGATTGCAGGTGGTGGGAAGCACCGAAGGGAACGAGGAGCACGAAGCGTATGAGTAAAAGGGATAGAAGGGAAAGAGAAAGAGGAGGAGGACAGGGCGAGAGTAATTGAGGAATGAATGAAGAATTCACTGGCGAGATCGATGAAGGGCCCATCGTAGAGATATATAGGTGTTGTAAATTAGGTATGGACTATGGACTATGGACTATGGATAATATTCACTCCTAGTTGATACGTCAAGGGCCACTATTATTTTATTTTATGTTTTCAATTAATTTCCCCTCCAGATCTGGGAAGGGTACAACAGGATCTCAAATTAAAATTCTTTTTTAGAGGGAAAAAAAAATCTATAAAATAAAATAAGACGTACAGAAAATAATAATAATAGTAAAGGAGAATTAACAATACTTAAAAGCAAAGAGGAAGAATAAAATAAAATAAAATGATAAGAGACTAGCCCAGAAAGTCAGATCATTAGGGAGAGCTTCTGTGTTTAGTGGCTGTCCCCGTTACCTTGTCCCGGGGGACAGGTACGCGACGCAGTGAATTCGCTTCCTCAGGGTTTTACCTACTTGCACTTCCAGTACGGAGTACTAGACTACCTTGTGTACTTACTGACTTGCTCCGTCCCAACGTTCTCTGGCTCTGAAACTCAGAGAATCTGAAGGCTATTAAAATTCGAATAAGGACAATATCATGTGAAGCTGCCTATTCCTGGCTGACTTTATTCAAATTTACTGGTTGCTGTTCTCGAAACATTGCTAATAGTGTTTTTTCCTTATTTATTAAGGTCCCGTCCACCTAACCCAACTCTCTTCTCTTTGTTGGAGCCATCCAACCTGCTGACAGCAAGTGACTGTACTTTTTAGCTCCTTGTTGCATTAGGTCCGTCTGTTGCATTAGCTCCTTCTGTTGACTCAAATTTCCCCAGACGATAAACGGTGGACGGGAGAAATATCCGATATCGTTGTGTTACCTAGTCAATTATTGAATATTCTCTTCTATGAAATGGAACTCACAATCATCAAACTGTCCAGCCAATGAGCCACAAGCGGTAGTCAAAGTTCCATCTATACCAGTATTTTGGATATTGGACTCCATAGCCCGCCGCCCTTTCCCCTCGACGATCCAAAAGGGCGTTGGGCTGTTAGGACAACCTTGGCTCATCTTAGGATGCGTTTAACGTATATTTCTAAGTTTTACCACGACAACAAAGATGCTGAGGAAAAAAAGATATGTGTTGTCAATTATACAAGACAGAAGCCGTAGCTACGCTAACGATGGGGACGAGCATTTCCACCGTGTCTGACTTCTCCACCGTCCATTGCGAGGCTCATCCAGCCACATCTCTAGACTATCCAATAAGAGGGTACTGGTATCAGGACGATCCCTCAGAATGGGGCTGAGTGGTACATGCCAAACTTTCATCATAGCGAAAGACATTTTGTCACCTTGGGACAGATGACAGCCTGGTATTCGAACTCTGACCATAACGGAGGCTAGTGGTACAAGAAGCAAGACGGGTAGTTCGATGAAGTGGGTCCAACGTAGAGATATATCTATGTACTACGGATATTATTTCACTCTTAACTATGATTCTAACTCAACCATTGGATGGAAATTTCACCGCCTCCTACACTTCAAGCTACAGCTGGTTGCCAATAACGTCGCAAGTCACAACCTTCGGAGTCTGACATATAGTTATGTACCTACCAACGCCATGATCTGTAGAAAAGTAAGGGACGAGACGGCTGGCTTAGATGCCTGGCAAGAAATATTCTGGTACCTTATCAATACTTTGTAATGGCGAGAAGACATCTGAATTTACTTAGAAAGAAAGAGGTAAAAAGCGACTATCTCCTTTCGTTTTATTAGATGAGGTTTTTCTTTACTCTTTACCGGATTTATTACAGTCATGAAGCTCCCTATTTAGGAAAGGCAGCAGCCTCAATCATAATGGTATTGCATTTACAGGAAAAGAGTGGATGCTCTCATTTAATTTAGACGAATGGTGACTATTTCGTCAGACCCACACGACACTAGATGAGGACCACTGGACCTTTACCGAACGGGGGGACCAATCAAACTTCACGGCGACATGACTACAAACCTACACGCCGCGATATTTACCCACTCCACTCCGCCAAAAGTATGCTGTTGAGCACCGTGATATTGTAGATCTGAAGTTATAAGAGATGTCCATTCAGGTTTTGAAATAGTACTCTGTTGAAATCCATGACTGGTTCGTCCTATGTATCGACTATGTAAAAGCTCATTCAACTCTCTCGGGCTTAGTGTTTATATCCTTGTACGGACCATGCTGGGGTAAAAAAGAAATGCCGAAAAACTTTCCGTAAGTTCTCGAAGCTTTTTACGGACCTATTGCGTGCTCGCTGACTGCAAGGTAGTCAATTGGCAGAATCTGTACGCCAATCCTCCAATTCTCTAATCTTCAGCTCTGTCCAGGAGCACGATGGGTGCATTCTAAAATGACAAATCAACATGCATACATGAAAGGAGAAGGATGCTACGCAAAGGGGCCTAACATAAGAGAAGAGAGCTCAAAACCCATGACATCTAAAAAACGAAGACAGTATTGCGCATCATCAGTATCCGTAATCATCCATCATCCCAAATATGCAATCCGATTACTTGCCATAACGCTCCATGCTATCCACATAACACGACCTAGTCCCACATATGAAGCTTTTAGTCCACTCATCCTAGCTGATCGTCTTCGTCTAAGTCGATAATATTCGCCTCCGGACCAGCCAAATGCTGGTTTTCCTCGTCTGAGATGGCAGCCTAGAGTACCGTCAGGATATCTAAATCAGCAAGGACCAAGATTTTGGCCGTATCCAGATCACTTACTCTTCGGATCAGAAGAACTGTAGCTCCAACTCGGGATAGCAGTATCGCAATGTCATGTTCCCGTAACAATGTGCATAAGCGCCCAAGAAGATAGAATGGAGGAGGGATATGACGGGCACGGTGAGAGGGGGAGCCCATTGACTCAGAGCCAGATGGGGATGGACTGTTAAGAACAGCATCGATCTGGTAACGTTCGGGAACAATGTGGCGGGTATGAGTTTCATCTGGGAATCGATAGAAGTTAGAAAGAGAGAACACGTGCATGTAGAAATACACAGAAATACCCCCGGAGTCATGGCTTGAATTAAGGCCTAGGAGCACCACAGAGGTGTGGATAACAAAATTGGGCCTCTCGAGCTGGGAGAGTCCTATCTGTTGAATTCCATTCTGCTGCTGTCGGACCTTCATCAGGTAATAGAAAATGATGGATTTCAAATATGGGATGCACGCAACGAAAAGAGCGACCATCGCGATGATGGCTTCCGGTGACAGTGTCATTGTGGAGGAAACAGATACTTAAATGACCTGTGAATATGTAAAGAAGTTATAGTTGAGTCGGAACTGGGGATGAAGAGAGATCCAGCATCAGGTTTGTACCGCAACCAGGCAGCAAGTGTTATAGTAGCTAGATACTCTTACGGAATACCTGGAGGGACTGGGGCTATATCCAACAGCAAACATATCCGACAGTCTCGGTCATAATGGTATTTTATTTACACGCAAGGAAATGGCAGTGTAGCAGGGATAAGAGCTTGGCTTGTAGCAGATAGGGCGAAATAACAGCAGCAATTTAGAGTCTGCCCAGGCTTTTCCAGAATCTTACATTCCAGAGGCCCTTGCCACTTTCCCAGCCAAAATAAATCCGGTGGATTAGCGGAAGTAAATTGGTCCTGCAGGAAGATAAGATTGGCATCAAGCCGTAAAACCAAATGCTGCTGGAAATTTGGCACGGACGATCTCAAGATATAGCAATCAGAAGCGCAGGTACAGTTTTCCCACGCAGAAGAGGTACGTTCTATAATAATACATCATTGGTGACGTTGAACCGATCCATCACCCATGCTAACTTCCGCGTGCACTGCCTGCTGGTCATAAAGGACAAGAGAGACAGAAGAATATACCTAGTGGTGAACACACCTTAGCTACGGAATACGGAGGCGAGCTCACCTTGCTCATTAATGATGGGAATCAGTTCACTTCTTTTCATTTGGATCACTCTCACAGCTTGTTATTCATGCAGTGTATTCTGATCCGGATGACATATGGATAAGGTCTGCATCTCTAGGACGCAGCATATTCAGCCATAATGGTATTGTATTTACAGGCAAAGAGTGGTGGCCCCAAGGATGTTGGTTTCTTGAGAGATCTAGATATAGTGCAGCAGGGATAAGCATTTTTAAGCGAATCACTTTTTACGTCGCCCTGTTCGGAAATACCATGCAGACTACAGTCGAGCTTGGTAGTGGAACACGAATCTGTGAGGGACACCCATGTCACCAGCTGTTCTATTCTCTGTTACAGGAGATCACAAGAAAAACAGAAACCAACATCTTTGGGGGCACCACTCTTTGCTTGTAAATACAATACCATTATGGCACTTCAACTCTGAATGACTTAAATCCTAAGATCTGGAACTGCCTGATGGCTGAGCAACCGGGTGGCGCGCATTCCCGTTTCTTAGGGGTTTTACCTACTTGCAATCACAGAATACTGTTACTCTCTGCCAATTTCTGCCCTTAGATACTGATACAGTACTAATACAAAGTAGCTAACGACTTCTCGTCATTACTAATTGTACACTCTCAGGTGTGAGAACTGCGGAGACTATTCGACGGCGATGATTCCCAAGTCAATAGACAATCATCATGGAAGTAACAGAAGCGTCCACCCGTGCGGAGGAGCAGAAGACCCTTCTCTGCGTGCCGTACCTCTCCCCTGGAACAAGGGAACGGGACAGCCGCGAAATACAGAAGCTGCGACTAATGACATGACTTTCTCCTGTCTATATTGTTTTCTTTGTCTGGTCGTAATATTTATCAGATTATTTTATTTATTCTATTCTATTGTTCATCTTTGCTTCTAGAATTAACTTTGCTATTATTATTGTATTTCCCCCCCCCCTTTGAAAAGAATTTCAATTTGTGATCATCTTGTATCCTTCCCAAGATTGCCTGCTAGCTGCGGTAATTGGCTGAACTTGAACGCTCTCTGTTCTACCGTCATGTGGGCGGGGAACTGGGACGACGTTGCATTGGCTACAGAGAAAACACGAACCCGCGTGGCCTCGCGGTCCCTGGAGCGTATTGGAGGCTGCTGTCCTAAGTAGACCGGCGCTGATATTAATATGGTTAATATGACTCGTCCATTAAACGGATGAGGTAACGCCAAACCTCACCTGAACCGCCACTGCTTTCCATTGTGATAAGATATCAGGGCCAATTAATCGCTTTTAACACTTTATAACATGCACAACACCAGGAGCAACTCAATTCCAAGGTGACTAGTGTTGGCTTGTTGACTACATGTCCCGGCTCGTATTGGAAACTCAATAGGTGCGTCAGCTAAGTAACGGTCAGACAGGCAGTCCATGGTCCACTGTCGACTACGCATCACTTTTCCATGCATCTTCCTTGTCCTTCCTGTTTCTTTTTTGCGTTAGTATGACCCATGTATTATTCGTAGGTTTAGGACAGAGGCTTAGACAGGCGCTGTGAAACGTGCAGACACTTTCCGATCATCTAGCCACATGAGCAAAGCGGTGAGAACTGATTTCGCACCAAATGCTATCCCTGCTGCCAGTAAACCTTCTTATAACGAGATATTCCAGACAGACTTAAAATTTCTCGCCTTAAGAAGGTATTGAACTCCATTAGGTCCTGGATAGACGTAGAGACCTTAAGGAGATGGAATCCTTTCTGTCAACTAGTTGAATCATGTGACACTCTATCAGCCCTGCCATTTCATGCAAAGGCGATCCGCGGTTTCGTGACATGCTTTGATTGAGCACTCGAAGAACTTTGCATCGGTACAGAGTACTGGAAAACTGATCTGGTATCTGATACTGGTATTCTCGGTTAGGCGGCGAGACTCCCAGGACTGGGCAGTTCTTGCGTAGCATCCCTGGAACTAAATTCAGTGCCATGATTGTTATCTCACTGGATTATCCAAATTCAATTGTTAACTAAGATAGTCGATACAGAAGCAGTAAGTACTCGGTTTAGATGACGTAAAATCAAAATGAAGCAACGCAAGTCTTTCTTTTTTTTTTTTCTCCTCACTTCCCATCCCTTTCCCTGAGAACCATCCAACGTCTATTTCGCATAAACTGTTGAGTAAGCAGCTAGCAAGGTATGGAAATAGGCAAAAAAACAAGTCCGGGTCATATGACTTGTTGTGACGGGCCCCTCGAGAGCGATGAGACCGCTTACTCAACCTATCAGAGTTTCCCTTGGTTGTCAATCGCTCCAAGAGATCCTGAAGCATGCGGATCTGACGATCTTCTTGAGCTGATTTCTCGTGTCTCTTACCCGCTCTTTGTTTGTTGGCGTTGGAGACCTTGAGTCGACGTGACCTTCTGGGTTTAGACTCCAGACTGGATTCAGGGTTTCCGAATCAGCATCACTCTCAGAGCTATCGCTTTCTTGCCAACGTCGACGAGAGGATCGATTTCGATGCCCTCTGTGTCGAGACTTTTCCTTAGCTGGGTTGTATCGGTCTCATAGTCCGAGTCGCTTTCCTCGCTTTCCTCGGCCTCGTCATAAAATTCATCTCCCCAGTCCCGTCACTGTTTTCGTGTCTAAATCTCTACCAGTCTTCTAATAGCAGTTACCACTTAGTCTCCCTGTGTTAAATATCGAATTATTGATACAAGTCCACTAGTCCGATTCGTCAGTTACTCTCTGTTGGAAACCGCCTCTACTCAACCTTTCCTCTGAGGCCCAGCTCGCACTCCGATGGGCGCTGGCAGGATGTGTGTGTCACCATCGCCGTAAATAGCATAAAAGAGCCCAAATGGATTATTGTGTTCTTTCCAGATGTCTTGTCTGAGATTAAAAAAAGCTTCACCTAACGCTTCGCCATTGAGCAAGCGGTCGAAGAAACCCTCCGCCCAGTACTGAGCGAACTCTCCTGGTATTGGATATTCTGCACCAATTACTCCGCGTGCGCCCCTTTTCATGAAATATGGCACGAATGAATCAAATGACAGGAGACATCCTCGCAGACTCACATGCGTTGATAAAAATGAGTGGATGGGATTGATAAATGTCAAAATTAACCCTGTTCAGGTCTTTGAGCGTTATTTTTTGTTGCTTATTTAATCTCAGGAACGAGGCTTCCGAGCCTATCTGGGGATCGAATGACTGTGCACAGTGGCAGTAGAAGTAAGAAATATGATCTTTCGTATTCGGATTTCTCAATTCCTTGAGGACTGCATCACTTTTCCGTGGTGTGAATTTCAATGCTGTTGTCAGATGCTCTTGCTATCCACCAGTTGCGTTGGCGCTCAACATAATCACCGAACTCTTTCTCAGTGGTGAGGTTGGCTCCAACAAACAATTTTGGACTACTACAAATGGTAGAAGTCATCTCACGGAGGATGTCGGGATTTCTCAGAGACTTCTGCTCCAACATATGTCGCATGCCAATAAAATAGTCCCAACTCGGCTTCTCTGTCTCTTTTCTGGCATACAGAATACCCCATGGAATGGGCGCTTTTTCTGCGACGACCTGAATCTTGTATGTTCTGGAGCAGTTGAGCTCTTTGCAAAGATAATCGGCAATTTTGTGAGTGTTGGTATCGGAGCGGTTCGAATAGAAAATTTGTTTGAACAGGTCATGACCAACTTCTGCTAGGAATTTCAAAGCATGTTCCTTGTCCTCTTGCTTGAGGTGAATGGATTTGAAGATTGATATACCATCCCTCTTGAATTCGAAAAGCTCGCTGATGGACTTTGCTGCGGCATTGATCAGCGCGGAGCGGTGAGGGTGAGCCTTAGTCACAGATAATGCCGGCTAACGTAATCCACAAGCGAGCGGCCATTCCAATCGAGCGGCCACTAAACCATAGAATTTTGGCCGCGACCGAAATTAGAGGGTATTTGAACACCTAAAACATGATTATATTACTAAAACTAGTTATTCTTGCGCTGCGGACATTGCAATCACTTATGGCCTATAATATGACAGTCACTGCAGCGTGGGGGTGCCCATTAAGGGCGTTGTTCTGCATCTACTGCCTGGATAGCTTCCTCAGCCTGATTCCTCTGTTGAATGAACTGCTGCCCTTCCTGGATAGAGAATCCCTCTGCAGATTCTATCTGCCTCCTAGATCACTTCTTATTTTAAAGCTACTTCTCATGTGCGGCATATAGATCATGGTTTTCCTTTGCAAGAAGGATAGCACTATTCATTGCCATCTCACACCCCTTGATAAGCTGATCTAGCGCAGCCTTAGAAGGGGTAGGAGGACTATATATGCGCTCTCTAAGTAGCTTCTTAAGCATGTTTTCCTGCTTTTTCAGCTGCTTAAGATTATAGGGTGTTTTTGGGATGGAATTGGTTGATCAGCTGCCTGGTGGTGTAGGGGTCTTAAGCTAGATATTAAGCTGACTAAGCACCCGATCTGGATTCAGTGGTATTAATCCAGTTGCAGAAAAGCCACTTTTGATATTATCTGCTAAAAAGATTACTATACAAGCCTGCAGATAGACCTCAAGGAAGTCAAACTTATCAATATAGTTGAAACCAGATCACATCTTATTCTCAATCAAGCAGCCATATGCGTGTTTTAGCGAAGAGAAACAGCCAACATCCAAAGGTTGAAGGAGGTGTGATGAATGTGTAGGCATGCAGATTAGAATAATATTATTCTCAGTACAGATTTAATCAAACTGAGGTGTTAGATGGCTCCCATGGCCATCAAGAATCAAGAGTTAATATCTACCAGTTATACAACTGGTAGCAGGAATAAAGACTCTTTGAAGCCATCATAATCTAATCTAATCAGTCATCCATCCATTCTCACTGACCTCAATCCACCAGTCTGCTAGTAAGGCTGTATCTTGATACCAGCCCTCAATATAGACCTTTCCCTTGAAGATAATGCATGGTGAAAGCACCCAGCCAGTAGAGTTAATACACTCTATAGATGTAACCCATTCACAGTTCCCTGGCTGGATAAGAAAGGGCCGACTAAGCATCTCAGCTCTTATAACTACCTTAGCAGTAGCTACTAAGCCCATGGCAAAGCCAGTCTCATCAAAGTTATAGATATCTTCAGGCGCAATTCCATGCTGCATTATAGTAATCTAGACACAGTTAAACCACTCTTGGATAACCTTTAGATCTTCACATTTAGCACGCTGGTGATTATAGCACCTAGAGTACCAAGTCTTGATCTCTTCATACCAACTAATGAAGTTATATACCCAGTTCTTGCCCACAGTCTGGGAAACAGGTAATCCACGCTTTGAGAGGAGGATATTAGCCATTTCTTGAACATAAGATGGCCGAGGAGCTGCTCCACGTTGATCCATAGATAATATCCACCTAATAAGTGATTCCTCTTCATTCTGAGTCATTTTATGCCCGTTTGCGCGTGCCTCAGGTCGAAAGATATGGCCATCTAGGCGTCGTCGAAGAGTTGTGCGGGGGACATTATAAACACGTGCAGCTTCAGAAATATTGCGAATTTGATCATTCTTAAGGGCAGATATTGCAAGGAGAATCCTTCCCTCCTGCTCAGCTAATTCCCTTGATTTTTTATGCGAGTTTGGAGGCATGGTGACGTGCTAATTAATTCAAAATAATGAGACGCGGTCAAATCTGAAGAGGGTGGCCGCTCGATTGGAATGGCCGCTCGCTTGTGGATTACGTTAACTATCTGGCGCTGACTAATCTGGATGAACATGACAGTGTATTTCATTGGATGGATTAGTGAGGGTCCCCAAACAGGAAATTTGGCGATGATGGAATCAAAATTGTGGAAGTTGATTGGTCGCAATCAGCTTGAACGGCAGCTCAAGGTTGTAGGTGCCCTGACCCCGGAACTGACCCCTTTAAGCTCCATGTCCCATCTGCCGGTTACAAATGCTTGAAATTGATTCCGGGAGAAGAATCGCGATGAACATGCTCAAGAATCTTTCCAGCCGGTGGTCTTCAAAAGGAGGTAATGCCCCAATTGGTCTCTTCAGCCAGTGGCCAGCTTGTCCAACTCAAGTTAATATATTGGAAAGATGATCGCCCCACGGATTCATACCTGAGACGCAGAGAACAGGTCCGGAGAGCACAAAAGTGAGCCAAGGGCCTGTTCAATTCACATTCTGATCGTCCCTGCTGACGATGCATAACAGGAACCACCGCAGGCGCAAGGAAGAATACCACAAGTCCCTCGAGGCCGAAGTTGTGTATCTTCGCACGCGCGAATCCGACTTGCTCAAGCAGACCTGTGAACTCTCAGCAGAGGTGGAGTGGCTCAAAACCATCATGGTGCAACACTGTATCAGCATCCCTTCAAGGCCAGCTGAAGCTGCATTCTCTGGTCGACATGACCTTTGTTGCCATTCGTCCGTGATAGTCAGCGTCGATAAGAACTTTTTGAGCTGCGATCGGTTACTTGTCCAGGACTCTGTATCTTCCGAGCCTACACATCACAACCACGATGGCAGTTATCTGGGTGTGGGCGTGCGACCAGGTAAGTAAGGAAAAGACCGTTGACTCCCGAGGCTGCGAGTGAAGCTAACATGCCTGGCCTATCCTAGGAATTGACGAGCTCGAGGAACCCAGCAGCAGCACGATTCTCGACGAATTCAACCACAACGCCGGCCTGAGACAGGAGAATAACGTCATTTCCGCCATGGAATTCATCTTGAGGTAGGTGTTAAGCAACAGATTCCGGGAGAATGTCAGGACTAGAACCTAACACTTGTTTCTAGCCTTGAAGGTCCATGTCTCGATCATGTCAGAGCTGCATTGCGAACGTCAGAAGTTTCAAATGGTCATGCGCTGACTCTGACAGCCTCTATGCTTCGTCTTTGCGAAAATAGCGGCTCATCAGCCCAGAGATTGGATCCAACTCAGATTCCCAAAAAAACTGTGGAGCKGTTGCTAGAGCTGTCATCTGAACTGAGCACTGAAGACGAGCTTACTCCAACCCAGGCTTGGGTTGTTCTCTCTCAGCAGCCGCAGTTTGCGGGCACTAGCAAAACCCAGATCGTGAATCTCGCAAATGCGCTCTTGAGTCATATAAAATGCTATGGGTAAGTGCAACAACACGACTCCTACAGAATTCATCACTAACGCAAATAACAGGTTTGGGGCAGTGATAGAACGAATGACCCTGATGAACGAAATATCGCGTGTTTTAAACTGCCCGGCTCGGCTCCAATTGGATTGAACTTCACAGTAACGGGCATAGAATATCGGGAAATACACCACACTCGTTTAGCTCTGTTCCTTGGTCTTCTGGGCGACACGTGGCTACGGTATTTCTGCCATTATCTGCTTTTGTATTTCGAGTTTTGCTGCACATAAATCATGAACTTACTCCCTCCGAAGATTTGTAGCATGCTTTTATAATCTGATCAGCTGACATACCATAGTATTATGGGGCTTCGTGGGTTTCCGCGTCTCTTGAGACATGCAAAAGGCAGAACCAATTATCTTCATGGCCGTGGGAAGCGCCAATCGCCAATAATATCTAGTTGGGAGAAAGTAAAGCCGGTCTAACCTACATTAGACATGTAATGCTGCTTTGTTTACTGCAAGGGGCTGAAATCAAAGGCGATGAGGACATATACAAAGCCATTTTCAGCAAAGCATGTGCGGTGACCGTAGCACATCATCTTACCTTGAGCTGGTCCTCAAGGGTCAGTACCCTAATGATTCATTCGACTTGGGGTGAAAGTGGTAGCTACGCAGAGTTCTGTGTATGATATCTGTGGATTTGCTGCACGAGTGGCAGAAATAACCAGGTAAAGAATATTGTAAGCATATTGTAGAGGATGAACAGCGACTAAACCAAGCATGGCTGGCCATATATTAACCTAGTTGGAATAAATAAGCTAATTATACATATCAGGTCGCAGACTGATGTGGTGAGTATTTTTGCGTTGAATACAATTCCATTCATAGACTAGGTGCAAAAGCAAACACTGTACTTCTAAAGTATAGAAAATGATAGTATGATGTATCCCACATCGCCAGTATAGCAATACAAAGCCTGTCTATTTGAATATATTCCGTCCCACCTTTAAAGGTGGGACAAAGTCACTCCGTAGAAAGCTCTACGTCCTCCCGCTGTAACATACTCTGACGGACCGTGTGGCTCCTGACCAAAACTTTTCAGATTGATGCTGGGCTTCCTTTGACGCCACACCTGACCTGTGTCAGAGACAGCACATTGACTGGCTCAAGTCAATTCTGTCTGAGAGGTCGGGGAACTCATTTCGGCCTCATGCTCTTTCTCTGACCCCACCAAGATCATTGACGGATGACAAAAATTCATGGCAACCATGGCCAGAAACATCAAAGCAGAGTCGAAAATATACATGAAGGCTTCATGGCTGATGAGGTAACCATTGTTGCCCTGCGCATATTCAATCAAGCGAAAGATTGACCTCACCAGAATCAGAACACTCGCGGCGTACAAGCCTATGAGCACAGTTTCCCACGTTCGTGAAGTCTTTTCAGAAAGCCGAGCCGCAAGTGCTGTTACCTCATGCGTAGGGAATTCGCGAATTCGGGAATGAAATACCGCACAGGTGATTATGAAGAAGCTGAAGAAGACCAATTGGACACATAGACCTCCGACAGTAATATGCTCGCCGAGGTTGTAGCTGCTGATCGTACCGCTCGCCATGATACCGCCACCTAGAGCCCCGAAAGCCGTCAGTACTATCGCGCAACTTGTGGAGCATATCAGGCCTTGCGCACCTGCAGCTTGCATAATAAAGGCAATGACATCGCCTGTAACGAAGATCTTGGTCATCCACCTCACTGAAACCAAACTGAGCCTTTCCGCCCGTAGATAAGTGATCAGTC